CACGAGGGCAAATAACATTCTCGCAGTGCGAGCAGCAAGTGTAGCTGCTCTCTTCTCTTCGGCAGAGATGGTCTCGAGGTCTCCGCGCACACAGATCCGGGCTTTAAGCTTAATGAGATACCCATCTTAGTCAAATTTGTATGCGAAGATCCATAGGAGAGGGAGCACTTGCTTTCCTTTGTCTTTCGGGGTTGATACCACCTCAAAGGTCTGCTTGCTGGTAATGCTATCGATCTCCTTCCTCATTGCTGCCGTCCAGCCTTCCTGGAACGGGTGGTTCAGCACATCTTTCCAACGCTTCGGAAGAGGTGGCATGTCATCTCTATGCCGGCGAGTCTCCGGTTTCTCTGCGTTCAAACCTGCTGCGAAGGCTGCAAGCATGATTGGTGAGTCTTCATGAATGGTGGCATGCGCGTAGTAATCATCGTCTCGTTTTGGTTGGCGAGATCTCTTCCCAGAGATAATGTTGCTGGTGTCAACATCTCTAAATATCTCTCTGGTAGCGATGGGTGTTAACTCGCTCTGTAGCTGCCTTTCCAATTCATCATCTGTCTCTGGTGTTGCTGCCAGATCACCTTCTTCCTGGAGATCACCTTCTTCCTGAATGTAAGTTCCATCACTAGTCCATTCATTCTCATCACTTGCTAACCCTTTCCCATCGTTTCCATCATCTCTAGGTGCTTCCACCCCCTGATCTGGCAGTGACGGTGATGGCGATATCCTTTGTGGAGGTTCTGTTGATGGTGGTGATGGCTCTGGTGAGGGCGCTGTTGGTGGCACCTGTGTTGGCACCGGCGGCCTCACCCCCTGAATATTGGCTTCGCGGGGCGGGGTTGGTGGTAATGGCACATCTTCTGGAAACGCACCTGGCACCTGCTCCACTGGCTGGCTGGCCTGCCGTCTTTCTGGCGTTGGAGAGGGCGTTGTCCTTGCTGGTTTGGTGCCTCGTTGCTTATGCAACTCTTCCTGTTCCAGAGTGTCTATTTTATTTACAGTTTCTGCTGCGATACTATGTTCCTCTTGACTCGCAGGAACATCTTCCTCCTCATTTCTTCGCGAGGAGAGCGGCTCTAGCATTTGTTGAGCTGCTTGCTCTACCTCATTGGCTCTTGCCGCTGTTGCGATCTCTCTGATCAACTAAAGAACTTCTTTATCTGACAGATACTACGGTTCACTGACAATAGGCAGGGGGATTGCCTGGTGGTGCTGATATTCAGGTGTGTATTTCCTCGATTCATCAAACACGGCGTCGCGAATCACTTTCACTTTCCCTGTATGTGGAATCCACACTCTCCAAACATTCGTTGTGATATAACCAACCAGGAATCCGATCTCTGCCCTAGGGGCCATCTTATCAGATTGCACCTGCTTATTGATTCTACAGTAGGCAAGACTGCCATACAATTTCACATTCGATAGGTTCACTTTCGGCAACTCGTTGTCACCCCCGAACCCCCGTCGAATCTCTTGCCACGGTACGATCCACCGATTCTCCGCAGATACGAAGGTTGGGATTCGGTTTAATAACCATACCGCAGCTATCACAGCCTCTGGCCATAGTTCTTTGGGAAGCTTTCCCTCTTGAATGAGCATTCTAGCACGCATGATGATCACACCACCTGCACGCTCAATATAGCCATTCATTTCTGCATGCCCTGGAGGTGAGTGATACACCACGATTCCCTCATTCGTTAGGAATGTGTGTACAGCACTTCCTGCCGCACGCTCGTTGTCATAGTGGAAAGCCTTGATAGGCAGGTTCCACCAATTCCTAGCAAATGCCACGAAGTCACTAATCGCTTGCTGGCATTCAGACTTCTTCTCGTGCGTCATAACCCAGTGAAATTTCACCCCGTCAACATAGAAATGGGATATCCACTGGTGCTTGTTGTAGCCAGGTTGGATTTGTATCAGATCAAAATGCACCCTGCCAAACCTACCAAAGGTTTGTCCAATTGGTCTTCGAGAGATCTGTCTTGGCGCATGTGATAACCTGCATGTTTCACAGTGCACCCCCGGATCTCCTTCACTCGCTGAGGGTGTTAACGATGGTAACACTCCCACTCCTTCCACCATTTGCTCGAGCTTCTTAATACTCCGTTGGTTGATATGGGCAAACCGGCGATGCCAGTGCTCAGGTGTTGCTTCCTGAACTCTGGTTTGGACTGAACGCCGGGTTGCATGCACAATGGTGGATGGTGTTAATTGTCAATAGAGGGATTTACCCTCCTCATTCGGCCGATCAAAGATCCACAGGCCAATAGGGTCATGTGTCGTGCTGACGATAGGCTTTCCAGAAGCCCTTTCTAGCAAGCAATCTGTCTGCTGACACCAAGTCACACCCCGTATCTTCAACTGGTGATACGAGACAATGCTAGTGTGGAAATCAGGTGCATATTCCACATCTGACAGTGTGATAACCCTTGCCGTACCTGTTTCCGGGTTCCTGCCTGTTAATCTAACAGTGCCAGTGCCATACGACATGCTAGAGGCATCTCCGGTGGCCAGCGAGGCTTCGTCAGGTGTGAAACTAATGAATCTTGACTTGTCATTACAGACATGTATATTGGCTCCTGAATCCAGGATCCATCTGTTACGCATCTCAGGTCTGTGCTTCACGTTTGGTGGCAGTGATCTCTTAGGAGTGGTGGTCTTGCCCATAGGCTCCCCCCTACTTGCTCGTGCATGCATGACGGTTGAGAAATTGAGTGCTGGTGCACCCACTTGCTCGTGAACTTCCTCAACATCATAGTTCACGAATGCAACTTTCTTTTGGGCATTTCCCTATGAATTCTCTTAGGCAACCAGCTTATCTAGGTAAGCCCTCTATTCAGGGTCGTTGTCCAGTAACTTCTTCACCTTCTGAACCTTCCTCCCATAAGGGTTAAAGGTTTCTAGTACCAGTTTTGGGTTCACATACCAGCATGTTGCTGGCCGGTGCCGAGGGTATTGTCTTCCATAGGGGCAATGGCGCTTATCCATCGGCCCTGTGGTCACTTGAGATTGATTATCTAGCTTGGCAACAGACTTACTGCCTGTGTTTACTACTCCGGGTTTAGCTTCTTCATGGCCTTGCCAGGTTAAGAAAGCACTCTTCGGAGCGGTCAGTGATGATTTCCCTGGACTAAGCTCTCGGTAAGAGACCCTAAATGAATCCATGATCTCCTGAATAGTGAATTCATCATGTTGGAGGAAGCACCTCCGATATTCAACTTGCCACCACATAGGCAGCACATCTTTCACTGCTTGGAAGAAATATCTAGCGGCGTCTTTATGGGTCATGACAACGCCCACATTCTCTGCTTCTTCCCGGAGTGCATCCCAGTGATCGATCCACGTTAACACATCCTTAGGAGGCCTTACTCCCGCTATAGCGTGCCATCTGCGAATCACCTCTTCTTCATAGATCGTGGAGGTTCCAAAACGTGTTTTCAGAGATCTCAGGCGTTGATAAGGGGATCTCATTTGCTGCACAGTGCCATGGAACTTCTTATCAAGGTGAGCAAGTATCCATTCTTGGACCTCAGCTATTCCCCGCTCCTGTTTCTCCCATTAGGCCGTGCGGAATTTACATAGATCGAACTGATCTCTCCACAATTTGACCCTCTTCTCATCCCTATAGTCTTCAGGGTAAGGTTCAACGATGGGTTCTTCCATCTTCATCGGCAAGTGGCTCTCCGGTGTGGCCGGGTTGCAGAACTGCCATACTCTCCGCGTGGTAGCAAATTGCTCGCAGAGGTCAATCCACTTGTTCCATTGCGCGGAATCTCGAAGTTTATCGCCTTTACGGGCGGAGAGCATCGCCACTGTGGATGCATCCATGATGTCAGATGTATCTACACAGGGTATAGGGGTATTGGCTCGGAGGAAGTAGCAATCGGGTGTTGAAACGTGCTTAATTCAGGTATCGTGAGAAACAACAACAGCGACGGCGAGGTGTTTGACGACGGTGAGGTTCAGGGTGCTCCTGAATAACTTCTTGCGATATCTGACCAATTAAACAGTGCGAATCGGGCTCATAACTGTCGGTATGCTCACTCGCCCTGGCCAATAAGAATGTATGAATGCTCTGTCTTTTATCACCCCTGGTTCTGGCAATTTATAGGGGGATCTAACATGACTAAGTAATTACAAATAATAGTGGATACTTGCTGGCAATTCACCGACATTGTCAAGACGCTTTGCTCTGGGCATGACTAATGTAAGGATTGATGTTGTTTATACACCATAATGCGCATTCTACCGACACGCTCGGAATCAGTTTCCCATCTTTACTCTATTCTCTCTTTCCTGAACTCTAATCCAAAACAGGCTGGTCCTTTTAAAATGTAGTAAGTTACAGGAGTTACAGGATCTTGAACTGTATTGTAACAATAAATGTCAGCATTGTTGGGGCTGTACATAGAGTCAGTTTTCCGCCTCAACTCCTGCTCAGGCCAGTACGTCGAAAGTTACTAGTTGCTAGGAATTATGGGAAACCGTGTCAGAGATCGAGCATATATAGTAGCTTGGGTGATTGGTCGCTGACTGAACATTGCGCCTTTTTGGCCAGCTGGCGTAGTGATACAACCCAAGCACCCACGATCCGCCACAAACCGAACGCATGCTCCCAGGAATCAATACCAACTCCCAGCAGTCTTTGCATCTTCCCAGGGCTTTCAGAGTTAGCAAGCAAATGGGGGTATGGACGCGTGACTGGCCGTGAGTGTGATTCAGACCTAATGCATACGCTCACGGGGTGTTGTACATGAACTTGTCTAGTCCAGAGTAACAGCTGCACTGCCCCCTTAGAACTATTTGACGCGGTCCGGGGCAATTTTCATCTTCACAGCTTACATTAACATATTGGCGCCTTGTTGTTCAATTGGTGCGCACTATTTTAACATAAAAAGCCCCATGCCCACTGTTCAGCCTTTATTTGCAGTGGAACTTTCTCACGTCTTTCAAAAAGGCCTAGCCTCTCACCAGCCGTTTCGTTCGACTCAAACTTTAAATTCAGAATGGCTTCTCACTCAGCTCCGGTTTCAATGCCCTTGAATGGCCCTGCTCTGCTGCAGTGCTTTTTTGGCGACTATGATTATGTCAAAACTGTGATGGAGGAAACGTCTGCCATTTTGGCTGTTGAGCCCATAATATAGAAACGATCTACTGTATACATACTATCTCCCGTCTCCGCCTTTCTTTGGCACCGGTTTTTGACGACCAGGGCCTATTATGACGCTACAGACGTATGAGAAACAATCCTAGCAAGTTCCATTATTTTAGGTTAACAAACTTTGCAGGAGAATTTTGGATCGTCTTATCGGAGACTCACGGACGGAAAGAGCGTCACTGTCAAGCTATTAAACAAAGCTAAACTTTCTTTCTTTGCCACCCATGAGATATGTATAATTGACAAGAGAGGTGTATACTTGCCTTTCATTTCTACCTCAAATGAAAAGAACACAGTTGTCTGTGGTCCATTGAAAGGGCGCTGGCAGGTCGATGAGCTTGACACCCTCAGACGCCGTGGATGGACTGTCCATCACTACGCCGCTGGTGAGTTGCTTGATGTTACTACAGATTTGAAGCTGGAAGCAGAACTATCCCTAGAAAATGGCTGTTTATTCCTCGATGAATACAGCGCTGTAATTGAGTACAACGCTGAGGAAGATGACGCGCTGATATCTACGAGCACAAAGCTGAGCGTGAAAGACGACACCGGAATTGAAGTCGATTTACTCGGGCTTGAATTTTAATGGAAGATTGCGGGATACACAGTTATTTGAAATGAGATTTAATCTTCAGGATCGAAAGAGTTCCATTGGCCTACAAATATGCCTTCTAGAGAGCCTCTACGGAGAAAGGTAAGCTTACAATCCATATGCTAAAGGCCCGGTTGTTCTTTATCTCGTCGTCTAGATACCCATTCTAATATCTGTGACTCAAAGCCATTTCAGGCAAAGCTGTGTCCTGAAACTTAGCTTTCAAGGTCTATTTTGAGCATACGATATTAGACTATGGAAATTGTCACATGTGCGTCTTAATAAATTTTAAGCACCGTCATAATTGAACAAATTTGATTAAGAGGTGGGATTTCCCAACTAGTAAACGAGGTAGTGATAATGGATCCGTTCATTCCGGAGGGTGTCTACTTGGTGTCAAAAACGCGAGGTTGTCGAAGTCGGTTGTTGTTGATGTCGGTCGAAAGTGTCAGACGGTCTAGGACTGAAGAATCAAGTATAACAGGCTGAAGAACGCTGGAAAACAACGTTGAAAGCGAGGGCGCTCATTATGCATGAGAAAGACACCTATTGAAAGAAGATAGAGAAGAAAGAGATCGTTTAAGATGACAGCGTTTATAAAAAGCGGAGCGTGTAGTACATAGAGCATAGGGAATGACATCAACTATCTCGGTGTAATATAGTAGTAAACAAGCAATTAAGTGATGACTGAGGGAGCGGAGTGTAGATTCGATGAAATGAACAACATACTCAATGTGGTTTGAGGAAATTTTGATTTATCTTTACTCGTTTTGCACACATAATGCTCTTAGGATTTAAACATGGCCGGATAAATAGAACTACAGGCCAAAGTGGTTGAATAACCCTGTGAAAAATGATTGTTAGTTCATTAATCAATTGACCAGGTTAACTATCGTCACCCCCCTCCCTCTCCCATGCGCTTTCCTGCTTTCCAGCCTAAATTCAAACATTTTTTTTGATCAGGGTAGCCACTATCTATATTACTGGATGAGTGGCCCACACAACTCCAAACCAATGTTTATATTACACATGCTACAAGATATACGCAGATACGTGGGGGCCTAGCAACACCAAATGCTATCTCAATTCGCCGACCACCCACGCCACTGTTGGTTCACTGACCAACATTCGGCGCATGACCTTGGCATGTTTGTATACTCAATTAGTTGCGGGCTTATTAGAATACGACCCGCTTGGGTCTCGAGAGGCATTTAATTGATCAGGTGACCTGAAATACTATCAACTACCTATCCGGTCACCCTCTCAACCCAACATGAAACTTCATTCGCCGATGAAACCGACTTTACAAGTTTTATTGGAGGCAGCGAAGGCAAGAAGAGTGGCATCTTAAAAATTGGGAGAGTATAAGTCCCTATGTTTAGACCTCACAACTTTGTGTATTCCACGATGAATTCGAGAGGCTCGGTGATAATATTTGGTTTTTAGCGTCTGTCAATCTATAGGATGTTTGAAGACGCAAGGTTCTCTCAACATCCTTCAAAATGATGTTGTATAATATACAAAACTCAGCAGATGTTAGTGTGGCCCGCAAAAATACTAGGCTGCTCTAACTTCCGTGAGGCATGGGATGGCTGTTTCCCTCGCCTTTTTCTTAGGTGATCAATCATAATAATAGCTGCTGCTGTCCAGCGTACTCTGAGTTCGCTGAAAAATGATGTTAATTTCTTTCTTTTTGATTGAATGGAGCGGTTTTTCTTCCAACCTTGAATGTGGCATGATAGGTCTTCCCCGTAAAACATAAATAGGTTGCATTAGCCTCCTATATATGGCCTTTAAAGGAAGAGTACATTTGGCTGACAGCAACTTGATCTTACAACATATCTATACTGCTTCGGTGGGAACATCTTTTTCAACAATCAAACCGATATCATGGGAAGGGTTTTGAATGTTCTTACAAGATTCCGGAAAAAGCACTGTACCGAAAAGTTCAAACTGAATCACGTACCATTGAGTACGCCTCAGTCGGCTCTTGACAAGAGGATTTTCTATATCGACTGGACGCCTAGGCCAGGATGGAAGCACCATAGAGGCAAGGACTTTGTTGGGAACGATTGCTGGATTTTCACGAGCCCAGATAGCCCAGACCTTCGTCTTGACGAGATGCAACTAAAGCTTTACCGAAATCTTTCCTTTCGACCGGTATTTGAGAATGGTGAAATAAAATACACGCACACAGGTGACCCTCCACTTGAATGTATCACGAGCCCAGTTGCTTTGAAAAACGCAAGACCTTATTGCGTCGGAAATTATCTTCGGCTGACGTCGCGCGCTTGAGCGAGGGCCGCCGTGCCTTGCCCGAGGCTTGTTTTCTTGACCCCTCTTGAACTAGATGGAGACCGATGCAGGGTAGCAACGACCCTTGATTTAAATGTAATAAGGGTTTTCGCGGGTCCACTTTAGTCTAATTGTTACACGAATACATAATCATAGGCACTGGGAGACAATTCTCGATAAACTGAATGCTATATTGTACTAGATATGGAATTGAGCTATGTTCACATCTATACCAGCACGTGAGTCTGAAAAAGTACAAAAATGTAAGTACCGGAGTGATAGGTTTACGAACAACTAGTATTGCGGCTACCAATTGAGTGAGTTCTTTGAAGAATTATTCGGACATCGATATTGAAATGTTTAGATGGGATTTAAAGTGTAAAGTGCGCTTTGGTATAATGGATGAATGTTTTGGCTGCTTTAATGTTGGTTGATATAATTCCTATGAATTTCGCATCAAGGAGACCATATATATACGCCTTCACTAGAACTACGACGCTGTTTAACATGTGCCTCTTCCAGTATGAAACAGATAAATGGGGTTTTCTCCCCGTGATCTTATAGATATGACACCAGCATAAAACAAGTTTTTAGTGCAATTCATTGGCCAACCATAGGTGTTTTGGATCCAACTAGAACGTGGCAAGAAAGCACCTTGCATAATGCCGTTGATACCATAATGTCAACACGCCACTTAAACATCGTGCTGATCCCTATTAGCTTATCCATCTAGAATTCAAATAGAAGTGAAGCTATCCCATCAGATGTGGTCATTCCGAGATAGACAAGGATATAGATCAACGCGGGGCTCGTGCATCCTGCATCATTTGTATAAAACCGCGTGACCTTAGAACCATTCAATGCAGTATGTTCTCATAAAATCTATTGAGCTGGGATGATGGCTTCTAAAGCATAGGCTTCTACACCCGAGCCCGGATGAATAGCTTGCCTCCACCCGGAAGGGAATAGACGTAGACTCCCCGAGACATCCAAAGGTAAAAGAATAATGTTGTTTTAAAGTATCAAGAGCAAGAGTGGAAAGGAAACTGAGTCAGAAGACATTTACGGGTCGAAAGAAACAGTCAAAAACAACTTCATCTTATTAGAATACAGCTAATTGGTTCATTCAACCCTCAAATCCTAACCTCATTATATCACTAAAATTGATTGACCCATCTGCTTCCACTGCCACCTGTTCTAAATTTGAGAAAAACAATGCTCGGAGAACATCAAGGTACATTTATCTTCAGACTAGCATTCGAGTAATAAATCATTGAAACGGTCAAACATAAGAGTCCTCAGGCCAACGCCTGTCGATGGACTTCAATTTTAGAACTATTTTGTTGACCGCACCGATAAGCACATAGATCTCGAACGATAGATGATCGCTTTCTACCGCTCCGTAGTTTTATATTACTATGCTTCAAATAGTCATCCGCAACCTGCTCCGCGATTGCACGGAACTGAACAAGCTGCATTCCAGATTCCCAGAGAGATGTCACGGACATCGGGGAAGACTCTAGTTTGTGGTTTCTGCCGGGTTGTATTTGGGAATTTCGATAGAATTTGAAGGCTCTGAAGACTCATGTTTCACAAATCTTTTCACACTTTCGTCCAAGTCATCGCCGATATCTATGATTTGGGCGTCGTCGATGTTAAAGTCGGCCTTGATACCAAGTCCTTCAACATCATCAAGATCGCTGTCGGAGTCGATACCTAAGTCTGTCGTGTTGGAAACCGGGCTTTTTGGCACCAGCCATTTGTCTTTAAAGTCCGAGGAACTGCTTAATTCCCTGTTGAAAGTCGGTAGAATATGTACTCTGTCAACTTCTCGTTGACGCTTCTTCGATTCTTCGCGCTCTTTAGCCACAACCAAATCGAGCTCTTTGCATTGCACTTGCTCAAGCTCTCTTTTCTTTTCCCGATTGGCCATGGCCACAAGTCCATCTGCCACCCCAAGTCGGTAACTGAATATGGGTGTGCCACCTTTATAGGTACCTGCCCACTCCAGGATTTGGTTGTGTGCGAACTCAAACCCTATCGCTGCAGCAACAGTATTTTGGGCAATTCTAAAAAACGACTAGTTCGAATTCGTGCGGAAATCTATCGAAAGGGAGCTGCAGTTGAATAGGGTACCCATTGTTGTTGCCACCTTCATCGCGAAAGCCGCCTTTATAACCCCTTTCGACGAGCTCGCAGTCCTTATAACGCTCACAACGCTCTGTCCACCATAATGCGCCTTATTGCTATTGTCATCACTGGCCATGAGGTCCGCTTGGGTCACATTGTTCTGGCTCATGAGCTTTTGAGATACAAAGAGAGAGGCTTTGGCTTCCGCTTCTGGCGTGTTGGCATGATGGCGCGATTTGGACGTTTTTGGATCCGATGCAGAATCCTCTTGTCGACCGTTGATGCGACCTGGCTTTGATTTTGATGACTAGTTTGAATCACGGTTGCTTTCTAAGCAGGCTTGGTAGCAGATCTCTTTCTTTCCACTTGGAAGGGATTAGTGGCCATTTTGGGTTTATGCATGTGACGAGTTAAGGATAAGATAATAATCGGGAGAGAGAGAGAGAGAGAGAGAGGAAAAGGGTTAGACTACATTTACAGGACCTTTGTTTCAGCTGATTGCTTGTATAGAGTTGCTAGTGGTGTCTTGAAGTTGACTCTTTCAGTTGTTGGCACGCAACCGTGCGCACATTGTGATGAGAAGGGGTGCAATTGGGTGCGTATCTCTTCCCCTTTTTCCGTCATGTAGAGATAGAACCGGTGGAATAATAAACAGAATCCTGGTTAGCTATACCCTGGTCAAAAAAAGTGGCCGGGAATGTTGAGGGCTGATAATTGATTGGGTCGTCGAACGCGGCCACCAGTATTGGTTTAAAGTATGTACGCCGCAAAGTCACATCTGTGAACTATATTGAGGGGTTAAATAATGACTTATTGTATGCCACAATGACCAATAAATTGTTTATTGACCTCGAGTACAACTAATCTAGCTTCTCACTGCCTCAGAGTTATATAAAACAAGACCTTCCCTTTCCGGCGCTTGCTGAACCGACCCATCTCATCGGATATAGCCTTGCAAATCTCCCGTAATGTACTTTGCCCTTCCCTTTTTGTTGGGCCTAGCGCGGCTGGCCAATACTGCCTACAATCCCTCCTTGACAAAGATCAATTCAACCGACATTGCTACTCGTGATGTTAACGGATATCGCACCGTGGCCTACTTTGTGAACTGGGTATGTGTCATTTATATACGCCATTACTGGACCATAACAACTAAGTGAACATGGCTAGGGCATCTATGCTCGTAATTTCCACCCTCAAGATATCCCCGTCGAGCGACTGACCCATGTTCTCTACGCGTTTGCCAATGCCTAGGCCTCTGGTGAGGTAATCCTGTCGGATGACTGGTCCGACACTGACAAGCATTACTCCACTGATTCCTGGGCTGATACTGGAAACAACGTTTATGGCTGTGTTAAGCAGCTTTTTCTACTGAAGAAGAAAAATCGCAACCTTAAGGTTCTTCTGTCGATTGGAGGCTGGACCTATTCTTCCAACCTCAGAACAGCCTTTAAGACCGAGGCAGGACGCCAGAAGATTGCTAATAGTTCTATCGAACTGCTGAAAAACTTAGGCTTTGACGGTATTGATGTAGATTTTGAGGTGAGTATGTTATCTTGTTTCTCGAAATTTGACGCTTATATCAGATAGTACCCTGCCAATGATAAAGAAGCGGGCCAATTTGTAGATACCCTACGCCGTCTTCGTGAGGTATGTTTACGCTTATCTTTTGCTGACTCGGCTAAGTATTTCAGGCGCTTGATTCGTATAGCTCAGTCAATACTAACGGCTATCATTTCTTGCTCACAGCTGCGTCCCCTGCTGGTACGTGTATTTCTCTGAAACAACCTAACTAAACTAGCTAACTTAGATTCTAGGCCCTGCCAATTACCATAAAGAGCATCTCGCTCGGATGGATCAGTATCTTGACTTCTGGAACCTGATGGCCTATGATTACGCGGGAAGCTGGGACACCGTTGCTGGACACGACGCCAACCTCCACCCATCCAACGGTAACCCAGGAAGCACTCCCTTCAACACGGACCAAGCAATCGATTACTACACCTCGCGCGGAGTGGCCTCACATAAAATTGTTATGGGTATGCCTCTATACGGCCGGGCCTTCAGCGACACCAATGGTCCTGGCCAAGCTTATAATGGTGTTGGTGTTGGTAGCTGGGAAAATGGCGTTTGGGATTATAAGGCTCTGCCGCGGCCCTGCTGTGCGGTCACAAATCTGGATCAGGAAGCTGCTAGCTACTGTTATAACTCAAGATCGCGGTTGTTTATCAGCTATGATACCCCCGAGATTGCGCGTAAGAAGGGTGAGTATATCAAGTCCAAGGGCCTTGGCGGTGGTATGTGGTGGGAGCTCAGCGGTGACAAACAAGGTGACGAAAGTTTGATTGCCACGGTATGTCTCACTCATATATGACGTATGACCTTCGAACTAACTTGGGAGTTTGGCAGGTTGTGGATACTGTTAGAGGCACTGGCGCTTTAGACAAGAGCGAGAACCAGCTGAGTTACCCTGCCTCCAAATATGACAATTTGAAGGCTGGCTTTTAATCTTTCTATTGTCTTTGTTGGTATGTAATGACTGAGTTACATCATAGATCGAAATAAGTTTCATCGCTTTGCCTTCAGAGAGTCTTTCTCGAATCCTGTTCCGAAAATCCCTTGCGAGAATTGACAGTTATTGGTTATTGCACTGATAGATCTGATTATTCGTTCACATGTCCACTACCCAAGCGATTTGTCCCACACACAAGCTCATGCACGAGATTTCGGTTATGCCACATTCCTTTTTCATATACGTCGATTTCATAAATCATGCGTTTGAGTGCCTCTCGTCTGTACATCAACACGTGTTGCTTCTAACTAATATCGATATCTGCCAGATCTAGCTCTTTCTCTCTACAAAGATAGAGTCTATGTCGGGGAGATTTCTCGAGGTAGAGATGCTATCAGTCCTTTTAGAGATAATTAATTTGACGGTTCATCTACTATTAGAGGATGGAGTTTCTATATACAATATTGAGGTTTCGACTGCCATAAGCATGGTATATTTGAACATATGCAGCCGTTCGCTGATCAAGCTCAATTCCATTTCTCGGAGATATCAAAATCGCCCGAGTCCGATTCGTGTAAATAGTGTGATAACGAGTGGTTCGTCCACTCTTTGAAAGAATCCAAAAACCTGCCGCATGTATCTTAGGTGCTCAGAATTGCCATCGTTATATAAATGTGGGCCAGGGAACTGAGATTGAGGTTGCAAAAATATGCACCCTCTTTCTTTCCCGTAATACTTTCCAAAACCCCTTCGACGGAAAGCAATCGACGGTAAAGCTTTTTCGCGTGTTTACCTGTGCGCCCACTAGCTTGTATAACCTCGAAAAGAGCAAGCATGCCGCGCTATACAGATTCTGTAGCTTGGGCAGTATGCACACTAACACTTGTGAGGTCAGACATTGTGCGTGAAAGAGCTATACGCGGCGAGATCAAAATCAACTTCCTAGATACATTGGCAAAGGCAAGCTCACTGTATCAAAGAGTATATGTTGCTGTTTATGTCTTAAGACATAGTATCAACGTCCAGAAATAGAAGTCGATACTAAGTTGTAGAAAAAGGGGTTATTTAAATAAAATATACACAATCTAATCCGCCAAAAGCATATAGGCCACTTCATGAAAGGTAACTGGCCTTTTTGCTCCTAGGAGCCAGTCCTAAAAATGTAATTTGCCTATTCATGAGCTCGCAAAAGTCCTTTAGAAGCCAAAAGTTCCCAGGAGCTACAGATTCCCCCTAGGATGTTATATATTATCAATTGCTGGATCCACTATTCGTCATTAATATTTTCACTCACCTAACAAGGCTTGATTTCAGATCAACCTCAACCAGGTTCCCGCGTATAAATATCTCGATGATAGAACCTATTTTCTGACCGGCCTATCCCACATAGATTACACGATCTCAGCGTAGAAGTTCAGGTATAGACTTCATCTCCGTGAGAAGACTAATTGCTAATGAGCCGAAAGACCACAGTGCCTTGAGCGCATAAGCCTAGCCAATCAGGCTATCTACATCGTGCCTCAAAGCAAGGCACCATGATCAATCGCGCGCTTTTGGATGATGCGTCCAAGAAAACAGGCTCGGCCTCCAACCCTATCCTAATCGGCATCGGCAACCACGACAACTCTGGCAGGCAGGACACATCAGAACAGAATGATTCTGATAGAGACACTATGCGCTTGAGTACGCCAGAATTCTATGAAATTCTGAGGGATGGAGGCACTACCAGTCCACAAAAGAAATTCGAACTCACGAATTCGCCTCCTGTTGTGACACTATCCAAAGTGTATGGCCAAACGTTCGATTTTACTTGTTCCCCTGAGCCTGAATCAACAGTTTCCGCCCATCGGGAAGAAAAAAGACCTGAACTCACGGGAGCTTCTAAAGGTAAGAACATGGTGTTAATTCGAAGTGGTAGAAGGTTCTTTGAACTAACCGAACTTACCACAGAAGCTTCAAAAAGAAAAGATGAATGTGCTACTTTGACAGTAGAGTCTCGCATAGCATCCCATGGCCAGCCCGGCGTCTCTAGACCCGGCCAAGATGGCGTGTTGGAACTATCGATCAATATTAGGCATATAGCGAATGACAGTCCACCTCCATCCTGTTAACGAGGCTCCGTCAATCGCAAAAGAAAGCTTAAGAGAAAGGCTAATCCCGGAGTCAGGCGATTAAAGCGTCTCATGAGGGAGAAAATTTGAGTGGGTGAGCGGTGTACTGAACAGAACATTTCGAATCCAATTATAACCTCGAACTGTTATGATTTATTTTCGAAGATAAATTCGAAATTCGACGCTTGGATATGATCTTCGCGATCCGTTCCTCAAACCGCTTGCTAGTATACTATCTGCATTTTCCAACCTGATTACGGGACATGGGCCCTTATGGCCAAAGATTGGCGAGTCTCATCAACGCTACTCATGAATGCTTTGATGAACTGTTGAGGCTGGAAAGCGGAAAAGCAATATTTCTGGGATGAAAGCAATGGGGCTGGTAATTGAGTAAGGTCATGGAACAGTTGTGATATCGGTCAATCGCAGGCAAATGAGACCGAGTATGTTGAATTAAGCGTTGAAGTAACTGAATAATCCTTTACTTCAGTTGTTGTTTAACCATATATAATGTCGTGGGGTGCCCCCTTCTTGTTCAACGTCAAAGATGTGGTACTTATTGTCGCTTCTGCGGGAATGTCTGTAACAAGTGGAGAAAGTTGTCAGTCCACCTTGGCAAGCACCTGGAGCAGCTAGCCATGCCTGTCCTCCGATTATCAAAACCTAGTGCCCCGATCCCTGTCGTCCCTCTCAAAAATCTAGTGGGGCGATCGGCAACACCCCTCGCTCCATACTCAACACACGAAACGTCTCTGCAGCCGCAGTATGCGCCTCCAAAGCTAGCAACCCCCTCAACCCGCCTGGCTACTCCATCTCTGGCACCGAAATTTCTATGGAACCAGACTCTATGTCAGAAGAGTCTCTTGATTATCGGTATCTTGGTTTCCAGGGTCTACATCCGGCTTAGGAGCAGGCCCAGACCCGTCCCCTACATCATTTCTCGACATATCCATCGCCCATTCACGCTGTTCTGCGCCTGAGATCCCGGAATTAAGTACTATTCACTCATATCCCGTTCCTCAATCTCGGGTCTTCCCCGCGGACTACTACCAGCCCGTGGAGGCGAATATTCCTTACCCAGTCACTTATTCTTCTGGATAATTCTCGGTCTATTAGCCCTCTTTTGTTTTCCTTGTTTTTTTATCCTTGCTTATTCCCCCCTTTCTCTTTGCATCGGCTTTCATCGTAATAGATGGCGCAATGTTAGAGAGTTATGCGAAACCACTTAGTTAGCTGTGATACAACACATTCTCATTTTGGCCCCATTTTCTGTACTGCGTAGTTTACTTTGCGGGATTTCCGTGTTCTCTCAAGTATAGCATGCTAAATGTGCATGGCATATGAGAGATCAGATTATGTTTTGACTTCACCTTTTCCGTACTAGTGTCCTGAGCTAGGATAACACGGTTCCACGGTTCGTACTACCAACTCGAACTATAAGAAGTCGATTATTTTTCCGTATACTCCTTCTAACATAGTGACTTGAAACTTGAAACTTGAAATTGGAGGACCTTTTATCAAACATGTTTAATTCCGAAATGGGATATATCTCGTATAAAGTGCACATTTCATTTCTTGCACCATGCCGATCATGCCGATCGTCTACTGTCATAGCCACATCCAGAAGTCCTTGCTTCCGTCTCCCATTTGAAATATTATCTTGCATGCCTAGTGCAGGAACAGCTTAGCTGTGTGATTGTGATACGTGTGTGCCTGGTAAGAGCCTGAACCCGGGTGATGAGATCGGGGATCCGGGAGGTGGGGGTGATCTACTTTTGGTGGTTCCTTTTTGTGAGACCATACCGTACAAAATTTGATGACCGTGATCACTAGTTAATATTCGCACAGCACTGCTAATCGTCATAATTATCACATTTTGAATACAGGTCCGTTCGAAATCAGTTTCACCACTTTATTCTCTTCGGTTCTCTCGAATCTTGGCCAGACCCGGCTTTGGTCTAAATATGGCCTAGATCACCTTGAGGTGTCGAATAGGAAAAAGGCTAACAGCAAGCACTAACATAATTAGATAAGGCTTGACGTCACTAAAATAAAGATTAACAAATAATCAAAGAGAACAAAATGGTGAAACTGATTTCGATCCGCCCTGTGCCTTTTATTACAATATAGTGGTAGAATAAAGCATTAAGCATCAACCGTAAAGCATATTTATGGGGGCTGTGCAATCAAGGGATGACATGTTGCATTCGACGCTTACAACGCTTACACGCGAGGGCGAGGGCGAACTTAGTCTCTTGCGTTTTTAGTATATTGTATTCAATTTTTATAATTATACCTCGCATTCTAACCCTTGACTCGCTATCGCGTGGTGAAGTCGGCTCGGGGCGAAGTGGAGCTTGCGTGTCTCTCGCGCGTGGTAATTTTTGTGCGTGCGTAGGTTGTGGCATTTGCATTACGTTGTAAGCTGCTGAATACTTGAGGTTTGTGCGCTCCATTAATTTTGACTTTCTTTACTTTACTCACTATGGAGGTTCGTTAACAAGTGCGTACTAACTTCCCACCAAAGAACCAAATTTAACTCCAACAGCACCCTCAAGACTGAACTGACTCCACTGATGTCCTCCAAGGCATCATGTTTCAAGATAATGATGTCAAATCTTCCTTCGGAAATATGGGTTTGCAACTTGGCTCTCTCGACCCTTCGAACTCATTCTGGTATTCAAATCAATATTATTCATACTCCCGAACAAGCGATCAAGATGCTCGGAATCCGCTGCTGGTCACTGGTGTTTCGACCTCGTCGGTTCCGCATATGAGCATGCCTGTATCCGACCAAGACTGCTGCTACTCTCAACATCACTACAGCGAACCCTCTGAAAATGGCAGCCAATATGTGGACAACTACCACTCTGCCGATTCGGGTTATAGAGGAGCTAGCTGTGCGACGCAGTCGGTCATCACTTCTAGCTATGGTGCCGAGTCAAGCCCATATAAGGATGCGTCGGAGGCCACTTTCGATCCTCACTTCGGCTCCGGGTCCTCGTATACGTCCGAGTTTGTCGGGTCGCCGTCTATGTTTGATACATCTGTGCGGTCTGATCACGCTACTTGCTCGTGGGTTGGCAACTGTCCTTCGGATAAGAGGTACGTTCCTTGGATTCTTTGCTGGAGGTGACTGCAGAAGACTGACATTTGCAGGAAACACGAGGCCCGTCACCGCAAGCTTTTTGTATGCGACGAGCCGAATTGCCCGCGCAACGATGGGTTCGGAACTATCAATGACCTCGCTCGTCATAAGAAGTGTGTCCACAACAAGGAATCGGAGAGCGGTCCCAAGATGATGTACATGTGTTTCGGTACAAACTGCCCGCGTCCAGAAAAGCGATGGCCACGCTTGGATAACTTCAGGAAACATTTGAACCGAATGCATCACGACGAAGATGAAGGCTCACTACTAAATATGTGAGTCCATCATGTGTACTCAGTCCTGGGAAATACTAATCCGCAAGCAGGTCTATGGACTGGTATGAGAAGGTCATCGGTCGATCCGGAAAGAAATTCGACGACCACACCTCGTACGATGAGTCGGTATTTGAAATACCGGAAGACATGGCCACTGTTCACCCAACCATCGAGCTCGAGCCAGAGAATCCCATGTTCCAACAAAGAACCGATATCTTCACATTTGGCAATGTCACACCCACACCCACACCCACACCTCAATACAGCACCTCAGCGCCAGGCTCCGATGCATCTCAATTCCCGGCTTTTGGCTCATTGGGTCTAACAGAGCAGGATGCCTCCACGGACCGTAGCGCAAAGCCAGAAGGGTCCATCACAGATGCAGCCGATAACCTGATCGATACCATAACGAAAATGATGCACAAACGCGGGCGAAAATCTACTCAGAATTTGGATGAGGGCATTGATCTCGAGTCAGATGCTAACCTCTCCCAACCCGAACGCCAAATGCTACAAAAGGTCCTCTCGGTCGCTCTAGAGCGCCTGTCCGACGATGATAAATCTACCCACATCCCAAGGGAAAAGCAAGGCTGATTTCAATGCGACGCATGTCCAAAGCGAACCCGATTGCGCTGCGAAATGAAGTAAGCCATTCATCCACCACCCTCTCATATATCACTCCTAACATATAACAGAAGACATCAGAAACGCCACGAACGTCCTTACGGCTGCACTTGTCCCCACTGCGTAAAGCCCTTTGGTGGTAAAGCCGACTAGAAGCGTCACGAGAGTTCCCAGCATCTCGCCGTCCCCAGCTGGCTCTGCACGGTCCACGAACCGCGCAAAGGAGCAAATTGTGAGCGTCTCTTTTACCGGCCAGAAGTACATAGCAAGCACGTGCGACAACATGGAATACCAGAATATCAAGTTATTGCTTCAGTGACGAACAATTGGCTTGATTTGGCTGGTCAGTCACATTTCTGGTGCGGGTTTTGTAATCGGGTTTCCATTGAGTCATGGTCCTGCGGCTTCGGATGAACGGTTCAATTATATTGATATTGAGCATTTCAAGAAAGGGGAGAGGGGACAGGATTGGTCTTCGCCTTTGCTTGAGATGGATTGCGGGGAATTGGATCGCGAGGCTCAGAGCTTCTTTGCATGGTCTTTGTATAGCGATTTTTTGTTCCTTGCGATTGCAGGTTGATCTTATCATACGGAGCTTTGACGAACATGATATACAGGTTTTCTTTTTTTTTCCCTTGATTTCTTAGTCTCGGTTATTTCCCGAACCTCTTTCTTTAACACGGCATGATCTTTTTGTTCTTTATCAACTTTGCGTAGGATGGGTGTAGGATGAGATGCAAGAGGGGTTCCATTTGTCATATTGTCGGGATGTGTCTAGTTCTATCCCAAAGAGTTCTCCACTATGACCGGACCGCTGATCGTCTGAGAGCGAGCAGTTCCGCGGCTGCCCTAAGTGGTGGCACGGCCACCAGTAGCGAGTATCGGACCGGGGACGGGAATACCCTGGTTCACGTGCTTGCTATTCGAGTGAGAGTGCTGGTAGGGCTGCTTTCTCTTGCGGTAACGGCGGGCAACCCAGAACATACCAGCACCGTAAGCAGCGGCACTGGCCACAACACCAACACCAATTCCAATCGAGCTGGGATTAGTCTTGATACTGCTGGCAGAACCATCGTTGTTGGTGGTGCCACCATCTGAACGACCATCACTACCACCCTCACTATCGCCATCGCTGCCACTGCCAGTTGAGTCACCAACTCCACTGGGGTAGTTACCATAGAACTCGAGGGGAATTGTTGGGTCGACTTTGGACATCAGTGACTGGATTAATTCACTGGCCTGGTTGTAGAGAGCAGAGTTGGGGTTGACCTTGAGAGCTCTTAGCAGATCGACCTTGTCGCGAGGAAAATAAAAGATCGCAAGGGTAGCGTTGTAGCCTGTAGATTGCCAATTGTAATAAGGCTGAAGGGAAAACATGATGGGGCTGTCCTTGGAAGAGAGACTTGGCAAAGCGTTCTCAATAGCCTGGGGGTGTATTTAAAGATTTGAGATGACGATAAGGGGGTTTTGATGACAAATGACTATGGTAGCTGGCTGTCGAAACCAAGCTGAAGTAGGACCGAGTCAGATGGAGCCACGGTAATTTCGTTCGATGGGGTAATAGAACCAGGAAGCGATGTTGCCTTGGGTTTCTTGGTCTGGTCGGAGGTCGATCTCACGGTGGTGGTAAAGGTAGGCACGATAAGAATGGTGGATGGCATCCAGTCGTTGTCGGAGGTTAAAGGAGCTGAAGTTGCGCTTTGGGTAGACTGGGCCTCCTCTGAGCTCTTGGCCGTGCTCACTTCGCTAGTGAAGGTGGAATGAGGAGTGAAAGATGAATGATAGCTGAGGATGAGAACCTCGGGAGTAGTAGTCAACAAGCTAGGGGAGCTAGAGACAGTGCCAGAGCGAATCCCAGCTCTAGATTCGAGAGTAGTGCTAGTTTCAGTGCCAGTACTAGAATCCATGATAGTTCTAGCTTCGGTGTCAGTACTAGATTCCATAGCAGTTCTAGCTTCGGTGTCAGTTCTAGCTTCAGTGCTAGTACTAGACTTGGTGTCAGTTCTAGCTTCAGTACCTGTGCTAGACTTGGTGTCAGTTCTAGCTTCAGTGCCTGTACTAGATCCCATGGTAGTTCTAGCTTCAGTGCCTGTGCTAGATTCCATGATAGTTCTAGCTTCAGTGCCTGTACTAGACTTGGTGTCAGTTCTAGCTTCGGTGCCAGTACTAGATTTGGTGCCAGTACTTGTTTCAGTGCCAGAAGCAGAGGTAAAATCCAAACTGGGTGAGTACGAGATGTGGACGGTTCCAATAGGAGTAGGACTGGTCGAGAGCGAGCTAGTTGTGGAAACGGACACAATGACTAGGATACTAGACTGACTAGAAGTATCAGTAAAGAGGGGAGCAGTGACACTGTTCTCGGTAGAGGAATTGTCGCCCAGACCCAAGTGGTCAGGGTGGTCCAATCCCGCAATTTTCGCAGTGGAGCTTGCCGCATTCAAGCCGCTGATCTTGCTGGAGTCGGTACTGTTGGCACTATCGGCACTAGAGAAACGAGATCTATTAGACGCAATAGAGATGAATCTGCTGGTTGAGCTCTTAAGGAGGATGTTCAGGCTCGATCGTAAACTATCAAAAATGGCGGTGGACAGATTTGTTGACTTAGTCGAAGCATGTGAAGTAGATGCCTTGGTCGGCGGTTCGGTAGCGGAGGCCACAGTCGAGACAGTCGATGATATGGAGCTACTAGTTGAGCCATCAAAGAGGTTTTCCAACCTAGCGGCGAAGTCATGGGGAAGATTTTCGGTTAAGGATGTGGTTGAAGTAGCCAAAACAGCCCTAGTTGACATATTGGGTGATGATTTAACAGTCCATTCTTCCTTTATCATAGTTTCTGCGTTGATAGATGCGGTAGTGGAGTTCTTCCGGGGAATGTTCCTAGTGCTCGAACTCTCCGTCTTTATAGTTATGGCGGTGGTAGGACTCGGCTCACCACTGATGTTTGTACTACTAGTAACAATGTGTGAGATCTTAGGGCTCTTATGGTAGACAGAGATGGTCATAGCAACGATTTCTCGTCCCTTTTGAGTCTGTATGGCGGGCGAGCTCTCCAGTGTCGGAGTAACCGCTGGCTAAGAGGAAGAGTCATGCGTTTGCATCAGATTGTCGAACACCCTATTTGGGAGCAAGCCGGGGTCGGAATGAGTCTTCCTCTAAGTATTGTTGCGAGATGTCCGCTCGACTTCTCGCGGGAAATTCCAGCGCGGTTGGTCCATATGCGCTTGGGAAGCATCCTGAGCTGCTCCAAAATAGAGGTCTCCTACAGCGAGGAAGGCCGCGAGAACGGAAATGGCATTGGGATGCATTTTGAAAAGTGATGTATGTGACTACCCGTAATAAAGGGATATGAAGCCTGCCACAGCTATGTGTATGTACCATTCCTGGAAACGGATTCAAAGACCCCCGCGATATCGTCTGCTGGAAATGGTACAACGAATTACGGCCATTCGCCGCGCGTATGTCGTACTAAGGTAACTATACGGGGAATGTGATATCCAGTAGTAATTATAGCCAAAAAACAGTTAAGAAGAAGAGAGTGATAACAACCGCGCGACTTTGGAGTGGACTAGGTCGATACGGAGAAATAGGTTGTTATAGATAAGACAAATTGTTATGTCAACACTGTGTCACCCAATAGCCAGCATCTTTTGGATACAGACACTTTGTCCGGTTCAAACTCTTACAGTCGTTCACCTGGCATACGACAAAACCAAATGGTTAAAGAATTGGGAAATGACTCGAAGTTAGTCATGCGACTACTCGGAGTTGTTACGCATCGCACTTTAACGCAGGATTTGGTCTTAAGGGAGACAAGGCAGGAACCATCAAGAAAGCCACAGAAGAAAACGAGTTACGCGAACGGGCGTGGTATAGTCGTTCTCGAAATCGATTTGACAGATACACCCTTCGTCACTCTTTTCTGATCCCACCGCCAAGGCCTTAGCGTATATCAATCATTGAGCGGGCCTCATCAAATTGATAGACATCATAAAAGGTACCAAGTATGATACCGTATCTAGGTATATAGATTACGGAACGATTACGAAAACGAAATGAACTTCCGTAGACTTCTATAATAGGGCTCTATAAATCGTGCGGGAGGTTGCCTAGCAACTGGTTCCTAGACTCTTTGCTAGGTGACTTTTGCGATATCCATCAATTTGACGCGGCCAGCTCAATGATTGATCTATGCTAAGTAAGACCTTGGCAGTGGAACCAAAAACAGTGATCAAGAGTATATATGTCAAGCCGATTTCGAGAAGGATTGTATACTGGATACGGTAAATTCTGTTTCTTTCTCATCGGATTCTTGGCGATTTTATGGACTTCGACGTCACGTATTAATTAGCGCCAGACGTGGCTCAATTCTCATATAGCCAGGTTATTTCTCATTTTGTCCTCATTAAACGCTCGTTTCAAAGACCAAAGATCTGAATTGGTACATATAAAAGCAACGCATGCTTAAAAATTCACCTTTCACTTTCTTTTGGTCCTAGACTACATATCCCAAGTTCATTAGGCTTAAACATGAGTCTTTATCTAGCAACTTCTATATATACCAACACTGCCTAGAATGAAAGGAATTGTATCCTGGTCTTACGTGTCTTGTCATGACAGCGATTCTCAACGCCTGAAGATCAAGATCATAGCACATGACCCTGGATCCCTCGTTGTTTGCCGTTGGTCATATTTACTCACTGCTAAGCGGCGCATCAATATCAATACACTATGCGCGAATTGCTTAGAGGAAACCAACCTTGCGTCACCGAATGAAGAGTGGTTGTTTATCCACAAAAAGAGAAATCAGATCATGCTTGAAAGAAGCGTTACTTGGGCGAAGCAGGAATAGGACTTTTAGGTGACTTCTCGTGAAAGTCAACGCATCAATAAGACCTTAAAACACAATGGGAGGTTGCTTATTCATGTCTTTGGTGATGCTAGAATATCCTAGACCTCTTAGTGCTGAGTACCTAGATTGTTCCTTAGCTATGGAGAGTAGCGGAGACAGGACCGGGTTGTATTGGGCGGTAGGGCAATAAGTGCGACCAAAATCTTGGTACCGTAAGAGAACAGCATCGGGCTTTCCTTTTCATGCTTTCCAGCGATTCCGCATGCCCTCCTTCCTGCAAGCAGAAGAACAGAACGTTGAAAGTCTTCTTGATCACAGAACAAATAGCCTTCCTACCTGATACTCTACTTTAGCCCTTCGCGTATAGGGTGGATCGAAATCAGTTTCACTATTCTGTTCTTTTTGATTATTTCTCTAGCTCTAATTTTAGAGGCACTAGGCTTGATATAGATAGTCAATGCTGATCACCAATTTCCTATTTGACTATTCAAGATAATCTGGGCTATATATAGACTAAAGCGGGTCTAGCGAAGATTTAAGAATAAACAAAGAGAATAAAGTGGTGAAACTGATTTCGAGCGGACCTATATCAAAAGCTTTCTTTATCAGTCCTCATCACCAAGTTATGAAAATTCTTTAAATTTTATAGTGATGCTAGATATCACCTCAAACCATTACTTCATAAGTAAACGCCTCTATAGAGCACTAGTGATGAGATATCAGGTCGAAATTTATCCCATTTACTATGTATCAGACTGCGTCACTCGCTTACCGAATACTTTACCTTAGGGTCTGTATCTTATTTTTCTGCCAAGCCAAATTCAAGCATAAAGTGGGTATCTAGTTAGTCAGCATTGTAGGACGGCATAATATAGATGGCATAATACTACGGCCCTCACTTTGACACGACTTGCCTAAGAATCCCACTGCGCTAAAGCCTTGGTGGTGGGTCTAGGGAAGAGTTATAAGTGTGTATCAGTCAAGCCGGTTTCGAAAATGACTGTAGTAAAAGACAGGTTTCTTGTCTATGCCTTCGGCTACTTCGAGTGATCAACCATCGCATTTCCTGGGCACTTTTCTCGGCATCAGATATAGGCAGATTGTCATCGAGGAGGAAATTTTGATCTTGTTGTGGCTGCCTAATTAACATTCGATAAAAATAGCGGGGAACTCAGGGCACTTGAAAAAAATGATTGAATGAGCTAAGGGACAAACAATGGGTAAAATGGATGTTTTCTTACAACCGAACTAGGGATGTACCTATAGAGGGCGATCAATCACCCGGGTAATTGTAGGGGGGTTGGATCTGGTCGAATAATTACTGTATTTGGAATCTCACCACTGTGGCGAGGTTGATAAATTAGGCGTTTATCGGGGAACCCTCATTTAATCTCTGCGCTTCCGTATAAGCTTAGCGATTGGAGGATCACAAACAGTTGTCGAAAATCAAATTAATCAGGATAAGTGAGTTAGCTGTTAGCTCCAATCAACCATACGACTAAATTTAAACAAAGCTATGCCTAGTAATATTTTCCTTCGATCACCTTAGATTTTGTATCATTTGTATATTGAAATACTTGCACTTCGATGCATTCTAAAGGTCAATCGTCCGTATGGAGGCCGGGAGAGTAATAAGAACAAAAAGTTGAACATGCCCGCACACTATTTAAGACCAACATATTATCGGGACTGAGGAGGGGTTAAAGTTCTCCGGTGGTCATTTTCGGCAGTCTAAGCAGCCGGCCAAAAAAGGCAAATTTGCTTAGATTGTCATCTCAAATGTCACGTACTCAAATTATTTTTATTTTCAAGCACCCCCAAGAAATATGCCTGTTATGCCTCAAAGAACCATTGGAACATGTGTCGAACATGCTCACAACTTTTGAACTCTGTTGGAGTTTCTGTATAAAAAGTGTGTCTACCCGCTTAGTAGTTCTTATTAGTCGATCTACTTGAAAAATATTTCGGGCAAACTCATTCTATTAGACTCAAAATGAATATCATCTAAAAGACATTCATTTTATGCGTCCTGATTATCCAAGCAGTCAGTCGGTCAAGCTAGGATACATACAGTTGCTGACATATCGTAGTACGGCGGTCTAACATTTAGCACTAGCCAAACTGGATCGGCTCCTAGAGTAGTAAGTGATAAGATATTTTAGATGCTTGGGCTATTACTAAAATAATCAAGACTATAGATTTCCCTTCCTTTCCCGCTCCCGACCGCTTCTCGAAGGTGTCCATAGAGAAACGCAGTGTAAGTCGTTAAGATATGCTTGCTACCTCTAGCAGGGGATAACCTTATCAGATAGGCGGAGCCAGCTACTAACTGTGAATGGACATATAGGGTTGCATATACCAAAGTTATCAACGAAGACAATCTGGATCACCTTAAAGATATCAAGGATTCAATGTGTGTAGCAAGTCCAAACACTTGCACGAGGGTAGCGTATTTGGATGAATCAGGCATCTTTTTCTGTAATGATGTGGGTTTTCTCTAATCCCAAAAGAGTTGTTTCATCTTGAATCTTTCATACTTACTTAAGGCAGAATTATAAACCTATTATCACCGAGTGCGAGAATCTCATTGACCCTGTGAAGAAGCTGTCAGAGGCCTGCACGTATAGAGATCATTACACACTTGGTGTATTGGATGGGAAGATTAAAAATGGGACATCGGAGGTATCTTACCATCTAAGAATCGCTGCCGAAGGCTTTTAGATTTTGATACTGCCTTCCTTACAAGGTCTTACGGATTGCTATTGCACCTTTTCATATAATTAGTTTAGAAAGTTAGCCTATAGCAGACTCCTAAGTAAGAGTTTTATTTAGTCGAATTAGAAGTACTAGTCTTCCTCTGGCCGGGGCTTTGGCGAAACTTATCCTTGCGATTTCAAGCTGATTCTGCCACAAATATCATTGGATTCGGCCACAGCTTCCTGTTCGATATAAACTGCTACTATCGATACAATACTTAGCGTACTCATCCAATGCAAAAGTCGCTTCACTTGATATTAGGGATGCCAGGATCCTACCATATCATCTTTTCGTTACCTTCATTTTCACTCTTCAGGGACTTAGTAGAATTCCAAAAGCGCGCCTTATTGCTAATTGGCAGTCAGTCAACAGTCCTGGACCTCTTTGATCAAACTGCAATCTGCCTATGCAATACTTTTTAACGACCTTCTACAGTTCCACGCCCTCGGCGTTCTCGGTTCACAAAGTATACTATTTCGCTGTACAGAAGCGTTTTTAACCTAAGTGTCGCTTGATATGCTTTTGCATTTTTTCCTCTGACTATCTTTCTACGTAAATTTTATCAATTTGAGCCATGTTAACAAGGCAGGTTAAAAATGTGTACCACATCACTTTGGCAGCTCTAACGAAAGAAGATAGTCTGCTAGTATCGTACGAACAGAGGTGACGGGCTGATAGCAGCCGGATGCTAAACTAAGGGTGGTGAACTAAGGAAGATCAGTTGTTCCAATTCATCAATCAATATAATACATACACTAGGTGGAATACAAAGTATTCCAAAGTATAGGTATCCCTTTTCGTCTAAGAATAGTCAGACAACTGAACTAGTATCTCAGCACTGTATGGTAGGCTAAGCAAATGCGAACGGGGTTTTAGGAGAGTTTATTTATACATTTCAACGTTTTCTTGGCATAGAATACGAGAGTTTTCTATTAATTGTAAGTGTTGTTTAATTATGAGAATAATTACGACTGAGACTTTTTTAACATTTCAATAACAGTACTTGATAAGGGCAATAGGCGACGAAGTTATGCAAATGCTCTTCTTAGAAAAGGAAGAAGGCATCCGCTAAAGCCTTCACGGCTATTTATTCTTTTTTCAATCGGCCATCACTCATAACACATAGCCAACAGCGCTTAGCCTATTTGGCTTAGACAATTCGGAAAATTCATTGACTCATTCTTATGAGTGACAGCCCAGCCATTTTCCTAGCCTCTTGCCATGTGTCTTCTCTTTTTGCCACCGGAAATTACGTTGCTCGTCGCAAGTCATTTGGCTTCGCTAAAAGATATTCTCGGTCTCCTACGAGCCAGCCGAAAGCTTTACAATATCCTTATCGATGAACTATATCAAAGAAATGTTCGCTCAGATGGTGGATCAGCACTTTTGTGGTATACAAGTCGTGGGGACGAAGCTGGAGTTCGGAATATGCTGCGAGCGGGGGCCGATGTTAATCTTCGACCGCCAAATCGGACACAGTCGACGGCCCTCCTGCAAGCGGTTGCCACCAAGCATACCCGCGTTATGTAGATACTTTTAGAGAATGGAGCTTTGCCAGATGCGGCCGATGCCCGGTCCAGGAGGCCCTTGGCTTTGGCGACAGATGGGCGTAGCGACACGATTATCATCAAGTTGCTTCTAGAGTATGGTGCTATGGCCAATTCAGTTGTATTTGACAAACACGCCCCACTACTGAGGGCCGTAAGATCAAGCCAAGAGTCCAAAGTGGCGTTATTGCTAAAGCATGGTGGTGACGCACACATCGTGGAACGGCGAATCGGGATAAACCTGCTACACATCGCGGCTTCAAAGAACGCCTCTCGCGGAATCATGAAAATGCTGATAGATAATGGTATCTTAATAGACTCTTAAGACAGCCAGGGGAGAACACCGCTTCAAGTAGCAGTTGCTTATTCAAGCACACGTGCTATGTCTCTGCTACTACGTCTTGGTACCAATCCGAATTTCAAGAATGAGAACCAGTATTAGAAAGGATGGACAGCTCTTTTCTACGCTGCAACAAAATCTAGCAATTCCAGAAGTGACAACAAAACCATCATTCGAACACTTTTCAAGCATGGAGCTGATCTCGATTCTAAGAATCACGCTCAGGAGACACCTCTACTTCATGCGATCTCTCAGGGAGCCATCAAGCAAGCGCAAGCCCTCCTCGATTGTGGTGCTAGTATCATGGCGAGAGACGCGAATGGAGAAACTGTCCTCCACTTGGCTGCTACGTCGCCAAGCTGGTGTCCTAATATGATGAGTCGGCTTGTCGAAAACGGAGCTGATGTGAACTATGCTGGCGGCAAGCAGGGAGAAACTCCAATCTTCCATGCTATAGGCCAATCCTATAGCCAAAAAAGGATAGAGTGTGTCTAAATGCTCATCTCGCTTAGAGCTGATATTCACTTCCGAAACATTAATGGGTTGACACCTCTTTCCCTTGCTGCGCAAATGGGGTCTATGGAATTAACAAAACTGTTACTTGAACGTGGAGTTTCTGCCAATTCGAGAGACCTGCACGGCAAATGCCCCCTTCACTATGCTGCGGAAGCAAATTTCGAGGAAATTCACAAGGTCGTCGCTCTTCTCATTCACAACGGAGCTAATATGAACTCTCGGGATAACTTCGGATACACACCATTGCATAGCATTGTCGCTAAGTCAGGGGCGTGGGAAGCAGCTGCAGAGTTGTTAAAGGCCGGAGCTGACCGATACGCCATGTCTAATGATGGCAAGTTCCCTCATGATATGGTTCCTGATGGCCTATGGGCGGAAACAAAACGTTCCTTGATCCGGTTTTACATGCCGTGACTGATGTTGCCACCCTTAATCGGTTGCCTTTATAGCAGGCCAAATCATCTCTTTTATAATTACTACAGGCAATTCGAAAATCCTATTCAAGATTTAGATTCCGAGGACCTTATATCTCTACTAGGTCATATCACTATCTGAGTTCTTCATAGTATGTGCCGCGATTTATATCGGGCGCTATTCTTCACTTAAATTATATCATTTCCGCAAGTCTACCTAGCGCTTCTCCTATACATGGCAAGTCCTACTACTTAGTTGCGTTGATCGTAAGTTAGTAAGAAGAGCTTGAATACAAGAAAGTTATGTAAAAATCCTACTTTCGGGTATAAGTATGAAACACGTCATAGCAGCAAAGGTCCAGCAATCACTGCTGTGTATGATGATGCTGGTGCAGATGAGATACAAAGCTGCACTATCGGATTTAATTCTCGGGGTACCTATATCAACTAAGAGCTCATGCTTTATATATATTCCCACTTGGTCCCTCTAATTCATCGATTAATCCTAACTATAAAAATTATAGATTACTTTTGGCGTGATGATCCAATCGCTATTAGATTATCACATTTTGTATACATTGATTGAGTTTGTAACCGATAATGGAAAAGACTTGTTCTCAATTTCACTAATGCGGTGCAGCAATATCAAAATAGGAACCACGGGCTCTAGGCAATTGTTTTTGCTACTTTCCCGATAGAAGGTATACCAAAAGCTGGTCGCTTGACGCGTGATCTTTGGAACTGAGAATGTGCTAGCATTATGTGGCTAAATCCTTTAGGCGTTAGAAACAGCACATTACTACATACATTGCTTCCTTCACAAACATCTGAAATCCCGTTCAATGAACAGTTAGCCTCTCCCACTCAAAATCGCGCTTGCATCTAGTGTACCAGTCGGACACGGAATTTGCAATCCATGCGACAAATGTGTCAATCTAGCCGGCTACAGCCGGTCAACAGAAGCATCCGCCGGCAGAGTTCCCATATAAGCATTGAAGTTATAGATGCCATAGGGGCACGTTTTGGTAATTTCCCTCAAACTAGTCCCACATAGAGAATCAACCGTCTCTCCATCACGCACAACCTTGAAGCTCTGGGTACCCACGCCCATCGGCATAGAGTACGACCATACTCCGGCATCTGCCTTATAAGTCTCAGCATTACAGCCGGACTGCACATGTAGGGTTACGGGCATTTTCAGCATCGTGACAATGAATACCTCGTCGGTCATGTCATCGGCTCTATCAGGTCGGCCACAAACAAAGCTACCACTGCCGCTATTAGAGTAGCCTTGTATTGTTGTGTCGGTCGCGTCGCAGTCGACATCTTTGGGCGTCGGTCGGTACCAGTAGACAAGCTTTTCCTCGTCAAGGAAATTGATTAGCAGCATTAAGCCAGCTTTATAGGCAGCTATGAAAGGCTTGGCTATATCGAGCCAGCCGTTATGTGGCCTGGTTATTAGTTATTCATCGTCCCCGCTTAGATTTCTTGGGAGTCTTCTGCTTATATGCCCATAACCCATTTGGAGGCCCCGTCATCGGTATGCGGCGATAACAGCGGACCAATGTAGTGTGATTCACCGTAGTCATTCCAGGTAATAAGCTCCACGAAGCGGGGGCTGATCTCTAGGATCTCTCTCCATCGGTTATACCAGAGGAGGCCAGAGGGTAACATAAAGTTTTTGGTATAAGAGACTTCGCCGCCGAAATGGGTCGAGAACCAAGGTGAGATCGCTAATCTTGGATCAGAATAAGTGAAAGGAGATTGTTCGAACCACTCACGCGCAATATAGGGCTTCCCCCTTAGAGATGCCTCGTAAATTTTGTCGCCATCCCCAACAGCGAGCCGCCTGCTAGGAGTTAGGGGTTTGTTGCTTCTATGATTGTCCTAAGCGACCCAATTCAGAGCAGCCTAAAGATTACCGAAATCCCCCCGACCAGGGTGAAAATTCGGTGCAAAATAAATATCGCGACCGGCAGCCGATCTGACCGCGTCAATGTTAACACCATCGCCGGCGAAAGAGGACACGAAGGGCTTTCTATCGACCTTGAGCTAGGCGGGAAGATTGGCATACTATGCGATCTTTGCACTAACTGCACCACCCTGGCTGGTCTGCCACCAGTTGAAATCAAAAGAGAGGAAAACTTTCATGCCGTTCGTAGTGGTAGATTTATAAGCAAAATCCAACTGCTTGTCTGTGTAAGAATCAGTGCCAATGTTTAGAGCGAAAGCGTCGATGCCTACATATTTTACTCGCTTCATATTATCGTTATAGTCGCTAGCGCTTTAGCGGTTGCTAACAATGCCAACCTGAAGAGCGTCAGTACGATATTCACAACCTCAGACGAGATTATGGATTGTTATGCCATGAAATGACAGAAAACCAGTCTGTTTCTATGGTTTTCATCCGAAATAGCTATGGTGGGGAACGAGGAAGCTCCAATAAAGGATATGAGGCCAATCAAGGCTATAATAGGTCCGAAGAACATGAGTTCGGAAATGATGCTTGGGATAATAGAAAACCAGATCCAAAGCTCGTAGTAAAAAAGGCGAAGACACTGTGAGACGAGGCTATTGATATACTTTATTTAAATTCGGTCAAAAAAACGCGTTGCCTGCATTTAGGTTCATTGCTTTGTTCGAATTTTTAATAAACATTCCCTGAAATTGTAACGAGGGGTTTTCTCCTCGCCTAGGGGAAACTCAATTACGAGGGAACTCTTAGTATTACGCATTTCATCGGTTCTATCGTTGCAAGGAAAATCTCGCCATTGGCATAATTAGAAGCTTTCAGCTCAACCGCACGCTAGAAACCAAGAACAGCTGGTCTTCTCTGTGACTAATAACTACACCACCTCGTATCTGGACAAAGATCAATTGGCATACAATAGCTCGTCCTGCACTAATTTCTGGCAAAGCTACTACGTTATGAATGGACGGACTGTTTGTCGCCATATACTGCCACTCACATTTTATCGCCTGCAGAACGACCCTGGTCTATCGATAATACAGAAGCGGGCAGCCGAAGACCATACGTGCAAATTTGGTAAAGAGAGGCTAGGATAGGGGATAGATTGACTACTTGGTCAAAAATGAATGAGAAGCCCTACTTGTACGCAAGTTCATACTTAGTAATATATTCGCTTGTTTGGATCACAAAGATTAACAGAAATTTTGTTTGGAGATGATCACTTGAAATCTTATACTGTAGAATTCTAGTATCTCCTATGATCTCCCACAATATTTTTCACACAAACGAATATAGATCAAGCGGCGAAACAAGTACCATTGGTCACATGTATGAGCTGAACATCGTCCTTACATTTAGATAATTAGGAGCTTCTTGGTTGCGAGGTCGGATAGACAACCGAACATAAAATTTCTTCACATCAAGGGTCGCAATAACGTCCTAAACTATCTCACGGACTCTTGATAGGCTTCCTAGCATTGATTCTATTCGCGGGAGGAAAAATGGGTATACCGCCACCATTTCATCAACCTCATTGTCCAAAATGCAGAGCTTGATGTCTACCTAGTCCGGTTTCTCTAGGAAAGCTGACAAGTAGAGGAAGACATCCTCAGTATAGGTAGACGGTGACATTAGATCTGGACCTCTCCATTCCTAGAAGCATATGTTGTCACCGCTGGAGTATAAATAGCACACAATCCTCGGGTAGCAGTCGATTGTTTCTCTGGTGGACAATAGAAAGCGAGATGGATGATTGAGACAAGGACAGTTATGGCCAGTGGAAAGGACAGGCGGTGGTGCAAGGATATCTAGGGACCCTATGAATGATGTTTCGGCATCCAAAACTGCATGGTAATCTAGAAGAATACATATAGTGAGATTTAGGGGCCCTTAACGTATCTTAAAAGCCGCACCTACCCTTTTTCAAAGGTTGATCCATCTTTCCAGTAGCGGCATCTGTTCTTGGTGTTGGTAACTATAGCAAGGGGGCGTACAGGCTTGATCTGTTCGACGCCTCTTCTAGTCCTAATCTATAAACCTTCAATGAACGTGCAAAAAAACCTTACTATCGAATTAGGTGTGGACGAATTACCGTTCCAGCATTATCGCCCTATGGCTGGTTTGAACAGTCCCATTAGAATATATCGTGTATGTCTACGCGCACAAAACCACAGAATGAGTTAAAATTATGTCGCAATCCCTTTATTACACATGAAAGAAATTAGTTTCCGAGAAGTGGATGTCATGCTCCGGAGAACAGCTCCCTATCTCTGGGACAAGATTTCTAGGTAGCACATTACATTTTCTTCTTAAGACCCCTAAACGGTTAAAACACCCACCTTCTACCAGCCACTACCTACCCCGGGAAAGCTCTATTAAGCTACAAGCGGGCATGGCATGTTGTGTATATGATTGCCCTATTGTCTTGGGATTGCATTATTCTCTCATAACCAGTTTCTTCGGCATCTAGAATATAGTACAGCTGGTTTGATATCTAAAAGTAACAAAGCGAAGGCCCGTCTACTCTGTCATAAATTCCGAGCATTTTGAACGTAGCGTACCCCAGCCTATGTGTGCTTTTGTTACATAAAACACCGAACCATTGCCATTGCTGGTTGGGTAATTCCATTGCCGAGTTTCAAATGACCAAAAGAAAATCTCGAAGATCCACTCTACTTCAGTAGTTCATTTTCAGTTCAAATTGCATTTCCTATCTGTCACCTAATCCTTTGGTATTCCGCAATCCACGTTTTTCTTGTGAAAAATTGAATCTTAACGTATCTTTTGCTTATCTAGATGGTCCGCTCCCTAATGTCTTTTAGCAGCCATCAAATCGGCATTGACATTTATTATTAGTTCAAAGGGACTACAAGCCTCTACTATCCAAAATATTCATTTTCGATACGTTATGACTTATACCAATATTCACCAGCACAATGGCAGCAAATGTGGGGGAGAGAATCCGCCCAGATCTGCAAGCCTGAAAATCGAAGTTGGACACGGGGATAAAGACGCCCTAGATGATCAAGGCAATTGGAAATGGGAAACCGATCCAAACAATCCTTACAACTAGCCAACAATGTGGAAGGTTCAACAGGTGATGATGATTGCGTCGGCGGCGTTCACGACGTGGGCAAAACTTCCTCTTTGATATATTGTTCATTCCAACTAACCAAGTATCTAGCTCGCTTGGCGTATCTATTGTGTCGCCAGCTCATTCGCAGTTTATGAAAGAGTTTGAAGTCGGTAGTACGGTCGCAATTCTTCCTTTGTCGCTTTACGTGTTCGCCCTAGCGCTAGGTCCAGTTGTAGGAGGGCCGCTGTCTGAGACAATTGGAAGATACCCCGTTTATATCGGCTCTACACTACTTAGAAGTATATTCACCCTAGGCGTTGGACTCAGTTACACATTTACAGCAGTCTGTGTCTTACGTTTTCTCGCTGGTCTTTACTTCGCACCTCCTTTGGCTATCGCTGCAGGAACCATCAACGAAACGTTCAAGCCCGCATCTCGGGCTATCCCATCAACTATCTTCATCCTGACTCCTTTCCTCGATCCCGGTCTTGGGTAAATTCCATACCCCCGTATCGCGATACTGACACTCACTGACGTGTTCAGGCCTGTCATTAGGAGCTTCTTGGTCAATCGTAAGGGCTGGCGCTAGACTCAGTGGACGATGCTGCTTTTTGCCACGTGTAACATCGTCACTACTTTCATCGCTCGAGAGACATTTCATCCTGTGATCAAGAGTCGTCGCTCCAATAGCGTAGGCTTATCCTCTCCACTATCCTCACATTCCTCAAAGTTACCAAGTTTCGTGACTGTCGCTCTTCTCCGTCTAGCTCAGATGATTCTCACTAAGCCTATTGTTGCATTGATCTGCCTTTATGTGGCATGCGAATTTGCAACACTCTTTTCGTTCTTCGCAGCCTTTCCCCTTGTCTTTCAGGGTATTTACGGATTCGGAATCGAGGCTTCCGGTCTTGTGTTTCTGGCCATAGTGGCCGGATGCTTATTTGGTGCTATTACTGTGCTGTTATGCGACATATTCTTTTACCGCCGAAAAGCGGCAAGCTATCAGGAATAACAAGTACCACCCGAGCTTCGCCTTTACCCATAATTAATTGGTAGTATTAGGCTACCTATCAGCCTCTTTTGGTTTGGCTGGACCTCCCGAGCAGATATTTCATGGGCTAGTCCTGTGGTTGCCATCGCGCTATTCGCCTAGGGAAATATTTGCGTCTTCGTTAGTACAGCCCAGTATATCGTCGACACTTACCATGGCTCGACGGTGGCAAGCGCGATGAGTGCAAACAGTCTGGCTCGGTATAGGCTCGCAGCTACATTCCCTCTCTTTACAGTCCAGAGTGAGTACTCTTAATAGTCTCTTTGTATGATAACAATTACTGACTCCCAGTATAGTGTATACAAAGCTTGGGATTACATGGGCTTCGAGCGTACTCGGATTTATCGCTATTTTACTATTGCCTATTCCTTAGGTTTTCTTTATTAGAGGTAAACGTTTGAGAGCGCTGAGCAGATTTGACATGGCGGAAGTGCAAAGTTTTTAGTTGTCGGTCTTTGGAGAGCCGGCAATAGATTCTATCTGGCATTACGTCTATTTATGCTGCACATATGATACTTTTCTCAAGGGATACTTGTATTAGAATGTTCAATATTGCACAATGGGGTTTATATCAAATAATTTCGCGTATAACGCCATTCAGCCTTGTATTTTCCTGCGTTGAGTAACGTGAGGCAAGGATAATTCGGCAATCAGAAAACCTCCAGCTTCACTAAATTTAACAGTACTAAGCTCGATCATCACTTCAATACCTCCGAAATGTTGGGGTAAATTTGGTTAATTGAGAAATGTATTAAGTAGCATACATGTAGCTCCCTGCTATATAGACTGGTACTCAGCGTCTCCGTGCCTATTCTTAGCCTCATTAAACCATAAGCCTTCATTAATGTACACCTGGCATATATTAAAGGTTTGTATCCAGATGTTCAACCTTCCGCATCTCAAAAGTCTTCGAATTCATATCAAGTTGTCTATGGCTAGACATGCGTGCCGAGAATTGTTCTTTTGGCCTTGGATTTTGCGTCAACTACATCGATATCCTCCCAGACGTCCTAAACCATTTTAGAGGGCCCTAAAACTTCTCTCAGAAATCTTCCAAGAGATTGACTAAAGCTCAAAAAATCTTTATGCTAGGGCACGTAGTGGCCGCCGAAAAAGGTATAGATCTATAGGAATGAGCACTGTCGTGCAAGGCTCCGTGTCTGCCTAGGAGAAACCGTTGAATCCAACTCGCCGACGGCGTGTAACATCGGAGTCACAATTTTTGGGGAATAAAAAGCTCTATAGCACTTATTCTCTAGCTTAAAGCCACTCAGGCATACTACGAATAGTAATTGCGGATGGCGTCTCTAAGACCAGTCAGGCGTTAGATTCTATATCCGGAAAATAGAGTTGGGAAATTCTAGATTACCTCCCTTGAAATACCACGAACTGCGTTTTCCTTCTCCAGCATCGAAGTAACGATTACTGTCATGGCGGCACCCGAGGAAAATCCAACTATACCACTAAAAGGACCGTCTTGGTTAAGGGTATCAAGGATATGCTGAATAGACCTCTCTAAGCCGTTGATTTTATCATTATCGGGTTCACTATAGCCCCAGACTTTCTTGTCCGTGATATCGTTGTCATCGGGGTAGGCTGGTAGCACACCGGACAGATACTTGAACTCAAACTCCATCTCGTTAGACAGAGTGCGAAAGACTTCTCGCACGTACCGAGTTTTTGGCTTGAAGATGTCTGCAGATTGTCCATGTCCTAATGTTCTGTTAGCTCCCACGAGACAGTGCAATAAAGATGATGTACCATGAAGCATGAGGATTTTGTGAACATTGGTGGGCATTGCGAAGCTGAGGAAGCTAGAAATTAGCAACCTAGAATGACTCGTAAGAGATAATCTTTGAAATTTGTTGCCGTTGGCTATTATGTATCTAAAACACGTGTCAAAGGCTACTTGCTCTTTATAAGAGCTGGTACGATAGTGTCATGGTGTTGCCGTTTATCCCGATGTATCCCAATTCTTGAACAGCAATATGTGAAGCTCAACTATTTTGGTTATGTTGTTTTGAACTTCGCGTTCAAATGGCCTTCTCATCGACTCCATGCTATCATATCGCACGACTAATTTAAATTGGTGCTAGGCTTAAGTCTGTTCAATAGGTCGTCTTGCCGTCATCGCCAACGAAGTGATCAACCACGTAGCTGCATTTCGATCGGTTTCCATAGACAATTCCAAAGAATCGGAATGTTATAATGTTGAGCAAAAAAGCAACTTGGAGTCTGTGATTTCTTGCATAAGATCCTCGTTCTTTCTATAGGTCCTCGTGCTCGATTGAAGGCTGGAAAAGCTTCTGCCAAACACCAAGAGACACTATCTCGTGGTTATCCTTGGGAAGTTTTGACAAAACCCTCGGATGCGGCAGCGAAAGCTATTATCACCATTCAAGTTAGTAGAGCTTTGCTTCTCGTAAAAGCTCCACCCATCTATGGTGGAATGACTGATCTGCTTTAGCGGCTGTAGTTTCCACAGTGCGCGGAAGAGGGCTGCTGAGTAGACTGTTTATCTAAGCCTACGTCTTGCTGCTGAACACAGATTTCTTTAACTATCTGGCGAGGCTTTCTTTTTCATCTGAGAACGCAATGTATGATTTTAACGCCGTGGAGATAGACTGAATGGTTTTTTATGAATGCTTAAGGCTCTGTAGTTGCCCGATTCCCGTTTGAACAGTCTATATTGCTAGATCCATCATGGATAAGCTGACAACTTCCAGCGGAACCAGGCGTCCTCTCTATAATAGGCAAGTAGGGAGTGCGTCAAAAGTAGGCGTCGTAAAAGAAAATGAAGCAAAGATATAGAGGCCCGATCTGCCCATTTAGCAAGCCAGGAGAGGCGATTTCCAATAATCTACTATGGCGTCTGCGTCTTTGTCCTGCCCGACCGCGGAATTCGCCTTCCTCCGACCAATCTCACTGCTATTCGTGTGCTCCAAGAAAGTGGATGTTATGGAGCCACTAGACGGGCGAACCGTGGAAATGCTTGAGATGCAGGCCCCTCGGGATTTGGGCGGGGCCCACTCTAGGCGTACCTGTAATTACGTACGAGGGCCGTTTTTCTTACCCTTGGCGACCAAATAGCCCAACTTGGTTGCATGCATGATTAGCGACCGGACTATCCAATTCACTACCTTGGTTGAGGATCTGGAAAGAAAAAATAAAGAATCTGAGTTGCCCAAGCTCGAGTAGGTGTTCGGCTCCAAGCTTCGGGGGAATACCGGACAAGATACAATCCCTTCTCGCGTGTTTGGGGTTGATCACGTGACTTACAGAGGCATGATACTCATGGTGAAGCTTTATAGGATACCAAGATCAAGCTTCGATATAACGCAAAGGCATGAATAGCTCCGAAGTGAAGCGACTTGTAGCTGCTAGCAATTGAATTCTTTTGGTTAATATACCTGCCAACTTACACTGTTCAAACCCTTTATTTACTCTAGGGCAGCTCGTTCGCACCTCAACGAGATAGAAGCCGAGATGGAAGCCCAGAAATTGTCCTTCTTCCCGATCACTGGAGTCAATCTGCCCCTTTCCTGTCAGTTTTATAGTCACGATAGACCTATGTGTAAATTACGAGAGGAACAGATATATCGGTGAGAACATCTAATTGTAAAGTGCAAACGCAGCCAATATTTGAATTCATATCATAGAATGTTTTATACATCCATCCGCATAATTACATCTTCATTCCCTCAATAAAACCACCATGTCCATTTTATTTGGCTGTCTATCCTCTTTGTATCAGTCACTTCACGTTTCTCCCGTTGGGATGCGGATGCGGCGAATCATCTGCCAAAGCTGTGTAACAGACAGTGGCTGTTTACGTCGTCGAAAGACTGGCTTAGGGCTAATGTAAACTAAAGGCGCAATCAGCAATCATCAATGCAAAGTTCATTGTGGTAATTAGGTTAAGTGTAAAAGTAAAACGTCAAACGTCAAGGTAGGCGAGAAAATCAAGCAGTGAGGGCACTGGAAGACATAGGGTGAACAACGACGGACGGCATCAATTTAACTGATGTGTACTCAAAGTCACCACTCCTACTTTGAACAAGTGTGTCATTGATCCATTCTTGGGGTGGATGCTCCTTGCCAGGAATTAAATTGAAGCGGAATCTGCCGATTCAATCTGCCCAGATATATTTGATGGTTATTAAATTAATACGACCTCAACTTTGGCGAGGCGAATTTAATGCAGACCGTTTGAAAGGTGTTTTTTTTATTTTTTTCGCGATTTCTTTTTCTTGGCCACAATGGTCAAAAGGATAGTATAGTTGGGGGGGGTAATCGGCTTCATGTCCGCTCGAATTGCTCAAGTGGGGCCGGTTATACCGAGGTCGACTACTTATCATGGTACCATCAGATATTCCAGCGCGAAAAAGAGGACGACCGCGGAAGTATGCATCTACTCAGGATAAACAGGCATCAAATGTCACGCAACGGCGAAACCATCGACAACATACCCAAGCTGTGCATCGAGCCCAACAATTCGATCAGTACTATTCTACCACAGTACCTCTATCTACTGATATAGGATGCCTTTATGACGTTCGGTGGAGCCTCGCAAAGTGAGCCTACTCACCGTTTCCTTTCCTTCCTGAGGATGCATGCCTGACTTCCGTCTCAGTTTGAATCGGCCTATTTTTGGCGATACGAATGATCCGCCTGACAAATTGTCACTTCTTCCGGGCCTGCCCCCATGCACAAGTCTCGTCACGGCATATGAGTAAAAGTGATATCACCCGCAGGCCACCCGCTACGTGGTCAACTTCATGCACCAAACAGGTCTCCTCCAGCATTCATGCACTGTTCCAAGTGCCTCGAGGTCAGGTCTCACCGCCTCGAATATACGCGCAATGGGCGTCCATTGGAATAGCTTGCAAATGAGCTAGTGCATGAAGATGATTTATAGGAGGAGAGAGGATCGGTCAGTACTGGCCGAGGGACCGTACATCCGACCACCCGACGTTGAGCCTGAATACGTAGAACTGGAAACCTGGAGCCGGTATCTTCCTAAAAACAATATTTGCATTGATAAATTTTAGCTCAGGAAGCCAAAGTACATTCTATCCTGATCCTTCAAGTTTCAACATTAGAACAGGAGCAGAAGAAAATGCAGTCTATAGTCCACTAGTTCTGATGGCAGTCTTTTTCTTAATTCCAACCATCACATCTGAACACTTGCCAGGGGCTTTTCTGATGTAGAGTTCAACTGCTCCATACAAATGACTAGTTTCTTGGCCAAGATGTTGGCCATGTCCAGCGAGATAAGCGAGCTTGGACCAAGAACCATAAGTGATGGCGTATCCTGGTCCAAGTTCAACTGGATATGAACATCATGGAGGAGTCCGTGGAAAAATGGCTTGGGTGTACTTTCTTGTCCATCCAAGTTCATGCGGGGATAGGCGTCTGGGCTTTCCACAACAAGAATGACCCCGAACTTGGTATCCAAGGGCCAACTTGTTGCCATCCGAATAATATCTTCGATATCTAAGGTCTCATACGGGATACGCCTGACGTGTTGTTGCAGGGAGTGACGTAAAAGGTCCTGCACAGTCCCTCCCCGCGGGATCATCACGCGTGTTGGAACTTCGGCGATGGTACATCCGACTATCTTGTCAGTGTCAGGGAGACGCAGATCGCGCCCATGGACAATCTCCCCAAATACGACATCGTCGTTTCCAGTCAGTTGGGATAGCACCAATGCTGTTGCGGCGCGCAAGACAGACGCCGCCGTGACTCCTGGACGGGGCACGATTTTCGGACTGGGCATCATCCCGAAGACCATTTTCACCTCGCTCTCAACTGCACCTGGGGATGAGAAGCAAGTGCGAGTCATATGGGCACCATGCAGGTAGCGTTTCCAGAAAGCGACAACCTCCTGGCCACGGTTGTGGTCCACCCGGAGTTGCATATACTCCGGAAAGTCGTCGCGTTGATCCCGAGGATCCAGGGAGCCGCTGTAGGCAGCAGCCAGCTCCTGGAAGATCCGCTTCATGGAAATAGTATCATACAGGGAGTGATTGATCTGGACCACCAGAAGGTTCTTGGCGGTGGTGGAAATCCTCGTCAGACCGAAGTGAGGAGCCCCATCGGGGATGACTTGCTGGGCCGCTTCTTCACAAAACTGATGAACGTAGTCATCCAATGCAAGTGGCTCTGTGGAGTGAACTGGAATCCTGCGATCTACTTCCTTTAGAAAGCCCTGATATGCCTGGCCCTGATGGCAGACATAAACTGTTCGCAGCGCAGCATACTTTTCACGGACGAGTGCCCAAGCTTTCTCCAGGAGAGTATAGTCCACACTCTGACCGAGCTCATAAACAAGATGAGTGCACTTGAAGCCCAACGCCTTGGACTGAAAGCTAGTAGCCCGGATCAATCCACCCTCGAGATCACTTTTTTGCAGTCCACAAGAGTTGAGAAGTTCGTTGGCCTGGAAAGGGTTGACTTGAGAAGAAGAAGTGAGAGGACGTAAAGATGGCCCCGAGCCAGGGAGTAGTCTAGATGATAGCTCCAGTCTTTGTGCCAGAGCTCGAATGGTGGGTGATTCAAAGAACCAAGCGGAGGAGATGTCTGCTGACATCCAGATAGATCGGGCTTGGGCCACCAAGTGCATTGCCCTGAGCGAGTCTCCGCCCAGCTGAAAAAAATCATCATCGGCCCCTATCTGACCGGGGGAGAGACCCAGAATTGACCCCAAGAGGTGCTTTAGGGCGCCTTCCAATGAAGTGGATGGCTCCCTATGACCATGCGTTATTTGGATCTCAGTCGTTATAGAGAGACGTTCGGTCTCCTTAATCGTCTCTTTTGCTACTGCTGTCATTTTAGTTGGTTTCAACATGTTGGTCTGAGGCTTTTGATAGACAAGTCCTGACTGTAAGGTGGTAAGGTGGAAGATCACGTAGGAAAGAGTAATGCTAGGCAAATTGGACGATTGTTGGATGGGGGGCCAAAAAACCCCTGGGATATTATAAATGGACATGTATGTTTTGGCCGGACTCTGGCCGTGCAGATGGGCTAGATGCACCTAATACCAGCCAAGCGAGGGCACTTGCCCTGTGCCGGTAGGTATGCATTAGGCTCTTAGATGGCATTTCCCAATACGTTCCAGGACTGTACCTCTAACTGCTGTGGACTGCAAAAACTATCAGCTGAACATGCCGCCGTTTGTTCACTTATTATGCAGTTTGGATGTGTTCTCTTAGCAGTTGAAGCACATTCAGCCAGGGACTTGGCATCGATAATGCCATTAGCTTCATATAAAAGCTATGCTGTTGCATAATAGCATCAATTCCGATAGGATACTTCAATGTCTTGGGATCTGCCGATGCTGAACTATGTATGCGGGTTCCTCCCGCATGCATAGTGGTCCGTGGAGCGGAAAACCCATTGACACACTCTGACCGCTACATTAGAAGAGACCTTAAGATCTTTTTCGGATATGCTAGAGGATAATGAACAGATGAACTTGGCATGCGGGTTTCTCCCGCATGCATAGTGGTCCGTGGAGCGGAAAACCCATTGACACACTCTGACCGCTACATTAGAAGAGACCTTGAGAACTTTTTCGGATATGATAGCGGGTAATAAATAGATGAGCTTGGCATGCGGGTTTCCCCCTTGCATGGTGCTCAATTGGCCAATATCCTTATTACTGGCGCAGAAGTTGGTATAAAGCGTGCACCATAGAGAATGAACAAGGTTCATCAGAAATAAGATTTCGGATATTGTCCATTCCTGTTTTTCCTTTCCATATAAACAAAGTTTCGGATACAGCCCAATGGCAAATGAACCCACGTCTGTGTGCATGTTCCCTGACTTGGGACACGGCCACAGCCATGCCCGAGAAGAAGTGGTGGCGATTGACATGCCCAAGATACCAATAAGAGAAGTGACACGATGGTGTACAGACAGTGGCTTGGATCCCATATATCTGTTTAGCCTCGGCTGGGGGGTAATTTTGCGTCACTTCGCTGATGTGGATAACGTGCTCATCGGCGTTTCCACTGCTGGGACCACTTCCACTGCGCGAACATTGTCTACGTCGCTGAGTGGAAGGACTGTTGAATCATTGTTAGTTTCGGAGGGCTGGACTGTAGCCAACAAGCAGTCGTTGGCTGTCGGAGGTTATAACACTGGGATAAAACTGGATGATCTAGCATCTGGAAACGATACTGTAAGAAATGATTGATTTGTCCGGGCAAGAAGTTTTGCAGAGCTAACCGTTGAAATTGAAATGCCCAGTCACTTGATATAACCATTTTGATCGACATACTTCAGTCTGTTGTCCGCATGGAATACCGGACATCTTTCCTCTCACAGCCCCATGCCGAAAGTGTGGTTGAAGCTTTTACTCAGGCGATTTGGTCTATTTTGAAGGACCCAAAACAAAAAGTTGTCGAAATTAACGTGGTAGGGGACTTCCATACACGCCAGGTCTCTTACTGGAATAGTCAGATGCCCAGGGCTGCTCGAGACCACGCGCTTTACGGGCTGGTATCCCAACATGGGAGTGATGAGCTGGCTTTGGACGCTTGGGACGGGGCGATATCTTATGGACAACTGAAGGCGTTTTGTGAGACCCTTGCGTCTTACCTTCAAGGCAAAGGCGTCGGTCCACGGTCGATGGTACCCATATGCTTTGAGAAATCCTGCTGGGCAGTTGTAGCCATGCTCGCGGTGAACAAGCTTGGGGCCTGTTTTGTCCCAATTGACCCATCTCTCCCATCGGATCGTATCAGAACCATTGTCCAAAAAACCAAACCCCAAGTTGCTGTGACTTCACAAAGCCAATCGCACATCTTACTGGAAATTGTCCCAACGAGCGTGGTTGTCACAGCGGTGATGTTATCCTCTCTTACGCCTGCGGATACCTCGTATACGTCATGTCATCTCCCAACCGATCCGGCTTATTGCCTCTTTACGTCGGGGACTACAGGCACCCCAAAGGGTTGCGTAGTATCACATGCGGCTTTCTCAAGCGTCAGCACCCACTGCAAAGCCTTGCAGATCCAACCTCGCAGCCGAGTCCTGCAATTTGCTTCCTACGCGTTTGGAATATCTCTGATCGAGGTGTTTTGCACCCTCAGCGTCGGAGCGACGGTTTGCATTCCCTCCGATCAGGATCGATTGAACAATCTCGCCCAATTTATGACACATAACAGGGTCAATCTCGCGATGTTGACCCCTACTGTCCTTAATTCCATCCACCCACATCAGGTGCCTAGACTTGAAACCCTAATTGTCGCAGGTGAGCTTATGACAACTAGTCACGTTAGGAACTGGGCAGAAGATGTACGCCTCTTCCAAGCCCTAGGATTGACGGAGTGGGCGGGTATCCTCTGCGTTTCTCGACAAATACGAGTTGTTGCTGATCGGTCCAACATTGGCAAGCCGACAAATGGGGTGGTCTGGCTTGCAGACGTTCAGGACATCAACCGTTTAGCTCCCATCGGTGCCCCGGGAGAGATGGTAATAGAAGGCCCTAGCATGGCCGATGGCTACCACGATGACAATGAACGAACGGGAGCCAGATTTATGACAGCTCCGCCATGGCTGGCCGCCTTCTCGCCTGAGATTGCCAACAGACGACTGTATAGGACTGGAGACATCGGCCACTACAACCCAGACGGAAGCATCACCTACATCGGGCGTAAAGATACTCAGGTCAAAGTCCGTGGACAACGAGTCGAACTTGGTGAAGTGGAGAACCACATCACCCGTTGTTTGCCAGAAGGATACCGGGCAGTTGCAGACATCATTGAGCCGGTCAACGTTGGCCCTGGTCGGCACTACCTCGCTGCATTCATAGTTTTGCCACCGTCTATGCAAGAAGACAAAGATGACAGCCTCTGTAACGTGTGGGCTACACGGGCTAGCAATCCTCTTTCATCGCATATAGACCAGGTCAAAGACTCCATCCGAAGCGCGCTTCCTGGACACAACCTCCCAGACTTCTTCATCCCACTAAGACATCTCCCCGTCACCATAACCGGAAAAATAGATCGTCGGCGACTGCGAGAGATTGCCAGTGGCTTTACCACGAAAGAGCTGGACGAACTAACCGCCCAAGACGGACAAAAGGCTATCTCACGGCCTCAGGGTCGGAAAGAAGCCATCATTCACCGATTGATTGTTGACCTGCTGCATCTGGTTCCAGACCAGGTGGGAATGGAGGCAAGCTTCGGCCGTCTGGGGGGGATTCCGTAGCGGCCATGAAACTCGTGGGTAGGACACGCAAAGAAGGTGGGCTGCGATTGACCGTGGCAGCTATCCTAGAATCTCAAACACTTTCTGACATAGCACTGGCCGCGGTTGAAATGACAACTGCGTCTGCACAGCCCATTTCCATGCGTCCATTCGAACTGCTCCATGAGGATGTCTCGGAGGCTGTGAAAATGGAAGCTAGCGATACATGTCAGCTGCACATTGAACAGATTGAGGATATCTACCCGTGCACCCCGCTTCAGGAAGGATTGATTGCAATGAGCATGAAGACCCCGGGGTTCTATATCGCGCAGGCTGTGTACGAGCTCCACCCCTCAACCGATGTCGCTCGGCTCCAACAGGCGTGGGAGCAAACCTGTCAAGCGAATGCAATTTTGCGAACTCGAATAATTGATATCCAGTCCAGAGGGCTTTTCCAGGTCGTGCTAACCTGCGGGGATACGTCGTGGGAGACGAACCAAGGATTCACCAGGTATAAGCCCATGAGTCCAGTGCTTGGTTCACCGTTATCGCAAGTGCAAATTGTCCAAGAGGGTTCCTCCACCTTATTCGTGCTCACCATTCATCATGCCATCTGTGATCGATGGTCGATCCATCTTCTGATTGAGCAGCTCGGGAGGGCGTTTACGGGCGAAAAGCTGCCCAAACAAGGGTTCAGCCAGTTTATACAGCATATAGGTCGAGTTCAGGACTTAGAGACCTTCTGGAGGTCTGAAGTGGCGGATATACGAAGCACTCAGTTGTTCCCTGATCTCCCTTCTCCCGGGTATGCGGTGGTTCCCGACCAGCAACTAAGCTTTTCTATTCAAACCCCCTCGGCTGCCGACGAGGAGCTTAGTCTTTCGACTCATATCCGCCTCGCCTGGGCCCTAGCCTTGATGAGTTGCACCAACTGCACAACCTCGGTGTACGGAATTACACTGTCAGGACGCAATGCGCCTGTTCCAGGCATAGAACAGATGGCAGCCCCGACCATTGCCACTGTTCCCCTGGTTACTCGCCTGGATAGGGTGCAGACTGTCCGTGATGCGTTGAAAATGGTTCACAAACAGTCGATCCGTATGATACCATATGAGCAGGCAGGGCTGCAAAACATTCGGCGGCTCTCATCAGATGGAGAACACGCATGTCGCTTCCAGACGCACTTGGTCGTGCAACCCGCCCTTGCGGATGAGCCTACCGGACGGTTCCAGGCACGACAACAAGGATCCACGATCATGGGGGGGTTTGCCACCTATGCTCTGGAGCTGGAGTGCTTTCTCTCCCGGGATAATAGTGGGTTTGAGATGATCGCGACCTTTGATCCATCCGTTATCAGCTCTAATATGGTGACCCTGCTCTGTCAGAGCTTTCAGCATAACCTACAACAAACCCGTCTTCATCCAGAACTTACCCTAGATCTGCTTTTCAAGACACTCTGTCCGCAACATCTCCAGCAGTTGCAAAACTGGAACAACAGTTCGTATCCTGCACTTTCATCGACAACAGTGCATGGGGCCATCGATAAGCGTTGCTCGGAACAACCACACAGGCCGGCTGTGTCTTCATGGGACGGCGAGCTGACATATAAACAACTGAATTCCCTGGCGACGATTTGGGCCGCCCGCCTATCCCGATGTGGCGTGAAACGTGGGATGAAGATCCCTCTCTGCTTCCACAAGTCAAAGTGGGCTCCAGTTGCAATGCTTGCTGTACTCAAGACCGGTGGTTCCATTTGCTATATAGACCCGTCCCTCCCACTCTTGCGTATTAGATCAATGTGTGAGGACATCGGGGCTTCCGTCATAGTCTCCTCCCGGAGCAACGAGGGCCTCAGCGAGAGCCTATCAGACCAGGTTGTCGTTATCCCTCAAGATGACACCCAGGAAGATTATAAAGACTTGGACCTCTCCCACTGGCGTTGCCCTGATGTTTTCAGCAACGACCCTCTCTACACAGCGTTCACTTCTGGGTCGACCGGAAGACCCAAGGGTGTTACGATTGAACATGGAATGTACTTGGCTAGTGCATTGGCCCACGCGGAATTGATTGGTATAAGACCCAACAGCCGAGCACTCCATTTCTGTTCATACTCCTTCGACGTCAGTTATCTCGAACAATTTTCCGTCCTGATTGCAGGCGCGTGCATATGCATCCCGACGGAAGAAGAACGTCAAAGCAATCTTGCCCACGCCATGGCTCGACTGAATGTGGATTGGGCAATGTTGACCCCGTCCGTTGCTCGAGTTCTCTCGCCTAGAGAAACAGTAGGTTTGAAAACCTTGGTCCTTATAGGTGAGCCTGTGTCTGCATCAGACGTGGAGACATGGAGTGACAGTGTGCGGCTCATAAATACATATGGGCCAGCCGAGTGCTCTGTGGTCTCTAGCATCCGAGCACCCGTCCGGCGGGATATACACCCGTCTAACATCGGGTATCCGTGCTGTTCCCATTGGGTGGTTGACCCGAGGAATGCAGACCGGCTGATGCCAATAGGTGCAATTGGCGAGCTACTCATCGAGGGCCCTATCGTGGGTACAGGGTATATTAACGCCCCCGAGAAGTCTGCAGATGCATTCATCGAGCCTCCAAGCTGGCTTCAGAGTCTTCGGCTGGATGTTCCAACGCGAGTTTACAAGACTGGCGATCTCGTGCGATATGATCCCTCTGGAGATGGATCGCTCTGCTTCATTGGACGAAAGGACAACCAGGTCAAGCTACATGGACAACGGTTGGAGCTCGGCGATGTGGAGGGGCATTTGCGTGACTGCTTTCCAAATGCTAGGGATATTGTGGCAGAGTTAATCAAGCCCAATCACTCTTCCTCGACTGGACCCTACCTGGCAGCATTCGTCCACCACAGAGATGCGCATGAAGGAGAAGGGAAGCTGCTGGCACCTCCAAACGCATCGTTTCATCGGGATGTCGAATCTGCCATGGTCACTTTGCGTCAACGACTACCCAGCTTCATGATCCCGCATATCTTCCTTCCCGTGAAGCAAATACCGCGCACCACGAATGGGAAGGTTAGCCGTCGAGAGCTGCAAATGGCGCTTGCATCATTACCGTCTACCACGCTGGAGCCCTATAGGTCTGACAGGAAGCCTAAGTCAGCCCCGTCGACTTCCAGGGAGGAAGCTCTCCGCCGCATCTGGGCTGTCCATGTCAGCATGCAGCCAGAGCAAATTGGAGTGGATGACAATGTCTTTCACCTAGGCGCAGATTCTATAACTGCAATGCATGTCGTTACTGCCGCAAGACAAGAAAAGCTCCAACTTACCGTGGCTGATATATTTCGTTATCCAAATATTCGTGAAATGTCGCTTCGGCTGCAGGCCTTTTGCGACGACACATCTTCAGTACCGCCTCCCCTCAGCTTATTGTTAGAAAACGATGAACCAGTGGATAATATACTTGCGAGCTGCGCACAGGAATGCCAGATACACCAGGACGACATTGAGGATGTTTATTCCTGCACCCCTCTACAGGACGCCCTGTTCGTGGGAGCAGCTGTAGGCCAAAGGCGGAAAAATCGACCGACGTACGTGGCGCAATGGGAGTATTCCCTCCATCAAAACATCAACAGAGACCAACTCCAGGAAGCCTGGGAATATATCTATCGCGCAAATCCCGTTCTGCGCACCAGATTTGTGCAATTGGCGGGCGGAAGCCTCTACCAGGTCGTTGTCCGAGAAGCTGGGCGCTGGGAAACCTGGTGCGGACGGGATGAATACAGTCAAGCACTGGGCTCGATGGTCCTCGGACAACCATTGGTAAGGCTTGCCTGGGTTCAAGACGGGAAAACGCAAAAGCTGGTTCTCACCATGCACCACGCTGTTTATGATGCCTGGTCCATACCCCAACTCTGGTCGCAGGTTGAGAACGCATACCACAATCGAACCGCACCGGTAGTCCCGACCCCATTCGCCTCCTTCGTGCGTTACGTTCGTTCCGGGCAAAATATCGAGGCAAGTCGGGATTTCTGGGTGTCACAATTCGCTGATCTAGAGGCGGTGGTGTTCCCCTCCATGTCCTTGGGCTCGTACGAGCCTTCCGCAACAAAGGATTTACAGAAAATGGTTCAGCTGGGTCAATCTACCAGCCATGAATTTACCCAGTCCACTCTCATCCGGCTCGCGTGGGCCTTCGTTCAATCGCAATATCAGTGTACGTCAGACGTCGTGTTTGGCGTCACCTTATCTGGGCGACATGCCCCAATCCCTGGCATTGAGGCGATGACCGGTCCAACCATAGCAACGATTCCGTGGCGAGCCATTGTCCATTCCAATCGGCCGATTAGGGAATTACTAGAGCAGGTCCAGAGACAGGCATCTGAAATCATCCCTCACGAGCAGATGGGTATCCACAACATTCGAAAGATGAGCTCATATGCGGAGCGTGCCTGTTCCTTTCAAACATTGCTGGTGGTGCAGACGGGCACCAATTCAAGCTCTATGGCATCTACTATCCTTGATGGGGTCGAATCGACAGTGGGCGCATGCGACTTCTGCACTCACTCTTTGACTATAGTCTGCAATCTGGTGCAGGGTGGAATCCAGATCCAGATGCTATTTGATCCAACTATCATCTCGGGGTCTCGTGTGGGAAACATATTAGGCCAGTTTGCCTACATCCTCCAATTACTTCATGACAGCAACACGAATTTTGAGAGACGACTGCAGGACTTCCCTCTAATTAGCCCGCAGGATATTTCCGTTTTAAATCACTGGAATCGAGATTTGCCCGCGACTGTGAACCACTGTGCACACGAGCTATTCCGCAAGAGGTGTTTCGAAGCCCCTAACGCCCCTGCCGTCAGCGCGTGGGATGGGAAATGGACCTACAGCGAGCTGGATGTAACCTCAAGCGCACTGGCCAAAGCTTTGGTCCAGCAAGGCGTTGAGCGGGAGATGTTCGTTCCTGTATGTATGGCGAAATCTCGCTGGGTTATAGCAGCAATGCTCGCAATTCTCAAGGCCGGTGCCGCATTTGTCCTGTTGGATCCAACGCACCCTGTCCAGCGACTCCAAACCATCTGCGAGAGTATTGGAGCAGAAGTGGTGGTTACATCCCATCAATATCTGGGACTCGGAAAGTCTCTCGCCCCTCAATGCTTTGTTCTCGACGAGCAACAACTGTCATCCCTGGGAAATATTTCGCACGATGATTTCCCTGCACTCTCTCCCTCTTCTGCAATATACGCTGTATTTACGTCCGGCTCGACCGGAACCCCAAAAGGGGTTGTCATTGAGCACCGTTCTTTCTGCTCCGCGGCTTTGGCATATCTCCCCCAGTTAGGTATCGCCCCGGGTGCCAGAGTGCTGCATTTCGCGTCATATGCTTTTGATGTCAGCATCATGGAAACGCTCGCTACTCTTGTTGGAGGAGGCTGCATCTGTATACTGTCGGATTCTCAACGCTTAAACGGGTTCTGTGAGGCCGCAACGTCGTTGGGAGTGACTCATGCCCTGCTGCCGCCTTCTTTAATCCGATCGCTTTCCCCATCAGAGCTTAGGACTATCAAGACCCTGGTGCTGGGCGGAGAAAAAATGGCCGCGGCTGATATCGACAACTGGTCCAGAGAAGTTCGTTTGATAAATGCATATGGGCCTGCGGAGTGTGCGATCAATACGCTCCTGCGGGCGAATATTACTGCCTCCGTTGATGCGGCCAACCTTGGTTTCGGTACCGGAGTAGTATGCTGGGTAACAGATCCTGATAATGTCGAGCAACTCGTGCCCCTTGGAGGGGTGGGTGAATTGATACTTGAAGGACCTGCAGTGGGCCGTGGGTATCTCAAGGACCTCGAGAAGACTGCTGCAGCATTCATCGACACCCCATCATGGCTGTTGACCTTACGAGGGAACCACCCAGGGAGACTATACAGAACCGGTGATCTTGTGCGCTATGTTGATGATGGTTCACTGGTCTATGTAGGTCGCAAGGACTCCCAGGTGAAGCTGCGCGGACAGCGGATCGACCTTGGAGAGGTCGAGAGCTATCTGCGACATAATTTCAACGCGCAGGACGTTGCAGCGGAAGTCATCATTCCACAATTCTTACCTAGTGCACCTTTACTTGCGGCATTCGTATTATTCGCGGCGGATGCCCGGAAAGGTGATCGGGAATCTCTCTCTGTGCTTGGTAACCCAAACGCAACCTTTCATCAGGAGGTCGAGGCTGCAACAACCAAACTCCATCAGTTGCTCCCAAAATATATGATTCCGACAAGGTACTTTCCTTTGAACAGGATGCCTCGGTTACCTTCTGGTAAGATCGATCGACGGTGTCTGCAACAGAGCGTGGCTATCCTTTCCGCGGCTGAAATGGAGCAATTCCAGCCCATGGCCTCCGAGAAGCGAGATCCCTCAACAAATGCCGAGCGCATTCTGCAGCGCATTTGGGCGGAAGTTCTCAGTCAACCTCTTGATAAGATTGGGGTGGATGATAGCTTTTTCCATTTAGGGGGTGACTCCATCGGGGTCATGAAAATGGCTGCAATGGCACGAGAGCAAGGAGTCCAGATCAGTGTTGCTGACGTTTTTGCCCAGCCAGAGCTGAACTCTCTCGCGTTTTCTTCTCAATCTCAGTCAGCTCTGGCAATATCCCAGCCGCGACGCTGGGAGCCTTTCTCTCTCTCAGGAGTGAACGATTTACATGCGTTTTCGAAACGTCTGTCTGCCCAGGGAATTGTTTTGGCTGATCCTGATGAGATTGAAGACATCATCCCTGTCAGCGAATCTCAATCTCTCTTCCTTCGTCGGGATGTCTTACATTACTTCAGTTTCGTGCTGGAAGGATGTCTGGATATATCTCGGCTTCAAGCTGCCCTCCGCGCTGTCACTAACAAGTATTCTATCCTGAGGACTTGCTTCATTCCGCAAGGCCACAGCTACCTTCAGATAGTTCGGCGAAGCATACCGCTTCCTTTCACGCATGTTGTCGGACATGCAGATATCATGAACACTTGCAGTGACATCTGGAAAAAGGACTCTGCAACATGGAATGTAGTGAGAGAAGTGCCTTTTCAGTTAATCCTAGTCTCTGAGTCAGCGTCACCCACAAGACATGCGCTCTTGATACGGCTTCTGCATGCTCAGTGGGATGGTGTTTCCTTACCGTATTTGTTCCGAGACATCGAAGAGGCATATAAAGGCCACACGATTCGCCCTGTATCCAGCTTTGGCGACTTTCTCTACGCCCGTGAGATAAAGAAATCAGCAGCTACGTTCAGCTTCTGGCGAGAGTTCCTACACGGTGCATCCATGGTCACTCTTCCATCCAGCCTAAAATGTCCCAAAACACCTGCAGACGACCCCGCAACCGTGTGGGTTATGAAAGAACTCCAGTCGCCCAGATCGCCGCCTCCGGGCATTACAATGGCCACTGTTGTCAAAGCCGCGTTCTCTCTCGTGATGTCAAACCTTATCAAACAGACTGACTTCGTCTTCGGACAGACAGTCAATAGCAGGAGCTTCTCCTTAGATGACATTGATAAAATCCTGGGACCCTGCTTGAATCTGATACCTTTCCGCATCCAACTCGAGGACGGCTGGAAAGTCAAGGATCTCCTCGACCATGTCCAGCAACAGCACACTCTGACGATGGCTCATGACTACCTGGACTTTGGGGACATCGTCGACAAGTGTACAGATTGGTCTCCCGAAACCAAATTCAGTTGTATTCTGCAGCACCAGAATATTGAGCGAAACCACCACCTTGCGCTTGATGAGAGCATACGATCCGATTTCAAACTCTTCCCTCGCTTCCGTCCCCTCTCAGAGCTGTGGATTTTTTCTGTGCCCGAGGCGTCCAGTCTAGCTATTGAGGTCTGCACGCGCTCCTGTACATTGAGCCAGGAGAGTGCGACGTTACTTGCTGAAGTCCTCTGCATGGCGGTAGAACAGCTTTTGCGTTGTCCCAACGGCTCCATGTGTGACAGCGTCTTGGCCATTCAGGCCAAGATGTTGAATTTCCCTACCTATTTCTCTACACAGAGGTAGGACTGCTATGTTGTGAATCTGGTCCCGCATATTCCGGGCTCAGCAGGGCTTAACCCTACCGAGCCGTCTTGTCGAAGAAACGGAACACGGACCCGAAACCTGATGTATATAGTATATAGTAAGCCTTCGACCTTGGAATCAATCAAGCCAATTAAATCTAGTCTCCATAAGCGTATTGTTAACCTCTCTACATATCTCTATCTTATAGAGTTAACTGGACAGTTCAGATCCTGTATTACAGCATACTAAACTATTCAAGACTCGTAGATCGTGCAATACTACGCAGCTCAATCAAAAGAATATACTCTACTTTTCTCAGGTCTAATTTCCGAGGTTGGCTTGGTCACATTCGGCATGGGCTCATGGGCTCAATGAGAACAGGATATTGTATATATTATAGAAGACCCATCGGGATGCGTATCTCAATCGGCACATTCTCTCCGGCTCATGGGAGCATTTTCTCTAGTGCTATGCATTTTTGAACACTCCTCTCATGCCCCTCACCTTGCCATCGTGGGGACTTCACCGCCATTTCTTGTGATACGTAGAAGCAGACGCCCGAGCTCTATCCGAATCGATTCGTCTAAATTATCTCACAATGAAAGTGTGCAGAAATTGACGAAGCTCTTTGTCCAATGATGTTACATCCTGGAAGCAAGGGCCGTAGGCCTGTGGCAAGGTAGACGAGGATAATTGAACGCATGGAAATGTATTTAGATGAGTTGCCATCGCCGTTATAAAAGATCCATCCCTCCTCGGCTACAGCCTTTGCCTGAGACGAAGGTTTAACCACGCTCAAAATGACAATTTCACCAGGGGTAGCACCCAAACAACCGTCAGGAATCACTGTTCTCATCGTCGGCCTGGGTACAGCAGGCCTGACCGCCGCCATCGAATGCCATCGACAAGGGCATCGGGTTATTGCATTTGAACGAGCAAAGGAGATTAAATCACAAAGTTTGTCTTGCCATATATGCGCCTTCTCTGGCCCCTGGGCTGATTGTAGTGCGCTATGTGCGATTTAGTTGGTGACGGTATCGGAATCGCGTCCAATGCTGCAAAAGTCGTCTCTCATTGGGGTAACGGAGCAGTTCGTGAGGCGCTCTGCCGCGTTAGCTGCTCCGCTAATGTGGTCGAGGTTCATGACAATAGCGGTACTCCTCTTATTGTGAGCCGGCTTGATGGGTACATCGACGGGGAAGGCTATATGGTTCCCCGCGGGCCAATGATGTCCATTTTCTACGAGCATGCCCGCTCCCTCGGTATCCCTCTCCATCTGGGTTGTGTGGTTGAAGAGTACTGGGAGACTGACACGGAAGCCGGTGTTATTCTGGCTAGCGGAGAGAGGTTCGTTGGGGACTGCGTACTGTGCACCGACGGCGTGCACGGCCGTGGCCGGGACATGATCTTGGGCGAGCACTCTCAAAAGTCAAGGGACACCGGATACTCCTCTTTTCGAACCTTGTTCAGCACGGAGGTTGTCGCGGCTGACCCGGCCTCGCGTTGGGTTCTTGAGGGAACGGACATCCGTGATCGAAGCCTGATGTTTCTGGGTCGCGACATGGAGTTTATGATGGCCACGTTTGAAAACGGCAAAAATTTGATGTGGTTCTGCACGCATCGTGTAAGGCTCCACTCCCGACCTCAGCTCTCTAGTCGCAACTAACCTGGCTTGTGATATAGGACACATCTGGAGGACCAGAATCTTGGACTCGTTCCTGTTCTCTGGAACACGCGATCGGATTTATCAGTTCCTGGCCGTGTCGGGATAAATTGGAACCAATCATCCGGAAGACTCCCGGGGCGACGGTACTTGACCATCGTCTTGTCGTACGATCTCCATTGTCCACCTGGCGGTCGGCAGGCGGAAGAATGATGGTGCTTGGGGATGCGGCGCATCCTATCAACTATACCGTTGGCCAGGGAGTTGGTCAAGCCGTCGAAGACGGGGCTGTGGTGGCGATTGCTCTCCGATTAGCAGGGGCCAGTGCCGTCCCTTTGGCATTGCATGTGACAGAAATGATCAGGTATGTTGAATTCGGGAGGTACATGTCCGCGCCTGAGCGGATGAGACTGAATCGAGGCACTGATTCCCTACCAGACATCCGCGGGCTACCATATTACAGGAGGCTGGCGCCAAATTCCAGGCTGTCTGGCGTAACGCAAACTGGGATGATGTCTGCAAAGACCTTAATGTCCTTCGGATGCCTCGGCCCAAATGGATCTTTGACCATGATTGCCAATCGTATGTGCTGAATGAGTTCGACAACGTGGTGCGACTGATCCAGACCGGAGCAGGTTATGTGCCGTCCAACCTACCACCAGATGGGACGACGGGAATGGAGGATGACTATAACTCCTAGGATCAATCAATCAATCAATCAAAGTTCAATTAACCTGTTGCAATCTTACTAGTAGCGTATGATTATGCAGGCGTTTCCTCCTTTGGAAACAAGAACCCGTAGCCAAACGCCTAAGGCTGGGGAAATTGATACTGATTTGAAAAGAATGCAGAAAACAGCCCATCTCGATTCCAGCAGCCCACAATACAAACTACAGTCCCCGTACTAAAGAAACCCTGAAGCAATGATCGCACTGAGGTGCAGCCCTCATCCAATCGCTTATAATCTCTGATATAGTGCCTTCACTTCCTTCGCATCGCCATCCTCATCACTTCCCCCGTCTCCGATTCAATTCATGTTGTGTTCGTCGCTAACGATTTCATTTTTGCAGCATGTTCGTCGACTATCACCGAGGCTCTCGACTCCCGGTTTCGAATGGTTCGGTATCATGTACCCATCGTCTTCCACACCTGCGTCCATAGCTCGCTAGCCGTTCCGTTGCCCGTCATCGTCCTCGTCGTCGTCCAGATCCACATGTCGACACTGTTTCTGGAGACCTGTTCGGTGAATAAAGTTGACTACGTAGCGGGTGGCCCGCGGGTGAGACATGATCTTGTCGTAGTCATTCTTAGTTTCCAGACTAGGGCTGTTGCGAATACGAATATTCGCAAGAATCAGGATTCGATATTCGTACTCGCAATTTTTGTTGAAATAAGTGATTGTATGATTGATTCAATTTTTATTATTGACTTAGGGAGTAATCTTTCACAGGGGCGGGATGCTCCATATATCTCTTTCCTAATCCTTGTCATAAGGTTCAGCCACCATGATACTCAACAATTTCAGACACCGCGGATAACATTCGCAAATTTTATTCGCAAGTTGAATGTATGCGAATGATTGTTCCCGGTCCTCTGTTCCAGGGCCGCTTGCCCGTTCCGGAGTGGTTGTTGTCTCTCTCTGATGCAGGTCACTTCCGTCCCACGCGGTCCATATGATGGCAAGTTTCAGATACTGATCTTTTTTCGATTTCGGATCGTCTTTGTATGTCAGGCGCAAATTGAGTCCCAAGTGTGGAATCTCCACACCACCAGAGATAAAAAAGTTCAGTTGCGCATCGGGACGAGAATGAATGTGGGTGGGCTCTTTCCCGCCAGCATACCACAACATGAGTCCACAGACAACATCCTAGGAAAACATCTGGTACTGGTGAAGTGTCTAGGCACGAGCTCGAAGCTATAACATACTCTTCCGTTTAAGGGAAGATATGTCCACTTTATATGGCTCTACGTCTAGCCAATGCTAATATTCACAAGTTGGCAAGAAGCGCGGCAATGGACTCATCGCCAAAAATTCTACTCTGCGATGATCACGGCAAAGCTGACCCATAATGCGGCACAAAGGATCAACGCTTTTGAGATCTCTCGAGTCCAGGCACTCTTAAAGGCAGTTAAAGACAACTTCAAACCAGAAGGCACTGGCACTTACGTGAACCTCCAGCGACAATACATGTCCCTCACAAGAGAGAGATGTGGAAGTGCTCAAGCCCTCGGAGCCGAGATCAGAAAGATCCATGCTGAGAAACTTCTCCTTGACTCTGACTGCGTGAGCTCCGAGATTGAGCGAACATTCTTTTTCGTTCACGCATTAGGTCCTGAGTATGAAAGTTTCCGCGATCATATATTTCGGCAAATGGACCTTGTTAACGAAAGAGATGCCAATTGTAACATCACAAAAGCGGCACCCACGTTCGACTATATCGAGAACAAGGCAATTGAGGAAGAGCATAGGAAGGGGCAATTGAGCAAAAAACCAACAGAGGCGCAAGCGCTTCCTGCTCTCGCTATAATCCGAGGACCAGGTGACAAGAAAGTCATACCGTCATCCGACGGAACGACATGTCGAATCGAGATCGATAACGTCCCATATTGCTCCCTTTGCCGGAAACCTTATCATGTGGACTCTGAGTGCTTCAGCAAGAACCCCAGAGCGAGGGATCCAAAGAAAGACGGAAAGAGTCACAAGTCAAAGCCAGGCAATTCACATACAGGCGCACGCAAGCCGTTGAAGCGGCGGCCCACCTCGGATGACGAAGATGATGATGTCGGTGGCCCAAGGGATCCGAAGAAGCCCACCTTCATGGCGACAATGGACTCCGGGGAAGATGTTAACAAAGCATTTGGAAAGGACGTTGAAGGCAACTTCGCCCTATTCGACCACATCCCCGCATTGATGGCTACAAAAACCCTATCGATCCGTGACGCATGGATCGTCGATAGTGGATGTGCTCAGCACGTGTGCAATAACGCCTGGAGATTTGTAAAGATGGACAAGTACCATGGACCACCACTGAGAAGCGTCGATACCTCCACGACTCCCTCGGGAGTGGGGACAGTCAATGTTCTGTGCAATGTACGAGGCAGAAGGAAATGGCTTGTGCTTGACAGTGTCCTCTACGTCCCATCTGCACATGCAAACCTCATATCGGTGCTCCAGCTTCTCAAACGAGGAGCAAAAGTCGAATTCTCAAGCCAAAGTGCTAGTATTCGCAACAAGTCAAACGGAAACAATCTGTACACTGCCAGCCAATATAATGGAATCTACGCACTTGATCTATGGACGAATCTCACCTTTCCCTCCTACCATGTCGGTCCACAAATGGCTCTTTGGCATAATCGGCTGGCTCACCTAAGCGATGCGAACCTACATCGGCTTAAGAAGCAGGCCTTCGGCATCCGGGACATGGAGCCACGTCAACCATGTAACCCATGCCTCCAGGAAAGAATGATTGAAAAGCCCCACAACCGCTCGGGACGAAGCAGACGAGGGGAACATGCAATGGAACTTCTCCATATTGATGTCGCAGGGCCATTTGACGAGGGCCTTGACGGCAGTCGCTATTGGCTCACCCTCGTTGACGACTTCACGAGATGGATAGAGATTATCACTATACCACGACGACAAGAATTTGTCATAGAGTCACTACGTTTCTTCCTCGATCATAACGAACGCCCTGAAAGGAAGTGCAGACGAATACGCCTCGACCGGATCCCTGAGCAAGTGGGAGAAGAGATGAAATTCATACTGTTCTCACGGGCAATCCATGCTGAGGTCACAGGGGTTGATCAACACCAGCAGAATGGGGTTGCCGAGAGAGCCCATAAGACAATTTATGATCGGGTTGGACCCACGCTAGCATATGCGAGACTACCACCTAAATTCTGGCCAGAAATTGCTCGAACGGCAGCCTTCCTCTCCAACCGGTCGCCGTCATCAAAGCTCAACATGACTCCGTATCAAGCCTGGTACGGTGACAAGCCGGACCTATCTCGACTCAGAGTGATCGGATCTAAAGGGGAATACTTGATCCCACCCAGGCAGAGGAAGAAGCTCACAGAGCCAAGAACCAGGCCATGCATTCTACTGGGCTATGAGGTAAATACCAACTACCGTATCCTGCTGGAAGACGGAAGAATCGTTGGGACCCCAAACGCTGAATTTCACGAAGTCCTTACAGCTCCTTCCACACAGACTATAGAAGATGTAGGAGCCAGACGAGACGGCTCACCTGTGGCAACGGCTGCTGCCGCAGGGGGGAGTAAGACGGTAGGACTAATAAATCAACCGTCGGTAGGCATACGGCAAGCATCCGTGCCCGCCTCTGGGCGCCAGTTGTCGATGGCACCACCAGAGCGAGCCCTACCTAAGTCGAGGAAAGATATCTCGCACATACTGCCTCGATCGAGTAACGATAACTCGCGAGTGCTAACCCAGTCGAGTGACGAGAACTCGCAGACACCAGCGTCGTTTCAATCGAGTGACGATGACTCGCAGCCATCTGTTGCTGTACAGGGAGACAGGACCTTGTCGCCTACACGGAGTGATGATACCTCTGGATCATTTGTAGATGATTTACAAGACATCATCCAAAGGAATGACTCACCACCCGGCGGCGACCAGCAACAAGACGACGCTCAACAAGGTCTAGTTTCAGGAGAATGGCAACGATCTCCAGATCTCCAGATTGACCGCCCAGTTCATGAAGTGCGACAAGAAGCACTGGAACACCACCCTGAACTCAGAATTCGCGCTCCGCACGTCACACTAAACACATTTAGTGACAGCGAAGAAGAGCTTGCGTTAATGAATATACCTGAAGAGAATGTCATCCCAACATTCTTAACAGTAGCCGCAATGGAAACAGAACCTTTTGAGCCAAAGACTCTGCATCAAGCGAAGAATGATGCAAGCTGGCTCGAATGGGAAAGAGCAATGCTTGATGAAGTCAACTCGCTCAATCAAAACAAGACGTGGGAGCTTGTTGATCCTCCCAAAGATCGGCGGATTCTCAGTGGGAAATGGGTCTACAAACTCAAACGAGGACCGCAGGGCGAAGTCATCCGTTACAAAAGCCGATGGGTAGTGAGAGGCTTTACACAAGAAGAGGGTATCGACTATGACGAAACGTTTGCCTCAGTTGTCAAGCCAATGAGCTACAAAGCTCTACTCGCAATCGCGGCGGCCCTAGATCTAGAGATCGAGCAAATGGATGTCAAAACGGCATTCCTGTACGGGTACATTGACCACGATATCTATGTCGAACAACCTCACCACATGACCGACGGCACATCCAGGGTCTGCAAACTTCGAAAGGCACTCTATGGCCTAAAACAAGCTCCTCGAATCTGGTACCAGACCCTTACAAATTTCCTACGAAATCTCGGCTTCGAGCCAATCAGTGCTGATCTTGGGGTCTTCGTTCGGAGCAATATGTACATCGCGGTGTACGTCGATGACCTCCTGATTGTGGGGCCAAGCATTGCAGAAATAAAGAAGATCAAGCGGAGCCTCAGAAACCGTTTTCAAATGACAGATCTAGGACCATGCAGCTACTATCTTGGGATGTCTGTCCAGCGAGACTGTCAAAACAGGATACTGCACCTAAGTCAAAAAGCGTATATTGACAAGGTCGCTCACCAGCTCGGAATCAGCAACGGCGCTCCCGTCAGCACGCCGATAGAAACCTCACCACTTCCAGAGAATAATCCAGGATACAGCTGTCCTCCAGATCAAAGAATCATATACCAACGCATTGTCGGATCTCTGATGTACATTATGCTTGGCACTAGGGGGGACGTCGCGTATGCCGTCTCTATGGCAAGCAGACATCTAGCGAATCCTGAGCCACAACACATGAAACTCGCTCGACGCATCCTGCGGTATCTCAACGGCACAAAAGGCCTCAGGCCCACGTACAAAGGTCAGCCCCAGATGCTGAAAGGCTTCACAGACGCAGACTGGGGTGGATGTCGCGACACTAGACGTTCAACAGCTGGATACCTTTTCAATATCGGGAGTGGAGCAATCAGTTGGCAATCGAAGCGCCAAAGCGTCGTTGCCCTCTCGACCTGTGAAGCTGAATTCCTAGGCCAGATACAAGCAACCAAAGAAGCAATCCGGTTGAGAAGACTTCTCAATGAGTTAAACATGAGCCAAGGAAAAACCGCAACGATCAATTTTGGTGACAACCAAGGAGCCATCGCCCTGTCCTCGAACCCGCAATACCATTCCCGCACGAAGCATATGGAAATTCAACGCAAGTGGCAAGGAGAGGTTCAAGACCTTGGAACAGTGGAGCTGAAATACATTCCAACTACCGAGCAAATTGCTGATGGGTTCACGAAGCCTCTTGCGCGAGAGCGATTTGAATGGTTTCGGAGGGGGCTTGGCATTGAGTGATACCGCTCGGTTATGGATCTCGGACAGAAACTAAATCACACGGGTACCCTTTCCTTCTTTTCCTTTAATAGGGTTTTTTTTTTTGTTTTCAATGGGGCCCTTCACAGCCGTGATGGATGGTCACTGGCACCCTTGGTGGTGGTTGCCATCGAGTGGGAGTGTTGAGTATCATGGTGGCTGAACCTTATGACAAGGATTAGGAAAGAGATATATGGAGCATCCCGCCCCTGTGAAAGATTACTCCCTAAGTCAATAATAAAAATTGAATCAATCATACAATCACTTATTTCAACAGCGAATATGAATATGTTGTATATTCGCATTCCTTTATTCCTTTCGGAACCCTACCCGTCAACCCGTCGAAGCTTGGCGATACATTATCAATCAGCACTCAATTCTCAAACTTGTGACCATGAAGATATACTAGTCATTCATTTTTCTTCTTTTTGAAATTGTTTTTAGGTTGCTGATATTTATACGTTGTTCGATTTGTTAGATCTCTCGGCCTTTCAACGAATAGAAAAGATGAGTACTGTCTGATTGAAATATATATCTATATCTGCTCAACACTGTGAGGCTCGATCAAATTTCACCGACCGACTGGTTGATCACTATCCTCAGATCAAGTTGACTGTCAACAGCCCTCCGAAAAGTACCCAATCTCTAGTCAAAGTCTGACTGCATCAGTCAACAGTTGTGGTGATCGTAAAATCCACCAGACAGTCGCCTGCGTCTGCGCAGGTTATAAAACACCAAGTATCGATGGGAAGGTATTGCCCACACCCGTGACTTTCTTCTGCGGGCAAAATGGATGCCCCAAACAGCTCGCCACACCAGGAAAAAGAAGGAGATCAGCGGCCCCGTGAATTGCCCATCCTTGATGAGAAAGACAAATCAAAGGAAAATTCTGACCATGTGCCATTGGTAAGTGAAACGATTCGGCTTCAAACGCTTTTTCTGACCATTGCAGTCCTCCCCTTCGCAGCAGGAAGCAGGAACAAGACATACCCTAGCGACCGAGCCATTTCAACCGACCTTGAAGGTTTTAGCAGACCTCGAGCGCGACGATCCCCATTTCGCCTTTCCAGCAGCTCGACTTGTCGGACTCTATCGACGCCTATGGGAGTCGTGCGTGTCCAAGCACATCGATGGTCAGAAGCTAGAACAAGACAACCTTGTTTTGAAGGAAGCTGGTGCGCACCTGAGAAAAGAGAGAGATGATCTTCAGGTTCGCCACGACAAGCAGCTTTCCTGGCTGCGCTTTTTCGAACAGGCATTGGATTTATCTCGGAAGAGGCTGGTTAGCGTACTTGATGACTGGCATCACCCCTCCAGACTCAATATCGCAGGGTCCTTGAATAGCACAAGAGATGGGTAAAGGACTGTCTTTTCGAGGCGACGTGCCCTATTTTGTCAGCATAGAAATACTATAGTTGACTTTGCGAATCAAGTAGAAATACCGCTCGGAAAGCATCTTTTTTTTAAGTATTGACTATTCACAAAACAGGACATGGAATAGCCTGCGATTTAATTTATACTGACTAGAAAGTGTTGGCTAACGATCCGCATATTCTGGGCCAATCTCACATGTGACATTTCCATCAACAGCCCTGGAGTGGTGAATGCTATCCAGGGTTCAAGGTTGACACCTGCCCAGGTGGGCACCCGGGACTTTCCTGGTTGAAATCAAGTTGAGCTATCCCAGTGTCCATTTCTTTCGGGTGAGCTGAACCACCGGATCTAATGTCCCCTGCAGATGCCCCTCCACCGTTTTTTCCAACACCTCCACGTATGCGAGAGACTCGAACTGGTACACCAATTCCCCCTTCACAAGGCTCTCATCGGAAGGACCAGAAATGATTGCAGCCGGCATAGGTGTTCTAGGGGCCAAAGCCCTTATAGCATACCAGAAGATAATATAGAGTCGATCATGCAGAAATTTCTCAGGACCAGACTCAAACTCCTCCAATCGGCCGCTGAGACCTTCATCGTGTCGCGTGATCTCATATTTAGCCACACCCCCATGTTCATCATCAGCAACCACAACCAATTTTTGAGTTTGCTCCCTGGTACAGTCCACCGGCAAACCAAGTCCCGGGAATTCCACGATAAATCCATTCTCACTGACAATCCCAGGAGTCATATCGTCGAATTTAGCATTCAATCGTATTGCACCATTATCCCCGAACCGATTAACAGCCCAACGCCAACCTGGCTGCCGCATCCTCGGCCTAGCGAGAAACAGCATTCCCTGCGGGAGCCGCAATTCCGTCGACAGAAACACATGCAAGTGGTCTTCGAACGGGATACCCTTCAACAAAGAGGTATCCCACCTAATGAGACTAGCAAAGCAGAGCATCTCGTCCGCCACTTTAGTGGTCGTCCGATGCAAGGACGCACTGAAAGCCTCCATAATCGCATAACACCGCTTTTACTCCGGCGAAGCAATCTCTTTATCTGAATACCTATCAGAATAGACCAGTCTTGGATCTGGGTCCCGGAGAACATTCCTTCGCAACAGACGAAATTTCCAACCGAAACTATCGGCATCACGCATAGGTGTTCTATACGAGTCCATATAACTTGCCATCCCGGAGTTTTTCACCTTTTCTTGATACTCTTCTGAAGCAGCTTACACGTCTAGAATTCCATCCGCGTATTTGACGCACAGCCGATTCGCCAGGACGCCTTCGTTTAACGTCCAAAGTCGGCGCATCTATGCGGACACTTGGATTCGCATGAATGACTGCGTATAGTCCTTCATGGAACATTGCTGGATATCGGAATCCAAGACTAGCACGCGGAACGCTCGTTCGTACACGGCTTTCATTCCCTTGATTGACTTTGAGCGGAGCTCTTTGTGTTCTGGAGCGACGGGGATACACAGCGTGTCCATCCAGAATGAGATGGAGGATCCTTGAAATTTTTTTTTGAAAAGGTCTCCGAATGCTAACCTGTTGACCAGGTCGGCATAGCTGATTCCGGACAGCAGTTCGTCGAGTAAGGCCCGAATACGGAGCATTTGGCACATCGGTAGTCTGTTCGCTGTCGGATTTCCCATTCCGTCGGACCAGACATGAGACAAGGCGACATAGCGTTTTGTTCCGGACTACTTTTGTACCTCTACTTTGAGATATGGCTCCTTCTTCATTGGTGTAATGGACATCAATGGGACGCCTCCAGATGCAATAATGGACACCACTTCATCGTTCGACGGGCCTAGGTGCTGACAGTCACACTCCGCTGTGGTGTGTGCAGTGAGATACGTCGCTTCGTTGATTTGTCGCGCAAAACAGAGTTTACCGGTACATTCACCATGGTCTCTCTGTACCGCCGACGGCGGTCTTTCCATCTGAGACACATAGTACGCGGACGCGGACGTAAATGTCTTTTCCACCATAGCGATCTCGCTTGGACACCATCCCATCTGTTTCATGCGTGCCTATGGAAACCACGCACAAGGAAATTGCAATCCGCCAGTCGAAGAACTCATAGCCATGTCGAGCGCCCCGACCGGAAAATTCCAAGCCAGGCGATGGCCCAGCGTCCTGATAGATAGGTCAATTTCGGGAGACAGCGGCCAAATCTTGAATCCTGGACGAGGGTCACCCGCGCATGTCGCCAGACGACAAAATCGAGATATAGTCGTGAGACATGTAACAATTCGATGAGCGATCATCTGCGCGGAAATGACATCTCCGGCTTACACCATTGACGTGATCGACGACAGGAGCTGTAGTATCTGAACGTCGAGAGCAGCGATGGTGATTATTCCGTACATTGTGCCTTCTTGCGGCATGACATAATTCTTCTTGGCTCCCCGAGTGATGGGACCGAATACTTCCCAAAGAACACCGAAGTAGAGCCAATTTTGCAAGAATGCACCAGTGGGCTCGGCGGGGTGTTGTGAGAAGTCTCCGGCGAGAAGCCGATCGATGTCCCAGCCCGCGCGCTCTGGATATTTTGGGAAATCTTCCCCATCATAGGGCTCGTGACTCAAGCAAGGAATCTGTATGGGGTCATTTTGAGAGCCTGGGGCACTTTCTATATAATCCATTCGGAGAGTTATGAAGGGAGAAGAGAGATGGTGAGGGTACGAAGGTGTGGGGCGGACAATAAGCGCTAGCATACTCGGCCCGCCGCGATGAGCTGATGACTTTTCAATGATGTCCACCCCAGGAAGGCGCTTTTATTTCCATGTGTCTGAGGCCTCATCTTTGCTGATTTTGGATAAAAAAAGTTGGACCCCTGTAAGTACCCTAGTATGAAAAGTACCCCAGTATGAAATTTGACGGACTAATATCTCTATCATGGATATTGAAGAAGGGAACGCTCAAGGCTGTATGCTCTTAGGCATACGGGTCGATTCAGCACTCGTAAGCCAGTATAATATCACCAAGGCGTACGAAGGAATCGGGGCATGCGCCCATGAGGCCAAATCAGAGAGGTGTAGGAGTGTATTATTGTCAATCTGTCACTATCCACTACTTATATGTGTTGTGATATGAGGCTGGTGCAGATCAGGAACCAAGCCGCACCGTCGGAATTAGCTCCGAAGTGTCTATACAGACGACCAAGTTGATTGGAAATCAACTTGGTCGTCTGCAGGTCTGACCAAATCAGTCTTCGTATCATTCGGCTTTGATGCACGAAATAGCAAAAGAATTGTACAACATGACGGCCGCGGGGAGCTAGGTACACACATGACATGGTGAGAGAGTTGAGAGTGGTGCGGGGCGAGCAGACTAAGCTCTAAGCATTAACACTTAGTTGATGAGCACAACAAAATTTGTAACCCCTCGATGACATTGACGAGGTTTAACCAACACAACCATGTTGAGGAATTTTGTGCGGACATACGATTTAGATGACCGTTGAAGCTACCTATCAAGTAACGTTGATATTTTCGACTACTATGGCGGTGATCCCAGTGCGTCCTCCGATTTAATTTTGAGGTTAAGACATCATTTACAACAGTGAGCTATTAAAAACATAAATATGAGGCCAACCACCTTTGTTGATCGCTCAATTCTTTTCGAGTACCTTGGAGTCCTACATCCTTCACACAGGTCGCCCGAAACGCGCAATCTATACTCGTCAAGTTTTACCAGTACTTCAATTAAACACTCGATCCTGCGTACACAAATCCTGTTCCCCTCGACATCTCTAAAAGTCTGAGCAGGACATTATCAAGAGCCGGGTTTTTCCGATAGAGGGCTTAGAAATCTGGCCTGGTGCAAACGACATGCCTACCAAAGTCTTAACAGCCATCGAGACTTTGGAACCAGTGCCTCAGGCACGAAACAAGTAAGTAACGTATTCGGTAAGCGAGTGGGCCATGTAAACGAGTGGGCCATGTAAACGAGTGGGCCATGTAAACGAGTGGGCCATGTAAACGAGTGGGCCATGTAAACGAGTGGGCCACCTACCGCGAAACGCGTCCATGAGTTAGAACCTAATTAATTCAACCACCCACTATGCCACCAAATCGCTCCCAAACCTCGAGAAATTCAACCGAGCAAGAAGGCAGGATACTATTAGCTATTCAGGCTTTTAAAAATCAAGAAATCATCACTATTCGCGAACTAGCACGCCGCTTTCAAGTGCCTCGCTCTACCTTACAACGCCGCCTCGCTGGTAATAGTTTTCGTCCGGAAACGCGCGCCAATAACCATAAATTAACAGAATTCGAAGAGGAAACGCTTCAAAAATGGATCCTATCACTTGATGATCGCGGAGCAGCGCCTCGGCCGACTACTGTACGAGAAACTGCGAATCTTCTTCTCGAAGCCCGCGGAACTACCCCGGTTCAAACAGTCGGCGAAAAATGGGTTTATAACTTCGTAAAAAGGCACCCCGAACTATCAACCCGATTCTCGAGACGTTATAATTATGAACGTGCGAAGTGCGAAGACCCGAAGATTATCGGAGAGTGGTTTAATCTCGTTCAAAAAACCATACTTCAGTACGGCATCGATCCCGATGATATCTATAACTTCGACGAGACTGGTTTCGCGATGGGATTAATAGCGACTGCAAAGGTCGTTACGAGGGCTAAATACTACGGTCGGCGATCGCTTTTACAACCCGGAAATCGCGAGTGGGTAACCGCAATTGAATGTATAAATGCTTCGGGGTGGGCGCTACCTCCGTGTATTATTTTCAAAGGCAAAGTGTATATCGAATCTTGGTTCGATAACCTTCCCGACGATTGGCGATTCGAGCTAAGTCCGAATGGATGGACCTCCGATGAAATTGGCCTTCGTTGGCTCCAAAACCTCTTTATTCCGTCGACTTCTTCGCGGTTAAAGGGCCGGTATCGACTTTTGATACTCGATGGTCACGGTAGCCATTTAACCCCAAAGTTCGACGAAATTTGCGACAAAAATAACATCATACCAATCTGTATGCCCGCACACTCGTCGCACCTTTTACAGCCACTCGATATCGGTTGTTTTGCGGTGTTAAAACGCTCGTACGGTCGGCTTATCGAAACGAAGATGCGCCTCGGGGTTAGCCATATTGAAAAACTTGATTTCCTCGAGGTATACCCGTACGCTCGAATCGAGGCATATAAATCCGAGAATATCATAAATAGCTTCGGAGCAGCCGGTTTAGTACCTTTTTCACCCGATCGAGTGATTTCAAAGCTTGATATTTGTCTTCGAACCCCAACACCCCCTCCGAGCCGGGGTAGTGAATCAAGCCGGAATTTTACACCAAAAACCCCCTTTACCGAGAAACAACTACGTCGGCAAGCTTCGTCTATTAAAGCTTTGATTCGTACGAGATCTCAAAGCCCTAGCCCGGCATTAGACCAGCTAATAAAGGGCCTCCAACTCTCAATACAAGGCTCTCTTTTATTAGCCAAAGAAAATAAGGAATTACGGGCGGAAATCGAGAAAAAGAAGCAAAAGCGGACTCGATCGACTAGACAGATAGCATATAAAAGGGATCTCTCGGTTCAGCAGGTTCGTACGTTACGTTCAGAGCCATTTGAGGCCCAAGTAGCGCGCATTACTCAGGTTCGTGAGCAGATCTCGGGGCCTTTACAGCCCCGAACCAGGGCCTTACCGAAGTGTAGTGCATGTGGAAATCAGGGCCATAGGAAGAATTCATGTCCAAATAGACCTAGTTAGTTAGTTTTGTTAATTTAATGGCGTTTTGGGTAAGAAATTTCATATTGAAATGAATAGATTGGGTGAGGTGGCCCACTCGTTTACATGGCCCACTCGCTTAATGAATACGTTATTCACCTCAATCAAACTCCACAACATCACTATGTTCATAGGTTGACAAGTTCAAGCTCTGAGGGCTTTGCATGTGAAAATATCACTAGCCACCTTATCACCGGCGCGTCTGTTGATGACAATATGGCAACCACTCAAAGCACAAAGACAGCCAGGGGAGAGCCAGCAAGCTAAGACGGTTGAGCACAGAAAACTCCAACTTCAGCTTAATGCTGTACACCACAGTCTTGAAGCTCACCTGAATATAGTGTAGCTTGTATTCTGCGAGGAGGAGTAGGATATTCAGGAATACGACCACAAAATTGTTGCAAAGTAAGTGGATGATTGCGCTGCGGCTGTTGCGACCGCGGACTGTACTGATCTTCTTGAAAGCACGAATTGCTTCGTATATGTAAATGCCACAGATGATGAAGTCTTGTATGCAAAAGCCTGTCAATTGAATTCGATCGAATATCACGGCAGGCCGAGTGAAGCGTGAGTCGCCGTTATTGAGACCGAAGAAGAGGACGGTCATTGGGATATGCAGGATGCAGGCATTGGTGATGATCATCCATAGAACCCACCGCAACATTCTCACGTTGGAGACAACGAGGTGCAGACGTGAGTAGAGTACCACGGCTTGGCCGGTAGCCATCGCGTACCATCCGATCATGAAGGGAATTGACGTTGCGAGGTTGGATGCTTGAGAGATGAAACGAGCCATGGCAGGAAGAGCATGCACGAGGATCCCCCACGATGCAACCTGTATACTCCAGAAATACAGGCTGCGATAGTGTTTGAAGGTATCGAATGCAACGATCCCTGTTTCGAGGGCATTGTACGCGCCGATCGAGAACATGGACACAATCTGAATGATTGAGATGTTCTCCATAAGAATAGCTCCCACCTTGGGGGGAGGCTAGTTATGACTGTATCCATGGTCTGGCAGGGGTTGACACGAGCACAAGGTATTTTTCTAGTCAAAGTCGATGGATGGGATCAGTAGCTGGTTTTATAGGTTCTGTCATAGAACCAAGAGGTGAAGGTCCTCGCAATGAAAATGTGACACAGTAGCTAGTGATCACCAGAAAGCGCCGAAGTTCTTAGAACACTTGTCAGCTAGGACAGAGCACTGGAGAGGTTGAACTAGGTGGGTGGGTCGACAATCGGATTGTCTATACTATAGAGCTGCGACGCATATGATTGATCCTCGATCCTCGCCCAGTCTTGACTGTGTGATGAGATATTCTTTTGCGGTCGATCTAACAACATGCTCTCACGCGGTTTGAACAAATGGCCCTTACATCTCAGTCATATTGAAGTTAACTTTCATAACGACCGTGGAACACAGAGAGGGATCCACGGTCAGTGGCCCAAGGGCAAACTATCGTGACAAATTATATTATTATGTATAACAGAACCGGGCTCTCGGTGGAAGACTACGATGATTCATGATAAATAGGATTTAAGCTTGACCTAGTCAGAAAGGTTATCTTCCGTCTTCTGCTCTACTTACTTTCTAGATCTATCATGACAAAGGCTGCCAGTACGTTCCAAAATGATTTACTGGAGAAAACGAACCAAAGTTGTCATGGTCTCAATCTTTTGGCATATAGTATGTTGTGAAATGACTACAATGTTTATCTGTTCGTAATGGATATTGTTGGTCGCGTGATCCTGAGTATTAGCAATGATGAAACTGATGCTAGAAAAATAAGGTTTTCGGACCGTAGAAGTACGGACCCACCCTGCGAAGGGGCATAACGTATTCGGTAAGCGAGCCGGCCATGTAAGCCAGCCGGCCACCTAACCAAAACGCATCCATGAATAAGCACTTAATTTATTCAACCACCAACCATGTCACCAATTCGCTCCCAAAGCTCTAGAAATTCAGTAGAGCAAGAGGGTAGGATCTTATTAGCTATCCAGGCTATTAAGAACCAAGAAATATCCTCAATTCGCGAAACAGCGCGACGATTTAACGTACCGCGTTCAACCCTTCAAGACCGACTACACGGCCACCAAAACCGCGCGATTGTACGCGCTAATTCACACAAATTAACAAAAGTTGAAGAGGAAACTCTTCAAAAATGGATACTCTCGCTTGATGATCGCGGAGCAGCGCCCCGGCCTACTACCGTACGAGAAAGTGCGAACCTTCTGCTTGAGGCCCGCGGAACTACCCCAGTTCAAACTGTCGGGGAGAAATGGGTTTATAACTTCGTGAAAAGGCATTCCGAACTATCAAGCCGGTTCTCGAGGCGCTATAATTACGAACGTGCGAAGTGCGAAGACCCGAAAATCATCGGTGAATGGTTTAATCTTGTTCAAAAAACCATACTTCAATGTGGCATCGATCCCGACGATATTTATAACTTCGACGAGACTGGTTTTGCGATGGGATTAACAGCGACCGCGAAAGTTATTACAAGAGCTGAATACTATGGTCGGCGATCGCTTTTACAACCTGGAAATCGCGAATGGGTGACCGTAATTGAGTGTATAAATGCGTCGGGCTGGGCGCTTCCTCCGTGCGTGATTTTTAAAGGCAAGGTTTATATCGAAGGTTGGTTCGATAACCTCCCGAATGATTGGCGATTTGAATTAAGCCCGAATGGCTGGACTTCCGATGAAATTGGCCTTCGTTGGCTTGAAAAGCTATTTATTCCGTCGACTTTTTCTCGGTTAAAGGGTCGGTATCGACTTTTGATACTCGACGGCCACGGAAGTCATTTAACCCCGAAGTTCGACGATATCTGCGAAAAAAACGATATTATTCCAATCTGCATGCCTCCGCACTCGTCTCATCTTTTACAGCCGCTCGATATCGGTTGTTTTGCGGTGTTAAAACGCTCGTACGGTCGATTTGTCGAAACGAAGATGCGCCTCGGGGTTAGCCATATCGATAAACTTGAATTCCTCGAGGCATACTGTTGGGGATGTCAGGTGACATCCCACATTGGGATAGTCTCCCATGGAGTAGATAGATAGATATCTCTTGCTCTCTCTCTCTCTCTCTCTCTCCTTCTCTCCTCCGTCCGCAATACAATATTCAATATCTTCATATTCCATTGCCCCTTGTATGATCTCCATGAGGTTATGAGCCTCTCTTTTCGTTTCCTCTGAGATCCTGCTAGTCTAGACCACTAGCACTTTGTTTTATCTGTTTACAGAACACTTACTTTTATCAAGATGGCGGGATCTGATACCCAAGACGCGCGCCCGCCACCTCCTCCACTTGACAACACTATTAAGCTCACAGAACGCAGGAAGAAACAATCACAGGATGTCGGATTACCCGCCATCGGTCCTGTAACTCTGACGAAGATCTCAGTGCTAGAGGAGACAAGTACAAATGTTGAAGACTGGCATAACGAAGTTTACTGTATTCTCCGTCCTCTGCGTCTTCACAAGCTGTTAGACCACAAACGTCCACGACCCAAGAAGGGAGACAAAGGTTATGAACAGTGGTCTTACTGGTCTACCACCGTCTCCGGGTGGATTTTCACCCATTTACACTCAAATCTGAAAGACCTGTTACGCCCTACACTCGGTATAGGTACACATGGTTACGCTGAACTGTCAGACAGTGAAGATGAAGAAGATGAAGAGCACGACATATACGCCGATGTTTTGATAAAGGAGATCACTCGTGCGTTTCGTGGCGGCAATCTAATCAACCAAACAATCCTCGATGGAAAGAGGTTCCTTCACTTGAAAAGAAACAGTTTCGGCACCGTTAAAGACTACATCACTGCCTTCCGGAGACATCTAGCGATCCTCGAGAAGCGCAAGATTGCTCCGCCACCACTTAGAGCATTTATTCATATCATTGATCAGCTCGGCAACGAATCACCGAAGTTGAACTTTATTATTAAACAAATCAGCAGGAAGCAGACCATTACTCGCGACGAATTCGATGAGTTCTGTAAAGACCTGCAAGTTGAATCTGACACTCGCGAATCCGGCGAAGCAGCTGCTACCCGAGGAAGCCGTAACAACAATAAGAAGAAGCGACCCTCGACAACTGCTAAACAGGAAGATGACAAACCACAAAGCCAAACCCCTCGTGCCTCCGAGGACGATCACAAGAAACAGTCTGACAACAATAGCTCCGGAAAGAAGTTCCGTAGAGCACCCCCGAAGGGCAAAGACATTCACCAATACGCGAAGGAAAAGCGTGAAGCAGAGAAGCAAGTGGATGACAACGGTAACTGTAGTTTCTATAGACTCGGTCCCCACAATACCAAGAACTGTTACCACCTTGCCGACAACATTGTTAGAGACTAGAAGTTTCACAGGGGTGTGTGGGCATATACTCTTGCGAAGAAGAAGCAAGACGGCTCTTGTGGAATGGCTATAACAGCGATGGCTACTAGTAACGTCGACCAAAGATGGCTTCTGGACTCAGGTTCCAGAGAAACAATGACAAGCCATTATAGAGATTTCTTCACTTATGACCCTATCCCCGCCACACATGCATACGCATATCGTGCTGTTACTGGCGAGCGTGTTATCACAAAGGGTAAAGGCATGATCCTCGTCCAAGCCAAAGACCGTAACGGCATCATCAAAAGTGTGCTTGTTATAGGCTGGTACAGCCCCACAATAGATAGTAGGATACTATCCACAGAACGTCTAAGGAAAGACTGGAATTTGTTTCACAACCTAAGACATGAATGCCTCGAAGAAGAAGACGGCACTTTATTCGGTCTTACAGACACTACGCCAGGAGTCCCTTACCTTATTGGCCCATTAAACGACGATAGAGGACGCCAACCAACAGAAAACGAAGACCCCTCTAGCAGTGACGAAGGTTACGAATCCTCACTTTGTGACACAGAGTCCAGTGACGAAGAAGACACTAATGATAATGATGGAATTGCATTCCGAGCGCTCTCCGCAATGGAAATTCACCGCCGTCTCGGACACGTCGGTAAGGCTAAGATGTCTGCAACAATCAAGGATGCTATTATGGTTGAAGACCTTGAAATTCCAAGTTGTTTAGATATCGACTACGAAGCCTGCCTGCTTGCCAAATCGAGAAGGAAGGTCTCCCGAGAACCCCAGGTTCGAGTCCAGGATGCCGCTTAGAAGTTCCACATCGATACACAAACCATGTCTCCACCTGGCCCAAATGGAGAGAAGTACTAGGTTCCAATCGTTGACGATGCTACCAGGATGGGCAGAGGCATCTTCACAAAGACGAAGGAAGAGATATCTACCCGCATGATCGAATTCTGCGAGGAAATGAAGCTGCTAAGAGGTAGATACCCCGGTATTTAGCGCCTCGACAACGGCACCGAATTCAAAAGATTCATTACGTAGGGAAAGAAACGTGGGTTCGTCTTTGAGCTCACTCCTCCGTACACTGCAGAACCAAACGGCACAGCCGAATGGTATGGTGGCTATATCAATAAGATTGGAAGGACCATGATCGTTGACTCAGGACTCGATGAAACGCTCTGGCCATTTGCTCACCAAGCTGCTATTTACATTGTGAACCGTCTTGCAAACAGCGAGACCGGTAAATCACCAATCACCCTCTAGCGTGAGCTTCTTCACATTCAAAATACTAAGCCAACTCTCAAGCATCTACGGCCATGGGGATCCACTGCCTATATGCACATTCCGAAAGATAAGCGAGTGCAATCTCGGAAGGCCGCACCCCGCGCCTGGAAGGGCTACCTCATCGGCTATGAGGGGGATGGCGGTCATGTTTACCAGATCTGGGATCCCGTGAACCAGGAGATAAAGAGATCTCGTGATGTTACTTTCCACAAACCTAGTGACGAGCATGACGACGGTGAAAAAGGGGCTGTATCACTTCCCCCTGGCCCTCCGAAGGCTCCCAACAATCCTGGAAATGCAGGAATTTATCAAACTTCATTCATTGGCTCGGGCGAGCAAGCAAAACCACAGTCAACAATTCAGCAAGACCGACCACAGGTCCGAGAAGCTACTCCGGCACAGCCTTCACAGACCATTCTACCAGACAACATCTCCAGTTATAAGACGACTCCCGGGATCATTCCCCGAAGAGAGATTCGACAAATTGAACAAGCACCGTCTTTGCACATACCCTCGAGCACACACCTATTCGACAGGTCCACAGCTGCTTCTCGTCCCCGGACTCGACCCACTTTGTTACGTGCGCATACACCTTTGCAGAGAATTACCGAGGAGGTTATTCAACCTCAGCGGATGCGCGCTACAGAAGACAGTAGCGACGAGCAACGAAGAGCTATACTGAATGAACGCCTAAATCGACTACAGGAAGATATCGAGATCATGAGTAATGAATAGCAGGATATACGCCAAGAAACTAAGCGCATTAAGGAAAGGATTTCAAACAGATCTACATCTATTGAACCTACTCCTACCCCTGCTGTTGCTACTGCTCCTGCCTCACACCACACGCCAGATAGGCCTCGCTCTCCTCAGGAATACCGATTCCCATTCCTATCACCAGATCAGTTACGCCTTTATAGGGAAGAGAGTGAGCAGGTGAGCGAGCAGACAGATCAGCGAGCGAATCAGCAGACGGTGATCCACATGTCTATTAAGAAAGACTTATCTCCAGTGCCAGCACCAGTCTCACCATCATCATCATCGCATGATCAAGTTGCTTCTGTTACCAAAGAAGTTATCTCAGTCAGTTCTACACCAGATCCAACCCTCCCACCCCCTTCACGACGAGTATCACATCGCCGAACCAAGGGATGCCCTCCGGAGCGGTACTCCGACCCGAATCGACCCCTCCTTTCCGTCGAGCGTGCATCGATTGCCAGAATGCAGAAGAAGCTACCACGACTCGATCGTCACGAGAAAACAAGTGCGGAGGAAGGTGGTAACAACGGGGAGGAGGGTATTGGACAGAGATCTACGGGATCTGTTGATGATGCTGAAGCCGCGCCTGCTTCCTCGAGAACTAATTCCGAGGGACCAGCAGCCCTCGCTATCACTGCTCCTGTCAAACCAATCATCATATTTAATAATAAGCCCCTTCATGGAAAGGATGTCATTATTCCCACTACATACAAACAAGCACAGAAATCCCCTCACTAGGAATTCTGGCACGCTGCTATAGCTCAACAAATCGAGGATCTGAACGCACAAAAGACATACACTCTGGTACTCAAACCAAAACGTGCGAGCGTTCTACCTAGCAAGTGGGTGTACACTGTGAAAACAAACACCGACGGATTTGTTAATACCTTCAAAGCACGCTGGGTTGTGTGTGGAAATTTCCAGCAAAAGAAAGATGACCGGGAAGATTGCTATGCCCCTGTGGTCTCCGAAGCACTGATCAAGATCGTGCTAAGCCTTATTGCTATCTACAATCTGAAATAGAAGCAGGTTGACTTCACTGCAGCATATTTGAATGCTTCCCGTGCTCACAGAGAGGTTGTGTATATGCAGCAGCCCTCTGGTTTCGAGTATCATGACGACGAAGGAGGGATCAAGTCCTGGGTATGCTCCCTAGACCAAGCTTTGTATGGTCTTAGGGATTCTGCATTCTTATAGAACGAAGAGCTAGACAAGACCCTTTGTGGTATAGGTTTCCAATCATTGGAAGATGACCCCTGTGTTTACAAGAAAGGTGTCGGTGCAAAGATGACCATCCTGATGCTTCATGTTGATGATTGCATTGTTGCTGCTCCTTCTAATAAAGAGATTGACGCCGTGATCGCTCAACTAAGCAAGTATTACCCCCTAAAAGACCTCGGTGAACCGAAACAGTACCTTAGCTGCTTGCTGGAGCGAGACTACGACGCCGGGACTATTCGGATGTCCCAGAAAGCCTATGTCCAAAAGATCCTGCACAAAGCAGACATGTTACACTGCAAAGGAAGGAGTATCCCATTACCGGCGACATAGAACTGGTCCGAAGGCCACGAGGATGCAACCTCGACCCTCGAAGACAACAACGACTACTTGTCAGTTGTGGGAAGTCTGAACTGGTTGGCAATGCGTACGCGCCCCGATATCAGGTTCTATGTTACAAAGCTACAACACAAATCTGCGAATACCACTATTCACGACCAAGAAGCCATAGTGCAGGTCCTTCGTTACCTCCGAGAGCATCCAGATCGTGCGATCACACTCGGAAAGAAGAAGGAGTTACAGTTCTATGCCTATACCGACGCTTCACACGGAGACAATTTGAACTACAAGTCAACTGAGGGCGCAGTCTGGTTCTTTGGAGGTAGTCCAATCCAATGGTCAACCAGGAAACAGACTATTATAGCCCCGTCAACCACGGCCGCCGAATGGTGCGTACTTGATCAGCCTGCACGGGACGGCATGTGGCTTCGCAAACTTGCCATAGCCTTTAGTTTTCCTAGAGCAAGCGATCCGTTAGTGATCTACACAGATAACATCAACACTCAGCTACTCTTGAACAAGAAGACTGGTCGCAACTCGACAAGATGGCTTAACATGCGATATTTCTTTGTGAAAGATGCTGCTGCCAAGGGCTACATTAACCTCGAAAGGGTTGAGAGCAAGGCCAACGTGGCGGATGGTTTCACGAAGCCACTCGGAGAAGAAGCGTTCCCCGGATTCATCACACAGCTAGGGATGTGAGAACAGGGTGGAGCGAAAAGGGAAGAAATGAAGTGGACAACATGATAGGATTTCCATTCTGAATGGAGCCCTCCTATTGGTTGAAAACCCACAGGATTTCAGAGTGCATTTGTTATTGAATTGAAAAGAAGATCGCTTGTTTTGCCTGGTCAACTGTGGAGGATGCGGAGGCATGAGAGCCTATGAGGGGGATGTTGGGGATGTCAGGTGACATCCCACATTGGGATAGTCTCCCATGGAGTAGATAGATAGATATCTCTTGCTCTCTCTCTCTCTCTCTCCTTCTCTCCTCCGTCCGCAATACAATATTCAATATCTTCATATTCCATTGCCCCTTGTTTGATCTCCATGACCACCCTTGACAAGACGAACCCCGAATACGACCCCGGGTTCCGAGGTCAGCTGTCAATTGATGGACGGCCACTGAGGATTCTAGCATCTTGTGACTCTTTACCTGAAACTAAGCTTCAGCAACGATGATCTGTGTAATTTAAAAAACAATCAAAGTCAACTCCTCCCGACAACAAAAGGACAAAAGCAAGTTGCCTAAGTAGGTGTCCGTCATCCAGCTGGTCTCCTTACAATCCGGCTATTGCAAATGCTACGGTACAACACCTTGTCGCCGTACCAACAGTCAAATTCCAGGCTCCTACTTGTGCCTGTTGGAATGCTATCCCGTCAAGCCTGCCGGGCAAATATGACTCAAGGAAGCACAATAATAGCGTTGATAGCTAAACAACGACTGGTAGGAGATATTTATTTCCCCTTGCAGCGCTTCAACAAACATGTGCTGGTATCACAGGGTGATAGAAGAGTCTTCTCCGCAGGGAATGTCGGTCAGGCGATGAAGGTGACAGTTCGTTGAGGCTGGTGACAGAGTACACACACTTCATACCCGCCCGATATGTTTTTTTACTACTTCCTAGAAAATTCAAAATTTAAAATTCTAGTCCTCTCTCCATCACATCGCAAATAACTAACCGGGTCGTCGAACTGCGGCCACCGCCTTCGCGGTGTCCAGGTGGCTGGGTTCGACGACCCGGTTATTGGCCACCGTTGATATATTCACGATTCAATATTCTGCTACCTATGCACTGTCATTTCAAACCATCCTGCCACTTGCCCAACAAAGACTCGAATGGCAAAGAATTCCACCAGATGCAAGACTTTGGTCAAAATGGTTCGCACTGCTTAGATTCTCGGCTGTCCTTTGCTCACTACAGTCTGGATAACGATCCCGGTCTCAACCTTTATGCAATCTGACGAGAATTTTCCTAAATACCGGCGCCAGCTCCATCTCTTTCTGCAAATAATGACGATCTTTAGCTAGACTTTCCAAATGTGGCAAAAAATGTGGCACATGAGACTCAAAGGCCTCTCTTGGTCGAATGCTTTTTCCACCCCAACCAGAGCACCATTTGGCTTTCAAGTGGACTGGCCCAGATCCTCTCAACGCCTCCACTCTAGTTGATGATTTCTTTCTTTACATGTCAGCGTTGTTCTTTGTGATGAGGTGTACTGAATAGAGTTCCGCCTCGCAAGATTTGATCAATCAACCTGCGAGACGTTAGGAAAGAAAGCATCTATTCTTCCTGCCAAGGGTTGAAACCATAATGTGTAACGTATATCGGGTACGTGAACAGATGCTGAACATCATCTGCAGAGCTGAAAAGAGTCACGGCCTCTCGTTTACAATTGTCTTTGTGGCCGCGCACGGAACCTCTGCCATATTCTGGTCACTCGACACTTTCCCCGCTAGCAACACTGCCCTTGGTGCCATATTTGAATCTGCCATTTTGTACGATCTCTTAGTGGATGATAGGTAAATGCAGCGTGCCTGTCTTCGAAGTTCTGTCATTTCTATCTGATATCTCGCCATCGAGGTGTTTCGGTACACACGAGGCCCATAGACGTCGATAGAGCCCTACATGCCGAGCCACTTGAAAGGCGAGCTTCGGATCATCGCGATCGAGATCTGCCAGTGTCTCCAATATGGGTTGGAAATGCTCGATCGCCAGGATTATCTTTGGGCTTGCTTCTTGCTGCCACGAGAGAATGTAAATATCAGCCACAGTATAGAACGTACCGTCGTACCTATCTTACCAAGGGGGGCTCGGAGTCGGCAATAGCCTTTGGACAGGCCTCATCACTCTGAATAGGCATTTCGCTCGGCTGGCGGTCTCCCTTTCCTTGGTCCGGTAGTCGTTCTAGGGCATCCATCGTTTCCACTTGCAATGATTCAGCGTCCATAGATTATACCTTCGCCTGGCGCTGGTCTCTCTTATAGCCTGCCCAGAATCAAGCACTTAGTTCAACACTGTGGCAACGGTGGCATACGTCGTTCAAAGCAGCCTGATGACCCTGCACATCTTAAACACATCATTGAACATCTGCTTTCAATACATCAGTTTGTACAGTCGTTCTCGAAATCGGCTTGACAGATACACTCTTGATCACTCTTTTCCGACCCCACTGCCAAGGCCTTAGCGCAGATCAATTATTGAGCGGGCCGCGTCAAATTGACGGATATCGCAAAAGTCACCTCGCAGAAAGTCCAGGAACCAGTTGCTAGGCAACCTCCCGCATGATTTACAGAGCCCCATTATAGAATTCCACTTTATTCTCGTAAGCGTTCCGTAATCTATATACCTGGATACGGTATCATACTTGTTGCCTTTAATGATGTCCATCAATTTGATGAGGCCCGCTCAATAATTGATCTGCGCTAGGCCTTGGTTGTGGGGTCGGAAAAGAGTGATCAAGAGTGTATCTGTCAAGCCGATTTCGAGAACGACTGTAACCATCAACTGATGTCCTTGATTGGTTTCTGTATCCTTCCTAGTAACTTTTGCTCATCGTTCGACGTGACATCAGGGGGACCAAGAAAAAGAAGCCCAAAGGAAAATCTGCGACGTTGATTCTACGGTGACAGTAGTGACAGTAGAAAATTGTCGAGGTCATTACTAGCCTCCTCATTCTGCAACTGTCGAACAGCCACATATTTCGGAATTGGACGGCTGTTAAAGGAACAATGTGTTTTCCGACCATGCGTACCTTTTCCCGGCCTCTTCGCGCTATCTCGCGACCTTGTAAACGAAGGAAGTGCCTCTTGTGTTACGTAAACTTGAAAGCTGGCCATGTGTTGGTGCTTTCAGATGTCTTTGTTGAGTCAACGTTGGGCCCTCCAGTTCATCAGCATTTCTTCACAACGTCTCTTCTCGGCCACCCACCAGAATGTGATTTGAACTTGTCGCTCAAGCCAGCAGAAAAAGAATCTTGGCATATCAACAGGCCTCTTCTTGGTAGCCGCCCTCGCAGCTGTGCTTTAGCATTTGGCACCAATCAGAAGCATGCAAGTGACAAGACAAGCCGAGAAGTCTTTCTACCAAGGGCTTTTGACCAACAATACAGCTGCATTACTGTTCCAGCCCGAGTAGCTCCTACATCCAAAACATCAGGATGAATTTATCCCAAGTTAGTTGACCGCGGGCATCTTCACTGTACTAACAAAGATAGAATACATCTTGGATAACGAGTCAGATGGTAACCTTGACGTGCTTAATCTGGCTACCTATGTCGTGCCGCGCCGTGTCAGCTGACAAAACATGAAGTCGAGACGTTTGTCTGTCTTATGTACTGCACATGTGGTAGGTAATTTATCTTGTTTCCTGTGCAAACGCAACTTACCACATAATATATCGACTTACTGACTTCCAATCATGCCCCCAGGTTGATACGCGAGATGAGGATTGAGAAAGCGGAAATATTTTGTTGGCCATATTGAAAGCAACTGCAAGGGCCAACAGGGTCCAAAATGAAAGATTGGGACTCTTAGTCTCACATAACACGAGAGTCATAGTTCCACGTACATGAAAGGGAAGGGCAGTACTCCTTCCAAGCATTGATGTGAATATTGTCATGATAGTATTTCCCCACAGCGTGTCAAATAATTTTAAAGGGTCCTTTGTCAAGCAGCAGTGGATGCGTAAATCTGAGGGGCGCTAGGGCACCTCAAACGCCTCACGCGTTGCATCGACACTATGTATAATTTTGACATTTCGCTGCAGTAGAAATTCGAGGAACTTAATGTTGATGTATAAATCGAGAAACTCTGGCAAGTTATAGTATCATAAATAGGATGTTTTTCTTTGTTGTATATGTACTATGCTAGTCGGGTCTTTGTAATCTTGCGTTCCGGGAGGTCGACCAAACGTAACGGCTTTGCCTTGTTGCTTTGGTAAAGGCGCTGGATGAATTAGAGTGACCAACTAAGGCTGCAGGCGAATTTAATCTTATAATAGCATGGGTGACTTGGAGAGAAACCTCCGCGCTTCGAGATGTTCCCCTTCGCGGCCCCGCTGTTCACCATATCCCCACAACATTTCACATCTCGCATTAACAAACAATATATAAGCCAATTTCATTCAACTCTATGCTTGCTTTGGTATTTTTAAATTGAGTCAAAGTAACGTTGAGTAAAAGTTTCAGAGCAGATCCCAGCCTGTTCCGTAAGATCCAGAGATTATAAAGCAACATCGGCCGCATCCAATGTATGAAGTATATTAAGTAATTCGGATATGTATGGCTGCTGGAGCAATCAAATTGTCCTGCACCTCATATATCAGCTTGACCGTGTCTATGACATAGGGGCCCCCAACTTTGTCAAGACTGGCTGACCTAGACGCCGCCTTCGGTGAGTTTCTGCCGAACCCACTTTTTGTGATTGGCACTCTGCCCTCTAAACGCCGAATCATCACTCTGCCAAGATCGTCTATTATCCACTAAGGTCTCTCTAGACAGCCGAGTGGCCTGCCTAGGAACAGGATACGCAACGGGCATGGCAGTCGGTGGCCACCCGGGCTCAAAAATTCTGCCAGCATTAGAGGGTTCTCTTGGCGATGCAATTGTGTCATAGACGAAAGGGTCACTGTCTGCCCACCACTTATAGGAGGGTTCTAGCTCCAGGTCAATCAATCGACAATCACCACTCGTTCTGGAATGAACAATGCGACGTACTGCTGCGCGTGTCGACTTGCTAGCGCACACTAATAAGGTTCAGCTTAGCAAAAACCAAGTGGGTAAAAGAGGGAACGCTCATACCTGAAACTGCGGTCGTTCCACCTCTACCATCCGTTAGGTATGCCGACTCCTTGTCGATATTGATGGCATAGAAATGATATTTCAAGCGCGTACGGTTGCGGTAGTGAATCCGGTCCATCGGCTGAGTATCTAGGATATGTGTGGTGAATTGTAGGATCTGCCACTGAGTTAAGCCCGACCTATCATATGAGCTATAGGGAGAAGGAAAATCCACTCACATCAAATCCCCGGTCATCTCGGTGTCTATGCTCTAGACAATCGTTTCGGTCAAACATACGGTCGAGTTCGAGGATTTGCGAGATTTCGTTCCCCACCCAGTGGGGATGGTCTATTCCGGTTAAAACACGACGCCGTAAAGTATCCGAGAAGGGAAGGAGGGGTGGGGTCCTCACTGAAATTCTTCAGCCTAACTTGCCATAGGACTTCTAGCCGTCGCACGGTATTCTTCCGGCTTCGGCTTTCTTGAACGAGATGTCGTATGAACGGCAGCGCGCGGGAATAGTCCAATATCTTCAAGTACAAAGACAACGGTCCCGTACTGGCCAAGGCTAGGTGGATGCCCATACGGACCTAGCACGCAGACCGGAAAATGAATCGTCGAGGATGGCGCGTGATCTGCAGCTTATGCGATCCTTCTAGTCACGCCCGGTCGGGGTCGGGTCACTATGCGTAACATGCGAGTGGTCGGTGCTCCTGGCGTATTATGCACTATGTCCACGGACGCCACGTAAAATGCTGGAAGCTGCAAGGATGACCTCACCCCTAAGCGTGGCATCCAGAGCTGTACGTACTGCCCCGGTTGAGCCACCCACTTCATGGGAACTGCAATGTCAAGCTATAAGAGCCGGTTGAAAGACCGCGCGAGGGCCCGTCGGGAGGCGATGCGCCACGACCTGTGAAACCACATGGTATGCAGACATGTCCCAGCACTCTAGCACAATCCGGTGCAAATACCGCCTAGTAGAACCCAGCGGTAGGCCGATGCGCGGTCGATCAAATGGTAGGTAAGGGCGCCGGTGGCGACCGTAGCAAGCACATAGTGGATCTTCAGGCCGAGTTGCGGCCAACGTTGAAGGATCGCAGCGAGCGTCTAGGGCAAGATCGACAGGAGACTACAACCAGCCTATTCAACATTAGCCACTTTTCTAGCCAGCATATCGCAGATAAATCGGGGAGGCTGCCATTCTCTAGCCCGCTTCACGCACCACGAGCGGAATGACGAGGGGAGCTGCAAGTCTTGTATTCCGAGCGACTGTGCCTAAGACGGACCTATAAAGCAGGCAATGCAATGCGCAAACGCGGCCTAGCCACCGGTGGGCCCATTGCAACGTGCCCCGTTCGACGCGGTAGACATAGGCAGGGAGACTGAAGCTAAACCCGGAGCAGAGGGGAACAAGGTGTGTGACCGCCAAGAATCCGGCTCGCTTCTGCACTTCCGCCCATGATCGAACATGAACGCTGACTGCAACGATGTTAGTAATCAACAGCGCTGCGACTACCCCCCTTGTAGGTATGATAGGATATCCAGCCACTGGAGCAGGCCTGGTGTTGGCGCTTGGAAAAAGCGTCTCTAGGATACTACGTGCTGCAACCTTAACGGCAAATGGCTGTACCGGCGCCCGAGGCTATAAAATAGCCAGCATACGAGAGCGAGGAGCCCACAGAGGCTGAATATATCTTGGACGGAAGCTCTCGTAAGCCATTCGGCAAACTTTGAGATGAGGCGGGGCATTCTTTTCACGAGAGGCAATACCGGACACTAGCAGGTTTATGTATTATTTTCTCAATAGTTGTCTGAACAACGCTGACCTAATGCTTTCATTTGGACAGTCTAACTAAAACAGCCTGGGAGGGTGATGCGGCAATCATCGACACTGGTGAGAAACAGTCACAAGGCTCATTTCATGGCTTCTTAGGATGAGGCGACAATTTAATGATTGAAAAAATCTGCATCGTCGACAGCGTAACAATAGTGACTCACCATAGGTCGATTACAAAAGGTGCGTCTCGCAAAATTCACGTTCAACGTTGAACCACATTTCTGCGGCTCCCATGTGCCTACAATAACTACGGTTATAGTTATCCCGTGGTTAATGTCGGTCAACATGCTGAGACGCTGGGTTGGTTGTCTAATTAGGCGGCAACTGTCTTTATTAGGAATATCAGGGAGGCAGCCTCGGCTAGCGAAGGCGAGGAAAGCGCGAAATAGTACGTATACAAGATCGAGCAGGTTATTGATTTTGTATATTCATTGCTGGTCTCTTTCCGGCCGACCAACTCAACTGCACCAGCTGAGTGCAACTAGCGGATAGGGCGCGACACGACCCCGACACTGTCGTAGAAGGCGATCTGGAACCTATCCTAACACCATCCACCTATAGGGGTTGCTAAGGGGATAGATCAAGTCATCTTGACTATCGATTCAATCATGCCCGATGCCTTGAAGATGCAGGGGGGTTCGTTTTTACGCAAGGAGGTTGTTTGCAACAAACATACCTTTGAGCTGCATTTCCAATAGGAATCTAACTTAGTCGCGAACAGATAACGCTAGACTCATCATCGCAGCATTAATGTTCTGTGACTCCTTCTAGCTATGTACTATGGTAGTGGCATAGCGATATTCTGCCATTAAATCCGGCTTCTTGTCGCTCAGTCTAGATATTTATATCGGGATCCCTGGTCTGCAAGCCTCAAGGGGGTGTTATGCTTATGTACAGCAGTTGACTCTCTCTAGCTCCTTTCCCTACTAGATCGGCCGAGGCATAGACCGATTTCAGATGGAGAGAGATGTTAACTGACGACCATTCATTCCAAACATTCGTCTAGTCCTATAGCGGCGACCAGCAATAAAAATCCTTGTCAAACAATTTTAGTTCTCCCTTAAATTCCTCCTTTCGCCAACTCAAAACGCGTCCAAGAAGTAAAAGAGATCAGCAAAAAGAAAACAATCAAATCAAAACGTAGATACCAACAGCGTTACTATAAGCCACTAAATCCTTCCAACACCCATGCCGACTCTAGGAGTGATTGATAGGCTTATAAGAAGAGGTGGCCTATATATATAACACTTCTAGGAGCTCAGCTAGAATCATCAACTTCTCTCTACTCGGCCTTTCGAGTCTAAATATAAGCTTTACCCTAGCAAGCCAAGATGTTCCGCTCATTCGCTTCACATGGAGGAAACAGATTAACTTGTGGAACTGTCAGATTTGCCCGCGCGTATCTTAATGTTTATGGGATCCACTACGGAATATGTCCAGATAAAGCCGTTGGAGTACTCGACAGAACCAGCACTCGCGCTCCATTTCGATATTAGCGTGTTGAAGAATGGCCCGAAATTTAGGACTAGAAGGCTTAAACAGACATATGCTGTCTCATCGAGGCTCTGTGGACGCAAAGTCTTAAGTATCCAACTAGCCTCCTCGATCGACTTTGAATCAGTAACAACCGCGTCCAATACCCATCAGTTGACCAGCTGTTGAACGAAAAAGGAGGGAATCTTCTGAGCAGGGAATGCTGGAGGCGAATGAGGCTTCCCCTAAGATATTTTGTACGGTTCGCCGTTTTCGCACCGAGAAGGATAATCTTCAGGTTTGCTGAATGTGCTGCCTCCAGGATTCCGATCTGATAGTCATGCGGTTCCAGGTTCGTGAGCTGTGCTTGGAGGAAGACATGAACGACGCCATTCTCGATAGATACGAATTTGTCTCGGCTATCAGCTTTGTCTGGTGCGTGACCTTATGGAATTATGGTGGAAGAGAGTGTGATATTGATACTCTGGCCACAGAGCTTTGACTATTCCCACTTCTAAACGAGCTCCTCGGTCTTTGAACATATGAAAGGGGCTTTGGCGATCGGGATTTTCGAGGAGCGATCAACATGAGAAACTTGCTTCCTGCAGCATTTAGCACCTTTATTGGTTATTGGAAGTCAAAATACGTACCCTTTCGCGCGCCACCACTACGACAAAAATAGACGTTCGAGTACTTGCAACATCAAGGGCAATATCAAACAGTCCCTCTCTTCAGAAAGAGCTTCTAGTAGCAGTCCGCAGATACTGGCCCTCGTCGACGTTGGTGTGCAGAATCTGAGTAAATTTGGTTGATTTTTGGCGATGAAACTAGTGTATGAGGCTATATCGGGAGGCTTGAATGAGTTTTAGCCCTCCGAGATAAAAGGAAACGCTATCTACCGAAGACCAGACGAGATCAAGTACTTTTATATTACGTGCGCTCACCGGAACCCAGATGGCTTACATTGTCAGAGGGGACATCCTGGTGACAGTAACAAGCTGCAAATGCTCATAGACTGCTTGCTTGATATCACGTCGTCATCATCGGTCAACATTTGTTACTCAACATTGAGTATGAGCTATTGAACATTGTTCATTCACATCGCTAGAGATATGTACAGTTTCCGTATTAAGTACAGATCAAGTTTCCTCGGCCATACTACTCACATGTGGTTTTCCTGCTCCCAGGACCGCCATAGGACCAAATACTGTACAACAGAAGAACCATCATCCTAGTGGGTAACGCGTTTGGCAATTGTGCCTATCGGTATTTTCTAGCCAATCTGGGGATGTCAGCTTATTTATTGGAAACAATTTCCCCATACAACTTACAGGATCAGAAAAGTCATTGTCATGCATATGGTGGCAGTGCTGGCTGTAGTCGGAAGACGAGGATCCGTTTGAATAGGGTGATTGATCTTCATCCGACACCACGAACTCGCGGTCTTCACTTATTTCCGAGATATCATCCTCCGAGGGCTCAGAGGTGGAACCTTGAGCGTCAGAGTCATTGGTCTCACTATATAAGGATATGATTTCGAAAAGCTCATTTCTTTCTTTCGTCGCCATCTCAGGCAGGAATGTTGGTCCAGGAGGAATCGATAACAGAAGATGGATAAAATTTGTATTTTGCTCTTCATTCCGGTTCGACGCCCACTTATGTAGATATATTCGATTATGCCTTGACCATGTCTAACTAACGGTTGAATGACTGAGACATGTCCAAAGGGCCAGTGAAAGCCTCGATGATATGTAAGAGAATTTTGCTAGTGCTTATAGCTCAAATTACTAGCACGTTGATTCAACTAAATGCGTAGTAAACACGTCTATTGATCCAATGAGGCGTTGGAAATCGTTGACGTTATTAATTTTCACTGCTCAAACCATCCCCGCTGTGTAACGGGCAGGGTTTGTTAATACTCGATCCTAAAGGTAATAAAATATCAAGACCCGATTTAGCTGTCAAAGAGAATGCGGTGGGATATTTGCAACTTTTGTTCACGTTAAGACTGGCAAAGCCGCTGATGGTTCAATTTACGGGCTATCTACATCCCTAGGACGTATAAATTCATCGTCTCATTTCCACCATCAATGGTTCCTCAATCTGGCCACAAAATGCATCAACCTCAACACTCGGGAGAAAAGAGCGAACATATTAGTCAGGAGACCAAGATATATCATGTTTGACGCGATGACTGACTCCTAGGACGCAGTGGTCGCTTTACCATCAAAACCTAGCACCAGTTTCGCTTGCTTTGCATATGATTCTATTTATTCTAGCCGCTCTCACCGCCAGTATTACAACCCTTCAGCGCGATGAGTTCAATTAGCGCCTTATCGTCGTCGTCAGCCCCAATGTCGCGGTCTTCGGTATGTCGTCGCCTAAGCCAGTCGACTGATTTCAAGGTATTTCAAGACTCAAAGCCATTCACCGGCCCCTCAAGCGTCATAATACTGAAAGACTGGCCCAGAAGTCCCCTGGCGAACCTCACGCGGTTTGCACCCGACCGCCGAGATTGCGTGCTCTTCGACACCGCCGGCAACTCCAATCCGTCCTCATGACTAAAAACAAATCTGACCCTTACATTTTGCAGATTCGATCATTTGCAAAATATGTCAACGAGACCCTCCGGAAGCGCGATGAGTTCTTGTGTCTTCAGCCTACACGGATTCATCTATTGCCGCTAGATGATGAGAGTGCCCGATGGAATTGGGTCTTTCTGATGTTGAAATGAGCCGGCAGATTGCAAAGATTTGTTAACCAATACAGCCAAGAGAACGGGAGTTGTCCGTACAAACCAATGAATACGGATTGGCGCAAGGTCGACTACCTTATACAGCTGCCAATGCCGTTTGTCCAGTTCACTGCGGCCCTTCTAGCCTCCAAAGAGGCGACAGTCCACAAGGTCTGTTTCGTGTTCAATATACTAATAGAGCATCTCGACGAGTCAATTCGGATATTGAGAAGAAAATCAGCTTAGTGGAAGCGCGAATTACTTGAGGCGTTGCTTATCATGGAGATGAAATCCGGAGAAGTATACGAAAAGATATATCAAAGCTTTGGGGTCATATATGGCCCTGGAACTCTCGTGGCTCCCCAATACAAGGTGTCCGCATTCGATGAGGCCACATAATCGCAAGGCTTGGGTCGTCCCGAGCGCTACATCGAATATCTGAGGATTTTTCACCTACAGTACCGACCGCAAATGCCCACGAGCTTGTCTTGCGTGAATGGACTGTCTTGCTCTCCGCAGTTGTTGGGACACCGGCTTCTGCACTCACTAGCTGGTCGGGCGGCTAGGTCAAAGAGTGGGCAGAATGAAGTTCTCTGAAGGTTTGCCTACTGATTGACAAGAGAACGATCCAGTGCGCATTTTCCATAATGATCGTAATAAGGCCTCCTACTTCGATCCATTGAACACGAACGCATCAATAATAAGACGAGGTGAGTAGAGAGCAACGTATGTTCTGTTATGGCGCGAAGGAGATGGAAATTTTTAGAAGTCCTACGAAGTCATGATGTAGAAATGCGCAATTGATTTGAAGATAATTACTAAGTCCGCGGAGCCCAGAAAGGCACGCCACCGTACAGTATCAAGAAGTGCATAGTATTAACTGCTATTTCTGTCAAGAAGCCCATTCGAAAGGCATTGGAGATGTCTGTTCTATACTTGGTTGAAGTATACAGTAATGGAAGACTTATAGCCTTTGCCATTGGGTGCAGACCAAAGAAATAGACTGGCTGTAAAGTTGCATAATACTCTACCTCAGAGAAGCTTTGGCATAGTCTCTAGTACACGGAGCCAGCTGCAGGACAGCATGCCATCTTATTTAATTCGAAATGCCGTCCACATCCCTACACCACACCGCGACCAGATTAGATACCGTACTTCTACGACGACTGCTTACGGTGCCAGAGATCGATCCGAATCTCTGCGTTGCAGATCACTCTCCAATCTCCATTACCGCATCCCGCGGATGCGTGAGCACGGTTACTTGTCTGCTAAGTATAGGGAGCTTAGAGATCAATAGGAGGGGCTTTATAGATCCGCCAATCTGTCAAGCGGCTGCACACGGCCATTATGATGTGGTCAGGCTATTAGTGCAATAAGGCACACGTCTGAACATCAATGAAAGCACGATCGTATCTCACGACACTGCACTCTGCATTGCTGCCCGTGGTGGTGACTTAGAGATGGTCCAGGCACTATTGCTTCATAATCAAATTGATGCCAACCTTCGGAATGAATATTTTGAGGATCCATTGATGTTGGCAGTCAAGGATAGTCATTTCTTAATAGTTAATGCGCTTTTAGCAAACACCAGACTCAAACGCTTCAGTTTGAAGAGATCGCTTGATCTAGCAAGAGACGACTGCATCCAAAGGGCTATTCGAACCAGAATGGAATCCGACAACACTCGTCAAACATTGTTGAGGCGGTCTCCGAGGATGAAATTTGGTGGTCTGTGAAACCTATCTACACCTCTCGTGATGCAATGCGAGATGGCTGTTTTGAGTGTCACTTGACATGAACTCTCGGAATTATTATCTGTACCTCCACATTTCGAAAAAGTTTGTTAACAACAAAGTCACGTTCGACTTCAACGACTCCTTGATGTATAGCATCCAATACATCAAAGTTACAATTACAAAATATCATTAGGAGGCAGTTTTTGCGAGTCTTTGTTTAAGGTTTCATCTGTTGCTCCCACATTAAATTGAGTAACTCGGGGTGAGTAGCAGATGAGATCGAGCGTCAACAGTTAAGGTAAAAGTTGAGGAATCGCTCACTGACTCTTTTAAAGGCGGTCGAACTCAGGCTGGACGGTCATAGGTGGCAATGACAGCAGCTTCAATGTGACTGTCGGCCTATAAAAGAATCGCGAGTACAATTTCTCTTGCGTATCATTTCAAAGGCCACGATAGACCAACCCACTTCACCTTCCTTGTGTGACCGGCCAGCCAAGAGACAGTGCCGGGCTTCCCAAGACCCAAAAGATGAGAACAAGTTGCAAAGCCACCCACAGCAATCTTCAGATGCTGCAACCATCGAGGCTGAGGTTAGTCAGACCCTCTTCGATAGCAAAGGAACAGATCACTAATACTGCATAGGCTCCAGTGCGCACACCCGGTTCCCTTACGGCGGAATTCATGAAGCTTCTCCACTACAACGGCGCCCTGGCTACACCAGCCCTCAAACTGCTCGACCTGTACTTCTGCTTATAGGAATGCTACGTTGTCAAATCTGCCGAGAAGATACGACTCGAGAAAGAGCAGCGACAGCTTCAGGAGTCAAATGAGTGGCTAGCAAGCGACAGCGAGATCCTTCTACAGCTCTGCGATAAGCAGGCATTAATACTATGGGATCAAAAGCGAGCAGCTTAAGCACTTTGTAACGGCGTCGTTTCAGCCTTGCAAGCGAGCAATACTCAAGCCTACCATGTTGATAGGCCTTGATGAAGTCTTAGTGTTGTCGAGCGTTCGTGAGGACAATGACTCCTGAATAGTTCTGCTATCTATTTACCTTCTGTCCTAAATATCATCCTTCTTTTTAGAGCCTCACACCACCGCCCGTGAAGTTCCGTTGGGTTTAGTGACGGAGTGCCAACGTTTCACAGCCGTTGATACACCAAAAGTTTGATTTTCGAGAACTTAGCATGTGGCCATAAAGCCTGCCTAATTTGCCCTGACTCCGTAATTGAAGATATAAAAAAGATTCTGCTCAGCCTTTGACGTTCTGTCCCTCCCAGTCCTCGTCAAATTGCTATTATCTACACTTCTGTATTTTCCCACCAGCCTTCGACAGCGAATCTAGAACAAAAATGAACGAAGCAAACAACAATGGTCTGTACCCGTTGTTTCATTGCTGTTTTGCGCTAATATTGGCAGACTGTGATTGGGATCTCGACCTTCACGCCATCTGGCAAGAGTGCTCTGGCATACCGACACCGCCTCCTTGTCTCGCTACCGACTTCCAACATCCTCGTCAGATCCTCTCGGATGACAGCGAGCCTGCAGGATATGAGACTTCAGGGTCATCCTCGATCGAATGCTTTTTCCATCCCACTTGCGACAATCTGTCGGCTTTCAAGTGGACTGGTCCAGATCCTCTGTCCATGTCTACTCAGGCTAGCGACTTGTTCCTCCACATGTCAGCGCTCGCTTTCCCTAAAGGAGTGTTCTGGATAGAGTTTCGACTAGTCCGATTTGACTGGAAATCTGGCGCGACTACAGAAGAGCATCTGTTCTTCCTGCCCCGAGTTGAGACGGCCACATGGAATCTTCGTCGGGTACGTGGACAGTTGCTAGATGCGATCTCCTGGCATGGATTTGGCGCAACAGGCACTAGCTTCCGACTGTCCCTTTGGCCTCGTATGAAGCCTCTACAATACTCAAGTCAATCCGCACTCTCACGTCGCTTAAACGATCCACGATATATTAGTTGTCGCTACTTATATATAGGAGACTTTAAAACGCTATAGTCCCGTCCTTAACCTCGACAGCAAATTTTCACTTTGACCTACGATGCTATATCGGTGTAGTAGGAACTTAAACGACCGTAGATATTACCTATCCGGAAATTTGAGTATTATTTAGCGCAAGGGGAATAAGTTCAATAAAGAGGCCAGAGACGAGAATGTTCGCTTAGAAGACCGCTATTGTAAGTTTTAGAATTGACCCAATCTAAGCTCAGATCTAGTCAATTCTAAAACTGTCGCTGGAATTCTAGGTGACGGTTGCAGTCGTTTTACATTATTCAACATTAGTATAAATGAGCCCTGAATAGTCTTTGCCCGGCATTAGATCTGGAGGTGGAAAATGGTACTTCTTTTTCTATTCCTTGGTTTGGTACTCTTTCGATTTTCCTATGTATGTAAGGAGGCGGAACTGGTCTGTCTATTGCACGTTCGCGACAATAAAAGCAGCGAGGCGGCTGTTGAACCTTATTACTATAGTATCCAACACAACTACTTGTCAATTACCGAAATTACTTTCTTTTTTCAGATCCCTTTCAACCCTCGTTTCAGGGCATCGGCGTGCGGAGCTTGCTAAGCGCGCGTCACCAGTAAATTTGACGTAATAACCTCTGCATCCAAAGGAAGGCTCTGAGACGGGTTCTACAGAGCCGAAGCTTGGCCGATACTACTTCTGCACCGCGGATGATAAAGCTTAATGGCCCAATATCAAACCCGCTCGCAGTGACATCTAGTATGAAGCCTGTGACCGTCATTACAAACTGTTGAACGCGGTCCATACGATCAGTACCCGTAGATATACGTTGGGTAATGTTGGATGGAGCGGCTGTAGTGTTCGAGGCCGGCTGTAGTTCAATATCGTCGAAAAATAACTCCGGATGAGATCAAAAAGACCAGTTCACATGGAGCTGGGAAAACGCCTGTCTGAGCGCGATGCAAGTGGAATTCTCATCTTTCTGGATGTCCCAATCCGTCAAAAGCTTATATCCGGAGGCGATGTGATAGCGAGCAGAAGAAAGATCTCCTTGAGAAAGATTAAGTATGGTGAGAATAACATATGTAACTAGCACTATTTGTTTGCGAGTGCGGTTCAAATTGCCCGGAGTCTGGATTTCCCCAACTAGATTTTCTCGGAGGTAAGTGATTGCTTTTGTGGAATGAGAAAAAGCTAGGCGGGTGTCCGTATGAGTGCCACTGGTGGAAGATATTTCCGATTGGGAATGCCATGCACTCATAGCAATCGTGGCATGACGGACTGCAGGACAACTTTCGCTCATTTGCATAATTAACACATCCCAGAATGGGATTCCAAAGTATCGCCAAAATCGTACCGCAGTGCGATTTTGGTAGAAATCCAAATGGAACCGCTCATCCCAGGTGAGATTCATCTTGGAGGCACTGGTCAAAGGCAGAGGGATGGCAGCAAGGGGTGGCACATAGCCATGCCGGAGTTGCAGAGCTACGTTTTGCTGATCATTGGCAGAGTTATTAGCCTTGGTATCACGCCACTCTCGCCTCCTCCTATCGATGACCAGTTCATAACCCTCGCATTCCCTGCTTAAGCTGGTACAATTGAGACAAGCCGGATGAGTTTCGTCACATTTCTTGTGTCGTCTCCTTTACAGCGTTTAGTTGATGTATATTCAGATGAATCAAGGAAACTCACTTGCACATTATACATCCCGAGCGCGAGTTTGAATGATATGATCTTGTTTTTCGCTTCTGGTGTACGCTATGCATATTTCATGTGGAGGACGGTGTTATCAAATACAATATCTGGCTCATTGGCTGAGGCTGATTCGGGGTTTCTAGGCATGAAAAACGATCAAATAATATATACGTATAGACGGCCACAATGGATCAGAACGTCTCGCTCTTCATGGATTTTCGCAAGAAGCTTGGTGTTCGTGGGCAATGGGAAAGTGGATCGCTAGATTGTTGCAGGGGTCCGTCGATGCTCCAAGATGGCCGGGGCACGTGAAGATAGAATCACGTGCTCGTCTTATCGCATTGAAAAGGGCAGTCGTCACGGTGCGATGTTCTCAACAAAATATTTCATCCAACCTTACTGTGTTTGGGTATAACTCGCTACGCTGACCTCTTCCAACATCAACCGTAGCAAGGCAAAAACCCTCGCAATGATGAATCCTAAAACCTTCTCTGTAGGGGAGGGGAGAGGTATCTATAGAACAAGCAACATAGACCTAGGTACTTAGTCTCTATGCTTAAAACCACCTTCTATCCTGGGTGCTTAAACCTAGCAACAAAACTCCTAAATACTGTGCTAGCACTTAATAGTTCTACTTAATATTTCTAGTATCCTACTGTGTGGATATTAAAATAAGGAAGTATGAAATAAACACAGTATAGAACAGTATACTACGGAGTGAGCTGGAGAAATTTAGACATGCAATGAAGCTCAGTGTATCCTCCACCTTTCCCCGTCGATCGAACGACCACTTACAATTTCATCAAATGTTAGATTCCGTCAGGGTGAGTTCTCAAAAATTGAAGAGTTCCCTGTATTTCAGACACCGTGTTGATCAAATCAAAGATAGTGTGTGTTGATGATCCGAATAAATGCATCGCCGCGTTCAAGGAGCTCCAATATATTCGCCATGAAGTAGCAGTTGGCTAGTAACGCTGTCTCATACAGACCAGCATACTGTATGAGCGGCCATTTTCCTTCAAGAAATATGCGCAACCCCGCCTCGGCCCCGGATGCCGGATCGTTACGATGACTCGGAGACCCTTGATGAGAAAGAACAGCGTCTAAATAGAGCCCATCACACCTTTACCAATGATCCCAACAGTTTTGATCGGGAAATGAGCCATTTCCTAGCTCGTTCCAATTTGGGGCGCACGCAAACAAAGTATGTATTAGTAGATGAAGTTTGCAGCAAAAAGCATGCAGGAGTAAGGGAAGCTGTCGCTTTTCGTGCACTAGAGACCCAGACTAGTCCCTTGTTTGGGTCCGACCGAGGACGACGTCAGCCTCGGAGATACTTCCTCGGACCGAGGAGTTGGGGGTTTCGTCTTTGGGGGCCGAGGAGCCGAATGTGTCCTTTTCACCATTAAGCCTCCCAAAATTCCGAAAGCATGTCTATTCGTCGTGAAACCGGAAGTTCGATTTCTTACTTTCGCGACCGAGCACTCAGATTGAACATCCGGCCGTGGCACAAAAGATCCGGGGGGCAAATAGAAGATCCTCGGAGCTTCATTACGGAAACACTGGCCAAGATAGTGCGGCCACCTGGCCAGAAAGTGCACAATCAGCGCCTGCTATTCCTGGTATAAATAGGCGCTGAAATCCTGACTCACACTTTCAAACAAAAGCCGTTCTTCATTCTCAAACTTCCACCTCCTGTACCTACGCGGTTCAAGATGTCTGCTACACACGAGACTATTGCCAGCCCAGATATCTATGGACCGGGCACTTTCGTGGACAAGAGCTTTCTCGCCGTCCCCCACGATGCTCGTCGAGTCTTTGAACTCCTCGCTAATTCGACGCCCAACTTTACCCAGAACCGCAATGCATGGAATTCGGTCAAATTTGAGGGCTATGACGACCCCATGATTCCAGGACCACTCAAAGCTCCTGTCATCGCCGCTGCGCTTCATGCCATGTGTGGTGTTGTTGCTAATGAGCTGCTGGCCGAAAGGGATGGTCAAGAAGCGGAAGACCGTAGCGTGACTATCAATACCGACCAAGCTGCAATCTGGCTTGGATCTATTTTGACGATTCGGTTGAATGGATCCGAGGTCACTGAACTTATGAAGATGGGCAAGGGTTCTTCAATTTTTGACCGCGACTTCGAGAAGGGTGTTTTTGAAAACCCCCTCAGACTTCGAACAACAGCCATTTATCCGACTAAGACTCCTGGTGTTTGGTACCAGCTCCATGGGTCACTTCATGCGGATCCCGTTCTGCACGCCATTGGCATCGATCCCGCAACCAAATGCGAATCCGCAGCCGATGCCTACAGTCTGATTCGCGAGCAGACCCAGAAGTTCACCGCAGATGAATTGGAGATGATCATGATTAAAAATGGATTTTGCGGGAGCATCTGTCACACTCCGGATGGGTGGAGCAAGACATTGATGGGGAAGCGGCTGCAGGCCCATCCATTCATTAACTATTCCCATCAGTCCCATGCTGCACCAACGCTACCGACCCCTCTGCCAGTTCTGCCGGAAGACAGGCGTCCACTGGCTGGTATCAAGGTAATTGAGCTTGTTCGAATTATCGCCGGCCCGGTGATTGGAACCACCTTGGCTGCACTCGGGGCCGATGTGATCCGCGTCAACTGCAGCAAACTTCCGGATATCAATGTAAGAGATCATCCATACTGTGGGCTCTACTCGATGACTTGACCTTAACATCCGCAATAGGCCTTGCAACTGACCCTGAATGCCGGAGTACGGACCATTGACCTAGACCTTACCGATGTCGACGACGTAGCTCGATTGAAGGAGCTGTGTCAAGATGTGGATATTTTCATCCAAGGCTTCCGCCCGGGCTCTCTGGAGAGAAAAGGATTCGGCTTGAACCAACTTCTGGAAATAGCCAGTAAACGAGGCAAAGGTGTTGTCTACGTAGAAGAAAACGCTTATGGGCCCGATGGTCCCTTCTACGAGCGACCGGGATGGCAGCAAATCGGAGATGCGGCTTCCGGTGCTTCCTTCGTATCCGGAAAATCGCTTGGTTATGCCGATGGAACCAGTGTTCTTCCTCCCCTTCCCATCTCGGATATGACTACCGGACTTGTTGGAGCTCTCGGTGCTTTGATGGCACTTCGTGACCGCACGCGAAATGGAGGATCCTACCGCGTGCTCAGCTCCTTGGTTGCCGCTGATGCGATCTCGCTTCAGCCTGAGATCGGCCTATATTCTCCGGAGGTTGTGCAGAAAAATCAGGAGACTTTCCAGTGGGAGACCATGGAGCCTTCGCAGTATGTGTCGGAGCTGCTGATGGTCGTCCTGAATGGCTGGAAGAGGGTCTACCCGGAATATTTCACTCGGGAATCGCCCATCATGACAACCTTTGAGAAAAGCCACTGGGGACACTTGCAGTTGCTGAGCCCCGTGGTCAAGCTTGGTGACGACTCCGCCACTGCTCGCTGGACTACCCCATCCGTACCACACTGCTATTACGACCGCGGCATTTCATGGCACCCGAGCCCACGGACAACCTAAGGATCATCGAACCCGATAAATTAGGAACGCAGACCTTCGTCTTGAATTTTATAGAACATACATAGAACGAATAGAGACCCTGCATTGGAGGAAATGCTGAAATTGATTTTTACTGTTGCACCTCATACACATGTGAGTCCACCCTGAACGGTGGGTCCGACATGTATAAAAAGACTAAGACATACCGTGGAGACCGAAGCCGGCCTGATTTGATCAAAATCGGCCAACAACGCTGACTCAAACAGCCACAAGACTCGAAGTGATAGTAGGAAGAGGCCCGAGGAAAATAACTTCTAAAGGGTAGATCACTCTTTCGTCACTGTGGCAGCGCGCGGGTACCAATCGATCGAAGGTCAAGGTAAACCGCTAGCGTCAGACCGTTAGGGGACATCTCTGGATGGAGGAAACGAATAATCTGTTTGGGTGGACGAGCTTGCACCTCGGGCCGTGGGCCTCACAGTACGGCAAACCGCGGTCCCCCCATCCCGGCACCCTGGTTCCTCATCCGGAAACCACGTCCTATTATTCATCTTTTTATCTTTCAATCATAATTATTTATTTATAAGTAAACGAATGATAAAGGTAGGGCTATATTTTAGTTTTAAATTATTATTTTAATAACTACATATATATTTTAGTAAAATAATCTTAAGTTTTACTAGGTCGTGCGGAAGACTACTTGCCAAGGCCTAGCGAGGACCCCTGGCCGCATTAAGATCTCGTGTTCCAAAGGGCTCATTATGCTAGCCCTAGATATCAATAGTCCGTTGGTATAATTTTCTCTTACCCGCAACTAGCTAGTCTTGCTGTTGCTTGGGCATTTCAGTGTATCTAAGTCATGGAATAAGCCTCGGTGCAGATTTTTGGTCCTTGCTGTTTCATCACAAAACTCACCCTCTGGGATCATTCCTTGGAGGTTTTCTTTTTGCCCCAAAGACACAAAATTAACCATTCTCCTTACAACGTTTGCAAGGTTGAGACCTCGGAACCTCGGGACCTCGGGAACCAACGAACTCTATTAGTCATCCAGCTGAAGTTGTAGGTATCGCCTCTCTGGTAATCTTCTTGCCTCTATATGCTTTCGTCACCCTTCCGCGAACTTGGCTTTAGGTATCTATTTTAGGAGCAGCCAGAGCCTCGATAAGATATACGTCTTTGTCTTTTGTTCATCTGGACTTCATCAATCCTGCGCTAATCGACCGTGATATGGAGGCTGGACAAAATATCAATTTATGAGTAAAGATGCGTACGGCCTGGACGGAATTTTGTGGGGTTTTGAAAAACAACGCGGTCACCGGAACTATAAGATGGCACGTAAAAGTCGCATTCCCGACTTATCACCCATGATTCTACCATTTTGAACTCCTGGATTGAATATCATTGAAAGAGTGGATATATCGCTACGTCATGACTCGAGGTCACGAAAACCTTGACGATCCTAGAGCATCCGAGCCTCGGTCTATCTCATACCCGCGGCACCGAGTAACAAGCCAACGGCCCGTACACTGTTTGCTTTGCTTTCGTCAGTCTTGCTCACCTGACGGAAGCTGTCCAATCGGCTCGACACGCTAGATGGTTTCGCCGCTCCCCCAAAAACCTCGCTGGTCCTCATTCCTCGGAAATTGGATCTTCGACAAAAGTAAACAAGTCCGGGCAGAATGTCGGCTACACCAGCGAACAATCCTAGGATGCCGACCCGCAATCACCGCTCCGCAATTGCTTGTCAAGCCTGCCGCCAGCGCAAGGTTCGGTGCAGCTTGGCTATCACGGGCACCCCTTGCATCGGTTGTACTCAAGACCGCGCTGAGTGCGTTATTGTCCCAAAGCAACGGAGGAGGTGAGAGCAAAAGGTTGCCATACTGTTTGAAGCTGTTTCTCTGAAGAGTTTTGGCCGCAGAACCCAAAAAGCACGTCGCGAGGCCGTTGAACGCCGTGATCCGGACCACATTCCGGCGTCCGATTCTGCTGAAAATCGAGCTTCCGATCATGAATCGAATCCTAGTATAGAGATCTCTAACAGGCCTAATGGACAATATAATGCGGCAACAGTTCCGTGCTCCTCCTATCGGACTCACGATGGAGAAGGGGGAGGGAGCCACGATGCAATTGAGGTCGGAACGTCGTCGTTTCAACAACCTCAATCCCGATATACCAGAGACACCACTGTTAGGGTTGAATCTGAAGGCGACATCGAGAACGAAGAGCGAAGTGGAGTGGAGATTGCAACAGCAGCATTAGGGCAGCCTCAGGAAAATGGTCAGATACCTTTTTACACCGGTAGGTATCGTTGTGTGGTAGCTCTTGAATCGGTGGCTATTGAATGATACATGCTGATCCATCCGATAGGAGGCCAGACGGGGCCCACATACGCGCTGGATATTTGCTCGCCGGAGAAGTCATTGCCCAGACACTTTCTTATCCCGTCGCACGCCCGATTTCCTCTGTCCGATGCGGACCAAGGATATCTCCAGGCTAAAGGAGTGCTCACGCTTCCCGGGAAAAAGAGTTGCGAAAGTCTTCTTCGGGCATACCTCCATCACGTTCATCCATTAATGCCCATCATTGAAGTTGATACTATTCTGGAATTTCAGCAAAATGGCCGACTTCACGAGTACAATCTCCTCCTTCTCTGGAGTATATTCTTCGTTGCGGTGAATGTGAGAAATTCCTGGTGGTTGTGATTGTGGGAGTACTCACGAAAACTGCAGTTTGTCTCGCGCACTGTCTACGAACAAGAGGGCTATAAGTCCCGAAAAGAAATGAAAGCCAGTCTGTATTCACGTGCCAAAGTGAGTATGGATGCTACCTGGCTCAGCGAGCGCTTGGATCTTCCAGTTTGGGTTGGAAATGCTAAGTTTTCGCAATTCTAGTGCATGTATGCCGTCGGCGAGGGAATGGACAAAATTGTTCTTCTCCAATCTTCTCTTTTGATGGGATTCTGGCTATCAGAGCTTGATGAACATATGCAACCCTTGTATTGGACTGGAATCGCGATCAACCTTTGCCAGATGTTAGGTTTGCACCGCAATCCCGATTCTTCGAAGTTCAATTGTAACATCACCGATCGACAACGGTCCCTCTGGCGTCGTTTGTGGTGGAGCTCATTTTACCGAGATCGTTGGCTTAGTCTTAGTTTTGGAAGGCCATCACGCATTGATCTCAATGACTGTGACACGCCTATGCCCACGGCCACCGACCTGCTCGTTGACGTGGGTGGACTACCTGAAGGTATATCGGCCGGTTTTTTGCCCGCTGGCTTTCCCGGGCTGGCGTCGTACTGGGTGACACTAATTGTACTGAGCAAGCAGTTGGGTGCTGTTATTACCATGAACTATCAAACTCTCAAGTCACGGCCGACGATTCAACAATTTGAATCTCGTGAAGCGGAAATTCTTCGGTGCACGTTGCCCGATCAGTACCAGGCTGGCCTCACTGATCTAGCACGATTTCATTCACTGCATGTCCATTTGCACTACCAGTGGGTCCAGGTGCTCTCAACACCAATGTCGTTGTACTAACCGCTGATTGACACTGGTAGAGCACTCCTTATTGCTTTCTACCGGCCGTATGGAACTGATTTCCCCATCGATCTTGATCCTGTTGTCCGGAGAGACTGGCAACATCGGATGCGTCTAAGGGCCGGCGATGCAGCCTCAAAAACAAACGACATTATTGATGTTCTGGCTGAAGATAATCTTCTGGAATACGCGGGGCCTATGACGTAAGTGTTCAGGAACCTTTTGTTTCTTTCTTGTCGTCCCGTTGTGTTGCTTGCTCCTCAGCAGCCGATCTTATACGCTGTCGATTAACACGACTTATGACGGACCTTAGACCCTCACTCCTAGTTCCTGCGATGCAGACCCACCTGCTCTTCTATCGATCGGCCGATTCTCTGACGAAACGCCTGAGGCTTCACAAGCTCGAGATGTGTATGCTTATCATGGAAGAGCTACAAAAAGTCTACACGGTTGCTTCAATATACCGCGGGATTTTTCGTAAGGCTATGGAACAAATTTGTCCTTTCTACCAGGCAACGACTGCCATTTCTGACCAGGGAATGAGTTCAGCTCGAACCACTAATACGAGCGGCCGAGACTCGATAGTGAATGCAGCGGCTGCTCATCAGCTTCCAGAAGCTGTATTTGATAACAATTATCTCCCGGCCAATAGTTCAGAGCAAAGGAATGAACTTCTAGGAGACTTCATGGATTCGTTGATGGACGAGACCTCAGTGTTTAATTTTTGGGAAACATGGAATCGAATGTGAGAGACTATCCTTTCCTATGGGGGACGGCCGACTGAGGGCTGGGTCGGATTATGGGTTTGTGTCTTTGCATAGGGGAATAAGAATGGGACTATCATTAGTCGAGTTAATTATTATACCCTTCCTCGTTCTCATAGTTAGTATTAGATTTTATATAGTCTTAATTTATAGTGACCCTCTAATATAGACCTCGCCCTTACCTATATAAACTTAGCGCATTATGATGTGTACAGACACACAGCCCCATACGCTCTGCACTTTTACTTTCCCCAAGCCTTCTCTGCTCGCTATATAGGATCGTATCCCTCCATGTGGCTTGGAAATAATACTGTAAAGTTTCTGTTTCACTGCATTGCCAACCTTGTATCAATTTGATGTCCTGACTCTTCTGTGCTTTAGACATATATTTCATATCTCTGTGAAAGTCTTGAATGCCACTTCTTGTTGTTCACAACCCTTTCTCTTTCTTTATTCCCTCTCAATTGTTGTCCTTATGCCGTCTCAGCTTAACTCGCCGGCTATTTTTCACTTGAGGGACTTCATAAACAGCGTAGGACCCGACCCGTCTCGGCCTGGCCAGGGACTTGCTCTACAAATTGAGGCTTCCTTACATCTTTATTTTCAAACAGATCTCTACTCGGACGATGTTGACTTGACTGAGCTTCCGACCACCATACATTTCTTTGCCTCGCCGGGTAAACCTCCATCCTACGAACCCAACAAATTCATCCATGCTTGGGGCTCGTTCTTAACCTCTCTCGACCCGGACGGGTCTCTACATCTAATTCTACACGCACATGAGATTGACTGGTGAGATACCGCATCACAGCGCCACCCTTGTTTCCCCACCGCTGAAGGTTTCCTTAGCCATCCTGGTGACCATTCTGATCCTCATGCATACAATATGCACTGCCTAGAGGCCGCTCTCCCCACCGTTAGCTTGCTAGGAATGGTCAGCGGTGGAGGGGGCCAGTTGAACAACGGGTCTACTCTGTTGCATTATGACCTAGAGACTCATGTCTATAATCTCTCCAGCAAGGCACCTGTGGTATTTACAGTTTCTGTTTACTTGGTTTAACATCTGAGCAGATAGTTGTCCGGTTTTATATCTAGGTTCAAGGACTCAAACGTGTTGGTGGGGCCAATGACCGATCGGTTTCAACGAGCTAGTAGCTCCCTCATATACGGTTGCCCGTTTCTCGAAAGACAGAATCTGAGGGCTGGCGGTGAAGTTGATGCCGATCGAGCACGACATCGGTTTGAGTCGGTTCGTTCTCGGATACGTTTATGGCAAATAATGCGGGTTAAACAAATGCCTAGCAGAACGTAACCACGGGGGACATAGGCGATGTACCCTATGCACCCTGTAGAACATGTGGTCCTCTATCAATTCATCGTCTAAAACAACACCCACACTCAACCTACAATCTCTCTTTTTGGCTGATCTTCTTTAACTCCGAGTAAATTTCGATTTGGCCCGAAGCTGCCAGAATCGGCGTCAAATGACGCCAAAAATGGCGTCGCCGGCCCATGGGTTTCTTGCCACGGCCGCAGCGGCGAGTCGTCCACGCACTCACTACTGCAGGCCCGACCCACCCCAACACGCTTTGGGCGTCTCGTTCATGAGTCCGGCACAGCTCATCTCACCCTCTGCTCGCACTCTGCTCACCCACTACGCTACGCACCCCCGGCTCACCTTCTCTCGCACTTGGCCCATGCAAACATGCAGGCTTCTTCTGACTGGATACCGTGGGTCGGAAAAACTGGTTGTTGCTAGCGCCTAGTTGGTTGTACAAATTGCGACCGAACTTCCTCGAAATTGGAAGTATTACCCTTCTCCCGGTATAATCTTGTCGCTCTGAGTTTTGTTTTACCATAGTTCCAAACTGCGAGGTCCCAAAATCAGCTTGAAATCTCCAAGTCACTACGCTTTCCTTACGCCTTAAGGTACTTGCCCCCCCCCCCCCCCACAATCGCCCATACCGCCACATAAAGCTGACCTTAACAGATGGCAAGAAGTCGAGATTCCTATAGCGATGAGAGTTCAAGCTCCGAATCATATCGCATGGTATCAGACGCAAGTGGCTCTAACGCGGAAACCGAATTTCCAGCCCTGAAAGCCATGTGTCACCATTCCGCAAAGGCGGTCCTCGTGCATTCCTTTTGGGCAAACGCGGACGCAGCCGAGCATCATCAGCAAATTTTAGCAGCGGATCTAATGATGACGGGGAAATCTTCACTCGTCAGCAAAGAAGAGCGAAGAAGGCAAGAGTAAGGAAACAGTCAACGCAGTTGAGCACACGCCAGCAACAGAACGCTCGACAGGGGAATAATTCCAGCTCTAGCTCTAGCGATACTGATGGGGACGATTCTACAACGGATCCAGATATCGAGTCAGATGATACATCATCAGATAGTGATGACGACGGCTATGCGGATGGGACCAGGGACATGATAGCACGGATGCGCGATCGTTGGGAAAGGTATGTCAGCCCAAAATTAGGGAAGTAAAATCGGAACTGATGACCACCCAACAAAAGATTTAGTCGAAAGCAGCATAAAAAGGACCAGCTATCTTCAAATTCAAAGTGGGCCGATCCGAATATTGCTCTTCGCGCTGTAGGAAAGAGGGAACTTACAGGTTTCCTTCGCTGGTGCCCCCAGCTACGGCGCGGCAAGAATGGACGACGAGTGAAACGAATCAAAAAGGCTAGTTCCTTGGACACGAACTGGAAGATGTTTCTCCGCCACTATGAACAAGTCAACGGAGATCCAATGGATGATAAGCTCGGCCGGCGAATGAGAAAGGTTGAAATGAATCCCCCTCCCGTCAATATATGGCTAACAAATGGGTTTGAGCAGAGTATACGACATATTGTGAAGCGAAAGAATTTGGACACCAAAGAAAAGGAGAAGACCCCGATGTATATTGAGGATTTGGTTCCTCTCCAGGAAACTGTGCTCCGCACAACGGAGAAGCGGTTCCATATCGGGCTTCAGAGAATGCAACAGTGTCTCTATAACCTGATGGCTTGCTTCACCGTCAATCGAATCAATACGATGAGAATGCTGCAATATAAACATCTACTGTGCTCAATACAACGCGACCCCAAAGGTGGACCACCCCAGATCTTGCTTGAGATTACTTACAAGTTCGCCAAGAAATACCTCGGTGTGACGCAAGGGTATGAAATCATCCATTTCTCCTTTCCATCTGACCTTTGTACAATTGCGTGGACATACGTTCTAAGTTTGATTAGGAACACTTTCATGATTCCAGAGATCATCTACGATCCATCACTCATGTTGAGCCCGCATTCGTTTTTATTGGGCATGCTGTTCCATGACGAAACCTTTCGTGCCCCGGGGATAAGATCCATGGAAGACCTTCGACGCCTTTTGCTGGGTGGAGGCCGGCAGCAGATGGAAGTCCCACTAAAGCTCGAGAAAGCTGAACATTTTGTGTTCTGCAAAGTCGAAGCAAATAAAGGCAATATCAAGTTCCATCGTTACCGGCCTAACTCAGTGGGCTCATTATCCGGTCAGCTTCAAACCTTCGGGGAAATCGCTGGCTTTAAATGGAGTTTGTTTACGCACCGCTTCCGATACGGCGGCGGAACAATTCTGAATAAAAGCGGTAAATTCTCCTTATCCGCGAGACCTAAAAGGGTGATGAAGAATCCAGCGACACTGACATTTGACCACTGAGGGCTGTAGGACTGGTTAGCGATGCAGAACAAAATTTGATTATGAAACACGCCGACATTAGGACATTTCTGAAACACTACCTCCCACGCCGCATTGGTACCGACATGCAAGCCTTAATGCGAGGGCTGGAACCTGACTCTGCAATGATGCGGGCGGTCACTCGAATGGGGAGATGGATCGACACTCGGCGGCCCCGTGAGCTTTCAGAAAAACAGAAGGCAAGTGTAGAAGGCCTCCCCGAGCTACAAGAAGCCATCCAGAAACGGGACAGCCTCGCCAAAAAGCTTGACCGTGGCAGCACAAAGAGCCACAGACGGCTGGACCGGCTCCATCAATCGAAGAAGAATGTCACAAACACGCGCAACCGGCTGCTTTATGATCTTCGGAAACGCGTGAGAGACGATTTTGACAGTCAGCAGGCTGTCGTAGACATCGAGCGGCAACTCGCCGGCAGTGCGATTCATGATGAAGAAACCAAAGAGATTTTTCGGATCTAAGAACATATGCTCCCCCAGCAGATATTCCTGCTAGGAAAATTGACTACTTGGCCGACAACATTATCTTTGGAGGCAGAGTGGACACGGCGAAATGAGGCTGTGGAGGCTGTCCGCATGTATTGCGACGTGCGCGAGGGTGGGCCTCGCCGCGGTCGACGGCGTGCTAGGCAACCGCCGTCTACTACAAACGATATGGCAGTGAAAGATATTTCAAATTCTGATCCCACATCCGACCAAACGCTATCTTTGCCATCAGAGGAAGATATGCGAGAGGCAGAGATACATATTCGAACGGCCATCAAACCATTGGGATGCTTCCAATGCCACGGAAATTCGGACGAACCGGATGAACGTCGAATGAAACATTATTCTCGCCACAACCACCTTTTGCGTCATTTTAGAGCCACGCATTTGGACGACCGTCACTGCAACTACTGCAATAATGCGATTGAGCATGAAATGGAGTTGAGACGGCACGCACATGACAAACATCGTCTTAAAACCTAAGAGAATGCTGCTGTTCTAACTAGAAGGTAGCGTCAATTATTCTTTTGCTGGAATCGCTCGTCTATTGATTTTTGAGATTCGTTCACTGGGCTGGATGCCCTATGGCATTTGCGATTGGCTTCTTCAGTATATTCAAGAGGTGTAATCCCGGTGAAATCACTTTCGTAATGGTTGAGATTCCTATTTTTTTGAAGAAAATCGTGTAAGGGGTTTGTTGAATGCACCATGAATACCCCATAATATTGAAGAAGCTATAAGGCGTCATATCGAATTTGCAAATGGGACGAACCCAAATAAGCTAAGAGCGGAATTCCCTTCTGTATCAAGTTTGTTTTTCTCGCATCTATATGGCAAAAGAACACTGATCATCTCGACGGAGCTCATCTCTGGTCCATGGTATTGTAACATAGTCTTTCCCAAATGAGACAGGTGTCAATGTGTGACCTAAATTGATGACGTCAAGCCGCGATACATACTCGAGTAGTGACAATCAAACCTGATAGCGTACAAAGTGATAAGGGAGATACGACGCCAAATGGACCTAACAGGAGTATCATATCTATACTCGTTTGGATGTGTTTGCAATATGGCGGTTGACTAAAGCTAGCTTCGCTCATTCATGTTTAAGCCATAAATGACAAATCCGATCTCACTTCGTGGAGGATGTTTATAATCTGATGCAAAGAGGTCGAGCACCGAATTGAACTCGATCGATACTGCTGCATATCGGTTTGAAGAGCCTGGACTATTGTCTGGGATTCCTGGAGCCTTAACTTGAGATTTCGAACTTCGACCTCCAACAAAATATTTTTCTCTTCCTCTTTTCGAGCTTCTCCACAAGCTTCCTCTAACCCATGTAAGGTTGGAATTGTTCCTGTACCAAAAGAGCGCCTATGAGTGATATCTCTAGTTTCCAAATTTGCGTTATCCGATACTATAAGAGGCTGTGATATAGTAACCCTTCCAGGTTCCTGATAATCAGTCGTTAGTATATCAATGTATATACCGCAACAAGGAGACCAAAAAATACCTTTTCCGTCTCGCCAACACCGACAGCACGAAATGATTTGCCGATTTCACTGTATAGTTTCATATACGCGCCGACTGAATGCTTACTTAAATGCTTGTCAAACAGCGGAATAAGATTCTCGTCGAGAATCCTCCAGGCATACTCCACGTTATCTCTAGTCGCTTTAAGCCGAACCTGAGATGGAAAAACGGTAATACCTAGTTGTTCGCCTTCGGTATCCGTTAGTAATGATCAATTTAAATTAAATTTACTCACGTATGTGTTGTGCTAAGCGCTTCCGACACTTTGACCGCCAAGACGCACGTCTTGAATTTCCTCTTGGGTCTCCAGCTGACATCTTTTTTATTGGAAAGGGACGGGGGCTATAGGCGCAGGCGGATTTGAGCCTTTGCATTCCACGTAGAGGCTTTGCGATTGACCTGAAAATCCCTATAATGGTCGCTAGAATCGGGTTATGCACCTAAAGTGGGGAGGCAGTGGAATCTTGAACAGGGCCGGTAAAGAAGCTACCAGTAGGATGACTGACAGAGTCCGGGAATAATTTCACCGCAAACCGAGTTACTTATAGCTTATAACCTCCACGAGGGCGATCATACACAGAAGGTGAGCCTGAAACTATACTATGGATCATTGGGTGAACCAAAATGGTGTCGCAGGCCTGTGCGGGGTGGGGATTGTTGCGAGCCAAAACAGTGTCGCGCAACAAAAATGCACCCTACCGGGCTTGTCCAAAGTTTGAGTGTCCCGAGAATTTGTGGGGACTTTGAGCCAGAAAGGGTTCTTAATCGGCTTTAGGGCGCGAATGTGGAAGTCTTCCATCATCAGCCAAAGCTGATTGGCTGGTTCCTCTCACCCTCAAAAGAGCAAGGCACGGCGGAGACCATTACGCACCATCCTCGTTTGCTCGCTCACCATATTCTCACGGTCACTCTTTTGCCGTGGTACTGGAAGGAGTTTAACCCGCTTTACTTTGTACCCGAAACACAAGGGCCACGGTTTCGAGAATCAAACATATAAATGCTAGCTTTTGTCACTTATCAACCATTCACTCTGTATAAATTTATAGTCTCGGCCCTTTTACCCGCCAACTCTCGTTCGAGCTGTGAATTTTATTATAATGGCCAAAACATCTCGCAGACGCTCTACAGTGCCCAGCTTAGAGAAGAAATCGGTTCGGCAGAAGAGAGATCGGCGCAAGACGAGTTTAGAAAAGAAGTCACATGAATATAGCAAGATGTGCGGAGCAGATGTTTGCTTGGGCATACGAATTCGAGAATCGGGACAGGTGTTCATCTTTTCTGCCGATGCATCGGGATTTTGGACGTTCTTGAGTTCTCAGCTAGTATGTGCTACGAGAAAAGTCTCTGTGGCTTCAATCATCCTAACTTTCCTAGGACTCCTATTACCCAACGCCAGTTCAGAGAACCGAAAAAAATCTCTGATTAGCGGAGCATCTTAGTGTTCAACAAGCCGGTCGAACAAGAAACGGGTCTAAAGAGGCATACGCATGAGAAACACCTAGAACACTATGCGGATGCAGCTTCACCTAGAGGATAAGAGATTTTTTTCAGGGATTCTTGTTGACTTCAGAGTGCTATAAAACCAAACGAAGGCAGATGGACGTGAATATTTGCGCAAGCATCCAAATTGAACAGCATTCAAGAAGTTTCTTCGTCTTGGACGACAGCGTAGAATCAAACTCTTGGCGCCTCTCAAGTTGGATCTTCCTTCACCAGTGACATAGGTATGATTCTTTGGTTGTTTCTGTACAGTACAGTACAGTAACGAATGTCCTAGGATAAAAACGAAACAAACAAGAAACATACAACAGCATGTGTATGACCGTGGCCACCTAGCGCCCACGGTTCGGGCATGGGCGGCTCGCCGCTCTATTCAGGGCACTCAGGGCAGATATTCACCCACATGAATATTCCTCACCCAAATATTCAGCCCGTACAGCAAAAGGTACATTTCCCATGATGACCAAAAAAGCTACAAGTATCCTTCTTTTCCCCTCCGTTTTCATCTCTCCGGCCTCTCTTTATCGCCCCGACCTCTCTTTGTCACAAGCAAGATGCGTACCAAGCATGACCCAACGTTGAAATATATGGCCAATATTGTGGATTTCGGGGAGCATAGTAACAATGAAATCCAGCGGGCAGTGCTGCCACGAACAGAATCTGGTTATAGTCACACGTTACTTATTTTTGACGAGTAAGTCTCAGCCATGGGAGCAGAGAAGCAAATCGCTTAATGGTGCCTCTATCCCTAGTTTTGTCAAATTACATCCACAGGCCGTCATTCCGCCGGACATCAGAACCTGCAGGGCTTTTCTCGAGTGGGTTGCAAGAGGAATGGACGGTCGGATCGAAGAAAGACCTACAGTCGAGACGATTCAGGGATTTTTTAGGAAATTCGCCACTGGTATGAAGAGACAAAGAGACATTGAATTCCCACTAGCCACTAGGACTACAATCAATGGGGTATGCACCAGCATCATTTCAAATCAATCAGGGCTAATACTAGACAGTATATCGTGGGAGAACTAAAGATCAAGATCCCTCTCTCAACTGAGCAGATGAATAAAGATGGCGGTGTATCCCCAAATGATTTGACAATCTTGATGACTCAATTATGGTGTCGAGACTACCATCAGTGTCGTGGATCCCCTGCCGATCGGGCGAGAGTTCAGCTGAGTGCCGCAATGCTCCTATATTGCTTTACCTCTGCACGCACGGGGGAAGTTCATGAATCAACCGCCCGGAGACACGGAGCCCGGGAGATCGAACAGGACGGCGAGGATATTGATTTAGAATCCCGCGTGATGGCTGCTTGTTATAAGGTGTGTTCAGACAAGGAAAGAGAAGCTAGCACTTAAAGCTGACTACATTAGCATTTCGAACTCACCATCGAGACTGTGGATGGTATGACAATGCTTGTACTCACTTACGAGCGCGAATTTGTTAAAGGATATTGGCGACAGACAAAATGGGAGATTCCCAAGCACGCATTCTACGAAGTGTACACCGAGGATGTGCCTATATTTCTAAACCTTTTGACATTCTTTTTACCAATGGCCACCGCAGATAAAGCTTTCAGAGATTATGGTTCAGTGAGCGAGATCCTAGATGCTGTCGACATACATGAGAAAGTCGGTCCTTCGGAGGATAAGATCCTTGAGGTGATTCATGTCCGGCAAGAAATGCGAGATTTGCCAGTTTTTCGCCAATATCTTGAGCATAATGTGGACAATTTCAAAGGCCATGCGAGGGGAGCGGATTCCTTCGGAAAGGCCTTGGTCGATCTAGGGAATCTCCACTTTGGAGCAGCTCAGGATGCTTCCGAAGCGCACGTGGACCGACCGCGCTGGATTTTCCGCCCCAAGTCGAACGAACGTCTCGCAGCAATACTCAGAGGAACACTCATTCCGACCCCGGCTTGCTCCCAAATGGCTTGTTGGGCAATTTGATGAAAAGTCATGGCTCTTCTCAGCCAGCGGTTACTCCCACCCCTGAAAGCTCGCCCGCCATTCAGACTCAAAAGGGACGAGAAATCGTGGGTTTAACCATCTCTGTCGACCATAAGAGCCCCAAGATCTCACACCTTGCTATTGACAACACGAACATCAGTAGTGAGCCGGGTGCTTCCACTGCAATAACTACAAAGTCTGAGAATTCAAACAGCAGAAACATTCCCAAGGAGAACTCCACTGCCGCATCTACCAACTCAGAACCCATAATAATGGAAAAATGGACTGTTGAATCATCACCCAATATATCAACTAGGGCTGCTTCGACTACTTCAACCACATCCTCTACCCACAACCTTCGTGATGACTTGGCCCCTGGGCTGGAAAGCCTCATTGATGGCTCAACTAGTAGCTCCACATCATGGACTGCCTCGACTGTGACCTCCGCTGCCGCACCGCCGACCAAGGCATCTACTTCGCGTGCTTCGACTAAGTCAACGAATCCATCCACAGATATTGTTGATAATTTACGATCGAGCCTGGACATCCTCCTTGGTAGCTCAACAAGCAGTTTTGTCACTGTGGCGTCCAATGTATCTGGATTCTCTAGTGCCGGAAGTGCCAACAGTGCCGGCTCCAGCAATACCAGCGGCTTGAATGCGACAAGCTTCACTGCGAACATTTCGGGATTGGACCACCCTGACCACTTGGGTCTAGGCGACAATTCCTCTACCGAGAACAATATCACTGCTACCGTCTTCAGTAGGACTGCCATTCAGTCTATTGTACTACTCAATGTGTCTGTCTCCACAACTAGCTCGCTCTCGATCACCTCTCCTCCCATGGGAACCTCAAGTTCTAGTAGTTTGCTCAATGAACTTATATCTGGCCTGGATTCGCAGTACGGCATCACTCCTTCTGGGACTGGCATTACTGTATTTTTCCCAAATGTGTCTGTGCCCAGTATAAGCCTTTCGCAGTCCAAGTCGACCAGCGTCGCTTCTTCCCTGGGGCTGGGGGAAAACACCATTGTACTGATCCCCACATCAACCAACCGTATTGAAACAGTCCACATCTCGTACTTACCCAGTTTGAATTTTATTTCTGCTTCCGGTATTGAATTTAGCACTGGCATGAAATCTAGTCTTGGCACAACAACCAGTATTGGCACGTCTAGCACTGGCATCGAAACCAGTACTCGCATATCTAGCCCTGGCACGGAAGCTAGTACTGGCATTGAAACTAGCACTGGCATGAAATCTAGTCTTGGCATCGAAACTAGCACTGGCATCGAAACTAGCACTGGCATCGAAACTAGCACTGGCATCGAAACTAGCACTGGCATTGAAACTAGCACTGGCATGAAATCTAGTCTTGGCACCACAACCAGTACTGGCATCGAAACTGGCACTGGCATGAAATCTGAGACTGGTACCGCAACCAGTACTGGCACATCTAGCACTGGCATGAAAATCCAGCGACAAATAGTTGAAGAGCAACCAGGTCAACGCCTGTGACTTCTTCAGTGATGGGATGCTCGACTTGTAATCTAGCGTTGACTGCAAGGAAATAGAAGTAACCGGTTTTGATATCGACGATAAACTCAACTGTGCCGGCATTCTCATATCCGATTACTTTGGCAATGCGGACTGCGGTGTCGCTCATTCTTCGTCACGTCTCATTCGTGAGACAAGAGCAGGGTGTTTCGTCTATGACCTTCTGGTGTCGTCGTTGGACGGAGCGGTCACGATCGAAAAATGAGATCACTTCGCCATGCGAGTCGCCCAAAATCTAAATCTCGACATGCTTGCTGCTTTCGATGTATTTTTCCATAATACAATCGCTTGAGCCGAATGATCACTGGGCCTCTGATTTTGCTTGTTCAAACTCTTGTTTCAACTCTCCGGCCTCTTGAACGATCCGCATTCTCTTTCCTCCACCTCCTGCAGATGCCTTTAGAATCACGGGTCACCAATCTCATGTGCAGCCTTTCTCAAAGAGGTTTTCCTACTGAGCCATTCTACAAGTACTATCCACCTCTCAATTAACGTGTCGACCCTCATATTCCTCGGGCCGAGCGGACCGGATTGCGGAGATAAAGTTAGGTGGATCCTCGCCCCACGGCGCAACTCGGTCCGGCCGGGCGCGACCAGGGTGTATCCATACCTACGGTAAGCTCATATCAGCCGAGGTCTAACTCTCATGAGTCTCTGATTAAAACCAAATTTGTCGGAAACTATCACTTTAGAGACACGCATGCATACTATTATCATAGTGGCGCCATCAACATGCAAAAACCTCAATCTGTTCGAAGTAGGACCCCGAGATGGGTTACAGAATATTCGAGGTCGGATTCCGACGGCGACGAAATTGGAATTAATACGTAGGCTGGAAGCGACAGGGTTGAGTACTATTGAGTTGACTTCTGTTGTTTTGCCAAGGGTTATTCCACAGTTGACGGATTGTCAGGATGTGCTTTCGGATGAGGGCGTCAGGCGAATGAGTCGGAAGGAGTTGAGACTTGCTAATCTGATTCCGAATGTGAAGGGTATGGATATTGCGGCGAAACATGATGTTAAGGAGGTTGCTGTTTTTATCAGTGCTACTGAGGGGTTCAGCAAGACCAATATCAGCTGCTCTATTCAGCAGGGTCTAAAGAGGGCAAAGAAAGCTGCTTCTTTGGCTTTGAAATCCAATATTACTGTTCAAGGGTGACTGTACGCTTACGAATTTGACATGTTACCTTGTGCTGACTATCGCAGTTATGTCTCTTGCATATTCGCAGACACCTACGATGGACCCGCACAGCCATCATTAGTTCTCCCTTGTGTGAAAGAACCCCCCGATGCGGGCTGCTATAAAGTCAGCCTAGGTGACACACTAGGTGTCGGCTCTCAATCAAATGTCCGCAGCCTGATAAAATTCCTTCTGTTCAACGGCATTCCCCGCGAGAAACTTGCAGGTTACTTCCACGACACATACGACCAGGCGGTAGCTAAAGTCTGGGAAATCATACGACTGCGGGCTACAAGTCTTTGACTCAAGTATAATGGGACTTGGTGGCTGCCCTTTCGCACCTGGAGTCAAAGGAAATGTAGCCTCCGAAAATCTGGTGTATATGTTCCACAACGCGGGCATTCACACTGGCGTTGATCTACTGAAATTGATTCAAACGGGAGTTTGGATCTCAGAGCAGCTTTCAAAGACGAATGGCAGTCGAGCCGGGACATCACTTGCACTTAAGAGCAAAAACTTATCGAAAGTGAAGATCAAGCCTTCAAAAGATCCTTCATCGGAATGGGATTTCGCGAAGGAAATAGAACGGCTTCAGCTTCACCGATTGGGTATAAATTTGAAGATCACTTTGAATCGACCCAAAAGTGGCAACGCCTTGACAGCATCCATGATTTCAGATCTCACTTCAGTAGTGAAAGCCGTCGGCGAAGATCCACAGACATCTCGCATCATCATCACCGAGAACGGTAAATGTTTCTGCACGGGTATGGACCTTGAAAAAGGGAGTACACCAGTCGCGCAGGGCGGGTCGATCACCGAAGCTCAGTTTCAGCGCTTGACTGGTTTATTTGAGGCCATTGATCAATCTCCTAAAGTGACCATCGCCTGTCTGAATGGGCCTGCCTTTGGGGGCGGAGTCGGACTAGCCGTTTCCTGCGACTTGAGACTCGGTTCACGAGTACCCCTCCTTCTATCGGCCAGAACTGGGTTACAAAATTTGTTAAAAGACATCCTCATCTTTGCTCCCGTTTTCGGAGACATTACGATTACTAGCAAGCTAAATACAAATATCCTAAAATTCTTTCTGAATGATTTTCTCTTGTTCAAAAAATAGTTTTCACTTACGGCATCGATCCCGACGATATCTATAAATTTGATGGGACTAGTTTTGCAATAGGCTTCACCGATCTTCCGCAGAAACCAATTTTGGTCGTAGGTCTCGACCCAAAACCCAACCCGGGCCCAACACTGGGGACCAATGAACCCCAACTTAGACCTAACTCGACCCAAATTTTGCATAGCTTCAATCATAAAGCTGCTCTGTTACCAAAATAAGAAATAAGTCTGCAATTCAAAATATTCGATCTTTCTTATTATAAATCACCTTTTAAATGGCAACTTTGGGGTGATAAAGTACAACTTTGTTGAGATTCATGGCGCATCCAGGCTAGATGCCTGACATATAAGGCATGAATCTGGTGATCAGCATTAGACTTACCAAGTAGAGTATGGATCAGGAGAAGAGTTCTCATTTATATAGGATCTTTCTCTCCATGAGAGAAAGATCAGACTTAAACAATCTCGTTGGCCTTGATATTGATGCGTCCCAATTCAGTAGACATCCAATTTTAACAAACTTTTTCACTTATTAAAGTTCGCGTGACCAAGGCGTAGATACATATATTTGTCCTTCACAACATTCAGATACCTTTGGAGATTAGATAATCAAAATAGAATCCTGTTATTCCTGCTTTAGTTTGTTGATACTATATTTGAAAATTAGTTATGTATCAATTGACTAAAATATTCTAGTATATAGTAAAAATTTATTAATCAAAACCTGATCAAAGACCCATTCTGAATGCGTTGGTGAAATCGGAAACATATATTCTAAAGTCAAATACATTGTTGCTTAAGTCAAGCTTTCCAGAAATTTGTAAACTTCCTTTCTGGTGCGAATGGCTTCGGGCATTTCAGGCTCCCAATGATATGCATGCCACATGCCATCAGCGACAAGTAGCTCGACCCTATTCGAGACATCCCTTAGTTTCCAACTCAACCTAAGGCTACCACTCAATAAAACATCTCGGGTCCCTGTTGTAATCACGGTTGGAGGGAAGCCAGCTTCGAAGTCGGCAAAGAGTGGCGACACTAGGGGGTTCTTCGTATCGTGTTTGCGGATATAATTCTTCTCCGCTATGGCAGCTACAATAGCAGGATGCATGACATCCCTTCCCGCATTCGTAATTGGAGAATCTCCGCTCGCACTCAAATCCGTAGCTGGCGTATATAAGACGAGTCCAGCCATCATTGGCAATTTTTGGCGCTGAGCCAAGGCCAAAAGCGAGAGCATAATCTGTCCACCGGCTGAGGTGCACATGCCAAGAATATTCATAGCGCCGAAGCTTGCTGTGAGTTCTTTATAGACGGCAAGACATTGGTCCCTCGCCACAGGGTAGTGCGCCTCGGGTGACAACGTATATTCCACGGAATAGACTTTGATTCCAAACTCACCAGCCATCAGAAGAGCGCTCCTGTCTCTAGCTGTGGCTGCGATAAAACCCCCTCCATGGATATTCAACATAATTTTCGATTGCATCTCCAGCTTGATGATAGGAGGTTTGATTATCAAAATGTGCACACCAGCGATCACGGTGTTTTCAAATTCAAGCTGTTGTGCAGCGATCACGGATTCCTCGATCGGGTCTTCCATCTTCGCCCACCTGGAGCGAATCTTTAAAGCAGTTCTTGGCCCAGTCAGAAAGCGGGCGAGAAGAGTTGGGCATGGAATTCGCGGAATCTTATCGAGAAACACTTGCGCCTCGCGGCTGAGAGCCTCAGACTGCGCTTTCGTACGTGAGGGCATTGAGATGAAAAATCTTTGGTAAAGTGCGAGGAAAGTAGCTCAACGGTTTTCAACATATATGCTTGCTGTGACATCCCGCTTTGGTCGCAATGTACTTAGTGTCTCACTTTAGTCCGGTAATAATTTCACCGTACAGATGAAAAAAAGGCCCCACTCTTGTATTGTAGAAAACGCTGATGTCAGATTTGCCTCGCCGGCTCCAGCACGGAGTCGGGAGCGGGTAAGGCTTTCAGCCGAACGACAACGGAATTCCGTGTCCTTTCAAATCCCCCCGAAATGTCAGCGAACGAAAAAAGAACTACTCAACCTCACTAGGCTAACGTAGATGCCCCCTGGTTCTGTTTTAGACGGTGGCGGTGGCAGACTACTTGTCCCCGCCCCACTGCCCAAAGAGCCCTTTCAAGGATCCATTGATCTAGGTACTATCGAAACTCGCCTCCCTTGTTCTAGAAGTACCACCACCACCAGTTTCCTCGTATTGCACATGTTTCATATGATCTCTTTTGATCGGCATAATCAATAATCAAAAATAAACTGTACAGTAGTTATGGTATTGAAAAGATAATCTTCAAAGTAAAATCCAGTTTAATATGCTAACATTTCACAAGCACGATCTAAGAAAGCTGATCTCGCATATTACCGAACAAAGAGATATTTGAACAGAGCTGGGAAACTGAAAATCGCAGTGATTGTTTGCCAAACGGACACGAACACGCAGCGAGCGGCATAGATCCACGCGACGAAAAGCCTTGACCGGCGACAGCACCCCAGCCCAGAAGACGTGCTAAGAAGACCACCAGACCTACACGAACTCATACATCGTGGAGAAGCCCCAATTTCTGATTCAATAATGGATGAGCAAGTAACATTGAAAGAGATCCGACGAATCATCTGCTACCTGCAAGCAACCTCGCTGATCCAAGCTACCACGACCGAAGCCGACAGGAGATTAACATTGGCAGGGCCCGGAATGAGAAGCCCAAGCAGGAAGCTCAGCGGATATGGACACAGATCGATAGGCTGGATGCACCGTCACTAATAGACGATGCCCATGTTCGCAATTAAATTCTGCCTTTGCAACGTATACTTCATACCGTTTGCATATCGCTTCAGTGGCTTTTGCTACAACCGAATTGGCAGACTGAGCGTCCTTGGTGACCACCTGAAGTTTGGTGGCTAGGACCTGGCGTGCTGAGCTTAAAAGTCGTCTTAGTATCTCTGCTTAATTCATATACAAAATTGGAAATAGCAAAGTCCATCACACGTTGGCGAAACATTCGATGCCTTGTCAAGCGCTGCTCTCCAGCCTAAGCTGCAGTTTCCCTTGGCTTGGCTGTTGAATTGGTTAATTACTTTGTTGATAAAGTATGTTCCGATACCATCGAATCTTTGAGGTTGTATGAGTGAGTGGTACGTCACGCATACGGAGACGCCGTTGTTTCTCACGAAGGGCATCGGGCGGATTGAGCCGCAACATAGGTCAGCCACTAAGCCGTTTATGCTGATTATTGCAATGTTCATTTCTCAGAATTGGAAATTTGTATCGACATTCAATACCCTCCAATAAGTGGAAATCCTCACTGGTTGAGAAAAAGAAATTGACGGCTTGAAAGTATGCATTTAATAAGGCGGGGGAGGGGGTTCATATGAATAGAAAATTTGAAAATGTTCAATAGAACAAGCACGACAGACTAATCACCCATGACACTGCACAGTGAGACAAGCATTCCCAGTTCGTCCATTTTCTTATACCATGTTTGAACTTTAGACTCGAGACCTGAATCACATTTCATGGTAGCGCGGCATTCGGGGCCACCATGGAGCTTGTTCAGCTCTACTAAATTAGTATAATTTAGCCTTGTTTCGCTGCTCTCGACCGGGTGGGCGCGACCTTGCGCAGGGATAGCAAGGTCACGTACTTTGTTCCATGAAACCTCATCGGTTGCTTCCCAAAGAGATTTCGTTGCTGGAAGCTCAATCTCGCCAAACTTATGATCAATGTCACGGTCACATGGAAGACCATAGTCGACATCATAACAAGATGCGAGAATGAAATAAACAGTCGCTGTTCGTAGCTTAGACTCAGCAAAGACCCAGTCCTCCCAAGTTTGTCGACATCGAGGTTGTTTGGTTGGTGCCGTATAACCAGACAGCATTCGATGTAGATGTTCAAAGTTGGTTCTTAACGTGAAAAGCAGGGTAATTGGTAAATTCGGATGATGTTGTAACACATTATCGCGATTCGAGGTCAGGAGAAGAAGATAAATTGTTATAGCTTGCGCTGACGCAAGGTGTACCCATTTACTGGGCAAACATCGCAGATCATAGATTCTTTCTTGTTCCTGAGCAACAGTGTCCCAGAAAGACATGTCGTTTGCTTTGTGGCTGGAAGGAAATCTGCGGCATATATCTCGGCAGACGACAATTGGATTTACTGCATATGGAGTAATGTTTGACGTAGTAAGTATCGAGGGGTGAATAAATGGCGGGTAGGTGTGCTTATCCATCATTCTTTCGGAAAATGAGCACAATACTTGAGAAACCATATTTTTGAGGGGAGAAAGTACAGATCCGCCAGGTATCTTCCGCTGCAAAATACTGGTGGGAACTGGGGAGGGCATTTGAGACAGCTTCTTCGTGGTAGCCACATGAGACTTGCCAGAGCTTGTCCCAATTGGTACACGTTCTCTAAGTGTAGAATCACTCGACGGTTGATGCAGGCATAGCTCCGGTGGTACAATTGATGTTAAGGAGTGGTCTGACACACGACTCGGAGTATTTTGCAAGATCGCAAAATTTGAAAGTTCCGGAGTATGTTGCGAATACTCAGGGGGAATTCGTGTAAGATTGTGACGACGTTCTCGGGTAGCGGGAGGGTCATTCGTGTATAGACATTGTCTTTCTTTTTGATGGCATGTCTCACAAACCGGTTTGCGCGAATCGCAACGTGTTTTCGCCCGTATGCAAGGGAGACAAGATTTTCGACGTGGAGGCTGAGGATTCCTTTTTCGATTAAGGCAATAGCGCTCGTGCCTTCTCACCAATGAATCTGCCCTTTTGATCAGTACAACCTAAGCCACTGGCCACTTCAACAGCCACTCCATTTACAGACATGGCTTCGGGTGCAATAGGGCCTTACCTCTCCGGAGTTCTTTCCCACATACTCCGCAAAAATATTTCGGTGCAGAGTTAAGATTTCGGCCATTGTGTGTCGATGACATGTCTGCGTGCAAGGTGAAGGAGGCTTGATGAAAATGTGACAAACAAGGAAGTTGACTCGCCGGTGCGTCCGCCGTCCCATCACGTGATAACCCCATAAGTGGATCCAGCCTTGTGGCTAAAAATGCAACAACGTCAGTAGGCGGGGCATACCTGAAAGTATAGGAAGAATGTAGTGGAATAATGGTATTTGAATTCTATCGCACGCTGTGCAGCACGAGCAGATTGTCGCTTCTTCCCTTTTACTGTGATGTTAGACTCATGTCTTTGCTCGGCGGGCGTATACCTCCGAGGCCGCCCTCGTTTGCGCGCAGGGGCTTGAGGGCAGTCAAGCGCCATAATACTAAAGAAGAACTTCCGTAATAGCAAGGAACCGGAGTAAGAGGGATGGTATTCAGATTTCGAGCTTGCCAAAGTCGAGCCCCAAATAGGGGTCGATGGCATGGCCTAGAGGTAGGTTATTTGATCTATCATATAATCTTGGCAACGGTCTCTCAATGGAGCTTATTTTCGAGGACATCATGTAATATGGGTTCGGGTTCCAGTTCAACGGGACCCAGAAAATATGGGTTTAGGCCTGGCAAAGATATGATCGAAGATTCTGTAACCATTCTCCCTTCGTGACTTCTAAAAATGACCAATTTCAATAGGTTATAGCTCCCTAGACGCATCAATCAAAAGAAGTCTAAGTCAAGACGCATAAAGACAACAGCAACCTGGAGCGCCATTGCAATGTACAATTAAGGAATGTTGGAGGAATGTAGGAATTCAGTGATTGCTAGGAAGGATGCACACAACACTGTACATAGCTGCATCTCGTTCAGGAATAGACAGAGATCAGTCATGCTCTTCTAATGTCCTTTGCTTTTTATCTCTTTTTACCGGATAGAAACATAGTCTGTATCCAATACTTGAACTGAAAAAGGGAGAAGACTGATAAGAATTTCGTACAATACAAAACAACATGACAAGAGCGACATGACAAAAGTTTGTCAGCTAGGATAAGTAGGAGGCATGATGTTGGGAGACCGGATTTGTTTGCAAGAGGTAAATTCATAACAGAGGCACACGAGGGTCCACCTTTCTGCATTCCTCCATTAGTTCTGCGAACATTTTGCATTGCAAAGCCATTCCTTCTGCTGAGTCGGTAATTGGAGCTCTTCTATTGGACTTAATCAGTTTGGTTGTTTTATCTGCCGTTTCACAAATCCAGCCAACGTACTGTGCTAGATTGTAATCACTAATGTATGAACCATGCGATTCTTTTCCGACCAGCAGAATAGCGTGCAAATACCTGCTGGTACCTTCTGATATTGAATTTGGTTTAGATGCGAGAAGACCCTTGATCACAAAAAAAAGGGTAAACCGCGCCAAAATTTGTCCACACCGGGCCCGGTGAAACCTCGTTGAGTATGACACAATTTTTGTCGATTCGTCGTGCCATTTCCTTGATGACCATACTTCCTATGAGCTTGGAGTCTTGATAGCGACTCCTACCGTCGAAAAAGAGTTTGTCATCAAAATATTCCATCACTGGTCGGTCACCGGGAACAGGCTGCTTTACTAGGGAATGGTTCATCTGAACGAAACTTCCAACCCAAGTCAAGCGCGAAGGTCTAGATTTGAGAGTTGCTGTTTGCTCTAGCAATGGAAGTAACTTTAGGACCAAGAGCGCGTTTGAGTAGACGTTGACTTGCACGATCCTTTCGTGGCCGCTTTGTGTGATCTGAAAATCGAGACCACCCACACCGGCATTGAGAAGCACAATATCGATTGTATGCGTGAGCGCTTTTACGAGGTCGGCAAAAGCTTTCACGCTCTCAAAGTCGCCCATCTCAAGCTCTACCACGTGGATCACAACATTGGAACTCCCCGCAATCAATTTTGATTTTGCCAGGAGCTTTGCCTTGATTTCCTCACCTCTTTGAACATTTCGTACGCCCATAATGAGGGTGCCAATGTGCCGATGCACGAGCTCGCCGCAAAAAGCCATCCCTAGTCCATGTGTCGTCCCAGTCACGACAGCTGTTTCACCATGGAAGCTGAGAGAAGCGAAATGTTCAGACATGGTCGTCTTAAGATTGAGTGGCTCTGCAATCGATTGAAAAACTTTCGACGATTTGAAGTGGCTCACAAACCTTATATGGTTGCTCCGCCTGTCAAAGCTTCTGCCGATCGGTCTTGAGCTGGGCGGATTTAAGACGGCCGGAGTTAGTGTATACCGGACTTAGTGTTGATGTGGTTCAAATATTACTCACCTTACGCAAGGAAGAGAAAGTTGGCTGGAGAATGTAGGAAGTCCAGCATGCAATGTTTTGCCGGATCAAGTTAGATCTAAGTCAGCAAACCAGTTTTACTCCAACAACTAAGATGCACTTTTCATTAGCTGTTACATCTAGGGCTTCGATGGAGCCCAGCAGTAGCGCTGTAAGCCAGCTCATTCCTACGCATCAGGACCCGTTGACGTAAGAACTCCTACGTATTCAGTGAGTAACAACTTATATATAAAGCAAATAGTATAAGCTACTACAAGTGTCTGATAATTTTTAAGATATGTTTGACTTGATGATTTACAACGACCTGCTTGTAAGTTAGATTGAGTTCGTGAGTTTGGGTTTCGGTCTAATGCATAGACTAGGCAGGCAGCAAGGTCTAGTCTGCCACTGATGACCCACATGCAACTTATGCATCCAGTCAAATGTATGATAACGGCAACAATCGGACCAACGTTCATTCTTATTCATGGAGTATCCCCCTTTGTTGGGAGTGCGCCCTTGCCAGGACTGGCATGATGTATCTTGTCACGGAGCTCCGTGTCACGGAACTCCGTGTCACGCCGGATATGCGGGTAGACGGACAATAACTGCTAAACCTTATTCGCAGACTACTTGAATATAAAGACAAACCACCTCCTTTCGTTCCGCTGTTCACCCAAATGCCCCTTGACTTTCACAACCATCAAATCAGACAGCTACACCCTCCAATTCAACGCGATGGGTCGCACTGTTCTTATCACCGGCTGCTCTGAGGGCGGCATGGGTGCAGCACTAGCCAAGGAATTCCAACAACAAGGCGACCGTGTGTTCGCAACCGCACGAAATGTCTCTAAGATGGCCTCCCTCAAAGCCATGGGAATTGAGACCCTCATCCTCGATGTTACATCCGAGGATTCAATTCAGGCCTGCATAAGCCAGGTCTCTTCCGTCACGGGTGGCTCGCTTGACATTCTCGTGAACAACGCCGGGAAGGGCTTATGTATGCCAGCGATAGACCTGTCCATCCAGGAGGCCAAGGAGATATTTGACCTAAACTTCTGGGCAATCCTCCGCATGTCGCAAGTGTGTCTACCTCTTCTGCAACAGGCTGCGCGGGCGCATGGCCATGCTCTACTTGTGAACCAGACCTCCGTCAGCAGCGTGTTGGGTGCCCCGTTTTGGAGTGCATACAACACTTCAAAGGCAGCTGCCGCCATGCTCATTCAAAACATGAGACTAGAGCTAGCGCCTTTCGGCATCAAGGTAATCGATCTGAAGACTGGGGGGTGAATACCAATATTCACGATAACGACCCCGTCTGTCACCTTCCATCAAGCTCTCCCTACACTGTTCTGCAAAGAGAGATCGAGAAGTTTTCGACAGGTGATATGAACTCGGCTGGCCAGGAGCCAGGAGTGTGGGCAAAGAACGTTGTCAGCGACTTGAAGAAGCATAATCCGTCTAATATCATCTGGCGCGGCAAGTCATCAACTCAAATCTGGCTCGCTTCACACCTCCCTACTACAACTTTGGATTCGACGATGAAGAAGGTTGCGAGTCTCGACGTCTTGGAAAAAAGGATTCATGGAAAGACGTTGCAATGAGGTACTTGGCGGCAAGCAGGAAGGGGGAGCTACCATGTTGCCCTGACATGTAAAACTAGCATTTGCAATCTTGAATCTCCATGTCCTCCATAGTAAACTGTTTCGTCTCCTTCTACCGACCCTCAAGCGAGTATGCTCTTGCTAAAATTGCTGTACTCGCGATGGTTTCGGCGTCCTCCACACCCAGCAATTTTAGTCTCTGCTCTCTCGATTTCAAAGCCATGTCCCTTCTATTCGTGATATTTCCGCTTTCCGGTGTATACCGTGCACCCTTGTGCAGAAGTGTAGCCTATTTCAATAGAGCTTCTCGTTATTTTGGTCGTTGAAACATCACTGACCGAACGTGAGGAAAGATTCACTGGCATTTTCACTAACTTCTATATCGACCGGTGGGAAACTCTTGACTTAAATTCCTGGTGAACATCTCTTTCTATTGGTATATCTGTCTATAATCTTTTGACCACGCGCGCGTAAGTAGTTTCAATAGCTGATGTTTCGCGAAGAAAAGGCCGTTCTCACTAATAGAGACGGAATAATAATCCTTTAGTGTTATAATATTATCCTCAAAATCGTTGATTTATCTATTTCTGTCACTTGTCAGATTTATCTATTTCTGTCACTTGGATACATTTTAGAGTCTGGGAATGTGATGTATAGTTTGTTGTAATTAGATGTCTACTGATTTGGGATGCATCAATCTCAAGGCCGACGAGGTTGATCAAATCTGGTATTTCATCTGCACTATACTATACTTGGTAGGTCTAATGCTGATCACTAGATGTCAGTGCTAAATGCATGAATACGGCTTGAGAAGCGGAATCGGGTTCCAGCTCAGCGGGACCCGTGAAAAGTTCAACGGGACCTGTGAAAATGATGACTAATGACGGGTCCCGTTCAGCTCTGCCACCTCATCGGGTCCTGGCTTTGTGCCGGTCCTGCTCAGCTTTTATGCCTCAATTTTATCTATTTATGTTGATTTTTATACAACATTACTAAAGGTTTCGCCCCACTTAAATCTATACCCTACTAAAGCGCACTATATCCTAATACATCACTATACATATGTTGTATATTATTGCTTTTATGTCTAATTTCTAAGAGGGTGTAAAAGGATTCGATCAAAGTAGCCTTCTTTATTATAAATTGTAAACAAACAAAGCAATATTAAGTGATTCGAAGGGTTATGCGGAAAATCAACAAAGAAAGTGAGAGATATATAATTTGTCAACACCAACACACTACCACTTCTCTCCTTCTTCACCACCCACATTTTCTTTTCCTAGGTATGAACATCTGTTTACAATCCTCTCTGACACGTCTTTACATACGTGAGGCATATGTTAACTGTCTGTAGGAAACCAACATGGCAAACCTGGCACTGCACCCCGGTCTGGGTCCAACCTAGGCCGATTTTGACAATATCACGGTTTTGACCGCTGTAAACCCCGATGTATTCGCGGGTTACGCTCATGGTATGCGGACATAGGCCGTGTTGTTTACATATACTAAACATATGCAGGCCCAATCCCAGACAATAACCTAGGGTGGAAACCTATTGCATTCACCACAGCGATTGCAGGTAGTACACGCAAGTACGATATCAAGGCGGCTAATATCGTGGCTAACCCTCCCCCAAACCAGGCCCTTGTCCTTAACAAGGAGAATATTGGCGTGTACGTTGTGGTTCGATGTGTTTAACATATGTGTGGCGGATGCTGATATGATATGAAATAGCTACGACATCCTGGTCAACCCTCCACGCCAGATGTGCGGTATGGTCCTGCTAGATAGGCCTTCAATGCGTCGTCACATACGTCACGAACATTCTGGAGCTCGTGAGTGCTTGTGTATTAGATATGCTTGACATATGCTAACCGTATGCCAACCACATAGTTGTTATGCCTGATTGTCGTGCCAAGCGTAGGGAAGACATTATTTCTGCCCACAACGCTATCAAGCGCTGGATCCTTCAGCTTGGCTGGCAGAATGCGAGCTACGTGCATGGACCTAGTCGTGGCCCTGATAATAGCCTTGTTGGATTTTGGTGCGATACTCTGGAGCGGATTGCGTAAGTGCAAAGTTCTCTCAGTGAAACGATACACTAAGCATATGTTAATCATATATACAGGGCCACAAAAACATAGTTCAGAGACACTTATAGCTCCCGTTTTTATCGATTCCAAATCCCCTCAACCCCAACCTCTGGCTATCGTAGCCGTCGTGTGAGTTGATAATTTACATATGTTTGACTTATGCTAATATTATATAGCGTGGACCTAATGTCCCTGCTAATCCTATTCCTTTCCCTGGCTTTGGACCTACTGCGGGTGCTTCTAACGGAGGTAATAATGATGAGGATAAAGACGTCGAGGATAGTAACAATAAGGGCGATAGAGACAACGTAGCCGGTGGTACTGGAGAAGCTAGCAGCCCCCCTACCTTTGAGACTATGGCCGCCTAGATCGCTGTAGTACTTTTCTTACAGATTTTTGTTTCTATATGACAATACATTGACCATATACAGAGTGTACACTTAGACTCAAGTCAACATATGTTAAATGTATGAAAACAAATAAAATTGACTCTATTTAAGTCTGCAAATTGCGTAGTAATTCTTCCTTTCTCTTTTGAAGAGCCTGAATCCTTTGTCTTCGCTCAAGTTCTACAATTTCCTGCTGCAAAATTGCCTCTTCATCAAGTAGACCCTGATTCCTAGAAAGCTGCTAGGATATACTGTCCTGTGGCGCCAATCTAGGTGATTTAGTTAGAACTGAATTACCTCTATATTGGGAGATAATCGATTGCGCTGTAGGTGTACTTTGACCATATGCCAAGCTTATGTCGGTGGTATCTGAAGTAGCGACTGAAACAGAATCAGAGATACCTATAGGCTCAGGTGGCTGTATTGCTGGGTCAAATGTATCATAGGGATTGGCTGGATTCCAAGGAAGATATGGCCTCCAAGTTCGGCGATTTGCAGAGCGACGGTTTCGTTTGTCTAGAATAAAATAAGCATATGTTAAATATATGTAACAAAGAATTACTAACCCTTTTTTCGATATTGCTTTGCAATTCGATGAATAGGATTCAAAGAACGCCAAGTAGGGTAGATACCCTCCTCAATTGCAAGTTTGTTTTTCTTCTCCATCTCTAGACCTCGGCAAGGACCGCAAGGGACCGGACCAGACCGCGGTCCGGTCCGGTCTTGCGGTCCTACAAACGGGACAAACATGTAGAACCCCGTGATTTACATAATTTATGAAGAATCTATTGGTATTTTTTAGTATTTTACTGTCATACTTTGTTATATGTAGCCTAAACGTATTCTTTCCAAAAATTTTGAGTACTTTTCTAGAAATTACTTATGTGCATGATTTATGTTGAAAGGATCAACTGTCCTTTATATCTATTAATTATATACAAAATCCGTATTATGTCTTAGTCTCTTTGGAATACGCCCTGACAAACGCCTCTGAATATCAAAATCAGGTAGAGGGATCTCATCATTATCAATAGCCCTTCTCTTCCCTAGCGCTCGTAGGCTAGGCTGCTCAATAGATACTTCTGCAGAAGTTTCTATTGTAAGATCTTCCTCGTTATCGCTAATAGGATCAAACTCTTTATCCTCTTGCTTAGCATTATCCTGCTCCTTCTTCGAATGCTTCTCTTGGGTAGAGAGGAACTTATCCACTAGCGCAAGCTGCTTAGACTATATATCAAATCTAGTTGTATATATGAATATTATTAGATCCTGAATAGTCTATGGTCTTAATAAGCCCCGGCGATAGTGGTATATATCCCGAGCAGACTTAAAAAGTCTCTCTACCCTAGAGCCGCTAGCTAGAGTTGTAAGGATATCTCGGGCAAGGCTTGCTAAGATAGGATACTCTGCCTTACAAGCCTTCTAGAAGACTAGGGGTGTTGATTAGACAGTACTTAGAGAGATAGAAAGTTAGCAAAAACAAAGATTTGATATACAATAGGAGGGAGGGATATTAAACTTACTACTTCCAAGATACCTTGTGAGTTTATCTAGAGTAGTCGGTCTTAACTAGATAGAGGTAGTAGGTCTTAGAAGTATATCAATATCAGATATATCGTTACTTATTGACTAGGAACTTGATATTGTCTGTGCCTCTGTATAGCGTTTCTAGTAAGGCTAGACATAAGTCTCGAGGGACTCCTTATACCGCGGTGCCTATTGTTTCTCCTATTCTAGTGTCAAGAAGAACTTAAGCTTATTTCGTGGGCCTAAGATAGTCCCAATTGCATAGAGATTATTCGGAATATTATTAGTCTTGCTATAATACTCCGCAAGCTTATCGCGCCTATGCTCGAGCGCTAGTTTTATTACCTTCTTCTACCCGACTTTCTTTCGTGCTAGCTACGCCTTTGCCTTATTAATATAGGTAAATAAGGTATTGTAGATTCTAAACACATTATAGATAGTCATATTAGTTGTAGCTAATAAAGATGAAGTGAACTTAAAGAAAGGATAGGTGATTAACAGTAGATAATTAACCTATCGCTAGTTATCCTTATTTATCTTTATATTATTTAGATTAAATTGTGCACAAAATCCATCAAATATAGTCTGCAGCCGACGTACGCGCCGAAGCATAAGAAACGTGGAATTCCAGCGTGTTCGGATATCTTGTATTGGCATAAGTTTCGGTTCTTTTGTCTAAAGTCCAATAAAGCTGTCGCGGTGCTAGGGGCTTTTATTGATATAGACTGCAATTTTACATCTTCCATCGTATTGAATTTGGGGTTTGGGCGTGTGCGATATCACATAACTTTGTCCAATTAAATTCTGCGTGGTTGTCTCCGGGTGGGCTGAGTAGCGATAGGCGGCGATTCAAATCTCAACAGCAATGGAGCTAAAATGGCGGTCAAAGGCGCAGGATAGCCTACTGCCAGTAAGCGAAAACTCGAGGGCTTCTATTGTACGATGTTATTCTCTGGACTGTTACACCAAGCATACAATGAGGTATAGCGAATGTGCCTATGCATCACCGGAGCTGTCTGTTGATACATCACCTCGTTTACCTGCTTGCATAAGCACGGAGGCATCCCCTAGAAAAGGAGGGGCTGGATCCTCTTAGGAGGACCGGTGATTAGTCCGAATATCATCATACCCATATCAGGCACCTCTCACATTCTTCACTCGTATCCATATCGTACTAGGAAACCCCTCAGGGGACTGTCCTAGCATGGACCGCACTAGTCCGTAGTGAATTATCGTACCACCAGCCTTACATCTGTCCATGTACTTTCGAAGAGTCCAAGAAATCCTAATAGCAAGTCCAATCTACTTCCTATTGCTCGCTTTTAATGGTATGACGAAAATGTGGTTCCTTTTTCCAGCGAGTCACACCGCCTTTTACATTGCAGTGCTATGCTTTGTTATCATTCTTCACCTCCTGGCAAATCATTTTCCTCTTATTGGTTTCGTGTGCCCAGGTTGTGCACGACTGGCATGATGTCGAGCTCAAGATACATTCATATCCGTCATCCTCGTTATCATCCATGTCGATATGAGTATCTAGGTAAATATCTGGCTGATTTAGAACTGGAAACTGTGAAATCAAAATTAATGAGTGGGAATCTCCTGAGATATGGGTCCCATATTCAGACGGCCCATGCGACTGGCGCCTAAAAACAACAGCCAGCACATCATCACATTCCATGTCACATGTGTGGGGCGCATTACGTCCAATTGGTCAATGAGATTTGTCCAACGGCATGCATGAGTGTGCTACCTGTGGTGCCAGCACCCAGATATGGCATGTACCTTCTTACAATGCAGATTTTGGGCCTAATGAGCCTGAAAGAGATCTTCTGCTCTCAGGAGCAATGTGAAGTGCGAACCGAACGACTTACCTATGCTCCAAGTCGCTAGACCTATCACATTCTAGAGTCCGAGATTTCGCGTGGAATCAAAACACCGGGATGTCCAATGGGTCACCAAACCACCATTCAATAGGTTGTATGCCTCAGCTTCCATGAAGCTTCCAAAATCCAATCCCCATTTTTTTTAGACTATACTGAATTCCCATCGGCAAACCACGCACTGTCTTGGATAATGCCAGCGTCAAGTTCTATACGAATTCGGTTGTTGAGATATTTCACACCACTTGGCGCCTCGGTCGCGCCATTGAGTGCCACCGACTTACGAAAACCGATGAAAAAAGTGCAACAGCTTCCTGGAAAGACGGAGGTCACTGTTTTACCCTTCGGCCCGCAACATCTGAGCATCCACCTCATGCTACGACCGCAAACTCGCTCGAGGTCCGCCTGATTCATGAAGGGGGCACTCTGTCAGCAGTATGGGTCATCGGAAGTAATGCCATTTGCAAAGTCCAACCAAATAGTAAGGCATCTTAGGGAAAGGACGCGGGACGAAGACAACAAATATTGCGGTTCGTGTTAAAACTCCGTTTTTAGAAAATTATGTGGAAGAAAAATATGATGAAAACTTGAGCACGAAAGTGAATGGTCGATGGAATTTACTGGTCTTGATAGTGGGGTTTAGGATGGAGAAAGAGAGGAGAGGTAAATCCGATGAAGTAGACAATCTGGACAATTAATTACAGTGGAATTCGAAATCAGTTTTATTGGTGACCTCACGCAGTCAAGAGGAGAAAGAAGAGTGTAGTTTGGCCATAACGGGTCACCTGTCGCTGCGGTCGTAGACCGTAGCGTCAGATAGGGCCCGTTCGCGCTCCCTTGTAGGGAGGCAATATGTCTGTATTGTAGTGGATTCTATATACAGAGGGAAGGCGGGAGGGACAAAATCAAGACTTGACTGCGTGAGAGATGACGCGCTACCCGCAGAGGCAAGCAACTGACTCTCGTGAGGCAGTTGTAGGAGGAAGAGGCTCTCAGTAATGTCGGTGTAGATATCACGTGAGGCTACGGGCATTGTGAGTGTGATACTTTAAGGATCAGATGGTTTTCATTGGATGCCCGAGGCACCGAGTATATAATAGTAAATTACATAATAATGCCAAGGCATCGCTTAGTGAGAAACCCAGTTTTACATGTAGCAAGTAGTGCCTAAGGCATCAGAATGCCTTAGGCCCACTTCCGCTCTCAGGTTCTGCTGACACAGCAGAACCTGGAAACCTTAGAGGATCACAGCCTCCCCCACCTGCCGTTGCTCACCGCCCTCGGAGCAACCCTGAAGCCTACAGATTTCCGGAATAGGAAATATCGTCAAGGTCCCCGATGGTGAGATTCTGGCAATCAGTTTGCCCTTGTTTGCTCGCGACCGTAAGCGTATCTCTCGACAAGTTTGCTACTTGCCATTCTTTGTTGAGCACCGCTGGTGCCTAGTTTTGTCTCTGTTGGCTGGCCTGACTGGCCAATGGGGGTGTTTGTTGGTGGTGATAGGGCTCACTTCTGAGCAAATTTGCCAGCCCTCTGTGGTGCTGTTGCCCATTTGGCATTCTGGCTGGGCCAATGAGAGTGAGAGTTGACTGAGGTTTGGCAAACGTAGGTTCTGTTGGCACACATTGGGTGTTTGGCTATCTTGGGGTCTTGGGGGTATATAAGAAGCCCTCTCCCTCACCTTCGCACTTCTTCTTTTCCTCTCTCTCTCTCTCTCCACCATCCACTTCCCCAACTCATTCGTGAGCTTCATTCCCACTGTAGTGAAACCTGCTCCCTCCTACAGTGAAGCCGGTGATATTCTGATATCATTTCCAGTAAGTGATCATCACCCTGGTCAGTGACGGCCATCTGCTGACGTTTTTCCTCTTCAGCCAAGTGAAATCTGCTCCCTCCTTGGCTGAAGCCAGCGCTTTCTGACGCATCTTTGGTATGTGGTACCCCTCTTTGCTCCCCTCACTTGCTGGTTACTGACTTCTTCTTGGGTGATAGACCATGTCGTTTGCTGCGGTGAATGACCCTCCCTCCGATGATCAGGACTCGCTCACCGAGACTGACATCGTCGCCCCGCCCCGTTTCTACAACAAGGATACGGATGACAACTCTCTGCCTGACTGCTTGGATCCTTACCTGCAGCCCATCCTAGCAAATGTTTCTTCCGGTGTGGCAGGTCATTTGGCCAGGCGCTTGGAGGTCAGGGTGGCAAATGGTGTTTTCTTCTCCTTGGATTGGCGTGTGGACATTTCGGGTGTGGTGAATATTCGCTCTCCCCCTCGGGATGCACGCAACTATTTTAGTGCCATCTTAGGCCAATGCCTTGGTATGGTTGTGCCCCCTAATGCTAGCAAGTGTGGTCGCTGTTTGCGAAATCCTGATGCTTGTGCGTTTGCTTCCTGCCGCGTTGCCGCTTTCTACCGCGTGAGTGATGATGTTGGGATGGTGATTGCCAAGGGTGCGTGCATGTGTTGTGTGTTTTCTGGAAGTGCGAAGCATTGCTCGTTCCGCGATGATTGCCCAGTTTGGGCCCTTTCCTACTTCCAGAAGTATGTCCCCTCCTTTGTCTGGGAGCCGACCAACACCCTCGCCTCTGCTCCGGCAACTCCTGTTGCTCCTCGCCAGCAGGTTGATCTCCCTATCCACCCCGCTGCTGCTCCAGCAACTCCTACTGCTGTTCCAGCCACTCCTACTGCTGCTCCAGCAACTCCTCAGGCACCTTCTACCCCGGCTTCGGCCGTTGCGTCCGCTTATCATAGTCTCTTGACAGATGATTTGCTCGCTGCCCCGCTTGCAGGCCGTGAGCAGGTTCTCTTGCAGATCGATCGTTGCCGTGCTCAGCTTGCCATCGACCTCGCTGCCGCTAACCGCGACTACGACTTGCTCCTTTGGCAAATCCAGTCACAGCGACGTCGCGACATGGCAGTTGCTGCTAGCAGATCTGCTGCCTGGGATGCCATTGGCGAGGAGAAGGATTCAATGGATATTGATGAGGCTTAAGCTTTCTGTTTCTGGTGGCTTTGGTGTTTGGTGCTCGCTCATGGGATCGGTGATTTGTTATTGTCCTCTTCCAAATTGAATACTCTTATTTGCTGCCTTCGGCTTCGTTTCCTCGTAGCAGTAGAACCTGTATTCGTAGTACTTGCCAGCTAGTTTCTCACCATCCCTGGCGGCCACCTCCTGCGATGCCTGAAGCTGTACGGAGCTTCCTGGCTATCGTCATTCTGGCCGATGTTTGGTGGTATCACCTCATCGGCTTCCTCGATCCTATCCCGGATCTCATCTGCTTGTTGGGCAGGCTTCCTGGACTCTTGATTGGCATCCTCGGTCCCTTCCATCACTGTATCGATGGGGATCTCTTCTGGCAAGTCGTTTTGCCCTTCCATCATCTCGATGGGATTTCCTTTACGATGCCTGAAGCTATACTGAGCTTCCTGGCCATCGCCGTCTTGGCCGATACTCGGTGGCATCACCTCCTTATCGGCTTCCTCGATCACATTCCGGATCTCATCTGCTTGTTGCGCAGGTTCCCTGGACTCGGTATCGTCGGTCCCTTCCATCGTCTTGATGGGATATCCTTTTGGCAAGTCGTTGCTGACTTCTTCTGCTCTCTGTGGAACAGGTACTCTTTCTTGGGTGGTCGCTGGCCACCCCTTCCGGCAGCTTTCCGCTGCTCTCATACCCTTTCGAGGGTCCTTCTTGCCCTGGTTTCCGGCAAGGATTTCCGTCTCGCCTTGATTCCCGGCGAGGATTCCTGTATTCGTTTGCTGGCGAACGATCTGGTCAGTCCTAGCAAGCGAGCCCTGCTTGCGTGCGTTTTGTATCGCCCTGTTTCTGACCTGTCGCACAGCTTCTTCCTCCCCCACCAAACGAGACCGCACACCTGAGCGGATCATTTGCTCCCATTCCTTCCGAGAAATCGTCGACAACTCGATATAGCTGGGCGGTGTTTCGGAGTCGCTGTCGGTGGCTAGTCGGCCATCAAACGGGTGGGTCGCCTTCTCGCCTTGGCGACGAAGGTGCCACTTGCCGCCCGAGGATGTCCACATCTGCTCTGGTTTGGTGACGTGTGCCTCCACGAGCCGTCTCCCATTTACCAGGTTCCGTAGGACTCGCCCTCCCGGCTCAGCAAGTGCATATGTGCCCAATGGGTTCGCTCTGATCACTTGGTATGGACCAAACCAATTAGACTCGAATTTCTGTTTGGCCTCATTCCATACGAGCACCCAAGTGCCTTCAGCAAGCGATCCATGCTTATGGGTCACATTTTCATCCTGTATCTTTGCGGCTCTTATTGCTTTGTACAGCAAGTCCTCGTTCGCTCTCGACCGAGCATGATTTACCGCTAAGATTCGTTTGTCGATATCGGCGACATCGTCGCCTTTCTGGATCCCTTTGTCATCCCCTGGCAAGCACGGCGCTTGGCCATATACCAGGTAGTATGGACTCGACCCCGTTATGGCGTGCTCGCGGACCCGCGCAGCAAATAGGGCCTGTGGCAAGTATTCGTCCCACAACCGAGTGGGCTTGCCCATGAGGTATTTGGACAGCATCTTGCCCAACAACCCATTCAGGTTCTCCACCTTCCCATTCGTCCGGGGGTGGTACGGTGTTGTTAACCGGTGTCGAGCCTTCAGCAAGTTGACAAAGTATCTCACCCCATCGGATAGCAAGTTGGTCCCATTATCCGATAGCAGTTCTTTCGGTGCGCCAAATGCCACAAATATCCTTTCATAAAGGAATTGCCCAAGTGCTTCTTGGGTGGCATCCTTCAAGGCCTCAGCAACTGGCCATCCGGTTGCGTAATCGATTGCTGTAACGATCCAGCGGTTGCCGTTTGGCGTCGTCGGTAGCAAGCCGATTAGGTCGATTCCCCAGCGTTCAAATGGCCTGATACCCGTGCTTGCCAAATAGTGCCTCGATTCGCGCTCGAATGCGAGGTTCCGTTTTTGCGATACTTGGCAATTCGGGCAAGTGCGCACCACTTCCTCGATGTCTTTTCTCATCGAGGGCCACCATGCCCGGCCGGCAATGACGCCTTGCAGGCCCGGGTGCCCTAGGTGGCCGTATTCCTCGTGCATTCTGCGCAGGAATTCTTCCCGGAATGGCGGCTCTAAATAAGGGGCCGTCACCCCGTTCGCGTGGCGAAACAGCAAGCGAGTGTTCTCTTCCTTGCTTGCGTTCATTGGCAAATCCGCCTCTTGTGTCGCCAACTGTTTGGCCCAACGTTTCACCCAACGGAGCAGTTTACGGTCTTCCGGCAAGCTGCCTTCTAGCAAGTAGCTAACCGTTGCAGCATACCATGCTGCTTCGTCGAACCCGCCCACGGTCGCCACCAATGCGAGCGCGCCCCATAGGGGTTGATTCTGTGCGATATTTGCCGGCGCATCCTGCATAAAGTCAGGCCGGCGGCTTATGGCGTCAGGGACGATGGCCTCCGAGCCTGGCCGGTATCTCCATTTAATGTGCTTATCCTGGAATTCGTCAATCCAGCGAGCAAGTCGTTTGCTAAACACCCTTGTTGTTGCTAGATATTGGAGACTTTGGTGGTCCGTGATCACCGTTGTCGGCAAGCCATTGTCAATATCCACAAAACGGCTCCACACTCGCAGAGCTTCTTTAGCAGCAAGCAGCTCCTTCTCTTGAACTGGGTAGTTCAGCTCTGCTCCTTGCAGTTTACGACCATCGAAGGAGACGGGGTGCAGCTTGCCATCTTCAGCAATCTGGCTCAGCACATAGCCGATCGCCCACTCGCTGGCGTCCGTTTCGATGGTAAATGCCTTCGTAACGTCGGGTTGAATCAGGACCGGATACTTGGTCAGCGCTGTTTTGAGGTTCTGGAATGCTATCTCGCAGCGTTCAGTCCAATGGATCGGCCTGAACCTGCGTTTGCGCACCTCTGCGTCTTCCTCCTTCAGCAAGTCGCTCAGTGGCGCTGCAATGTTGGCGAAACCCTTTACATATCTGCGGTAATATGTAGCAAGCCCCAGGAAGCTCCTTATTTCGTGGGCATTCTGTGGCCGGGGCCATTCGGTGATAGCCCCCACTTTCTCGGGGATAGGTCGGAGTTTCCCATCTCCGATGATGTGCCCACAAAACTCTAATTCTTTGGTAGCGAAAACGCACTTCTTCGGCTTGCCATATAGCTTCTGCTTCCGCAGGCATTCGAGCACTTGCTGCAGGTGGCGGTAGTGATCCTCCAGGGTCCCTGAGAATACAAGGATGTCGTCGAGGTAAACGACCACGGATTCCCCGAGGAATTCGCGTAATGTTTCATTCATCATTGTCTGGAATGTAGCTGGTGCGTTGCAAAGGCCAAATGGCATCACTCGCCATTGGTATTTGCCCCATAGTGTGTTGAAAGCGGTCTTGTCCATTGATCCGCTTGCCATCATCACTTGCCAATACCCGGAAGCTAGGTCGATCTTCGATAAATACTTAGCTCGCCCCACGATGTCGAGTAGGTCCTGAATTCTGGGAATGGGATACCCATTCTTGGCCGACAGCTCATTCAGCGCGCGGTAGTCGATGCACATGCGCCACTCGCCCTCCGGCTTCTTCACAAAGATGACCGGGAATCCCCACGGACTCGACGACGTCTCGATGAGCCCGCGGTCCAGCAAGTCCTTTACCTGCCGCTTCAGCTCTGCCAGTTTGTCCGCTGGCAGCGGGTAAGCAGGCTGGTTTACGGGGTCAGCGCCCCTCGTATCGATGTGATGTTCGAATTGCCGCTTCGGTGGCAATTCCTGTGGCAACTCGTCCGGGAAGACATCCCTATATTCGTTAAGGAGTTGTTGAATTCGTTGGTCTTCGGGAGGGGGCTCAGGCTCATTTGCCTTCACTATGAATAGGAGCATCTCCGTTTGCTCGCTTCGCATAGCGCGGCGGCAATCCTTTTTAGACAGCAGGTTAAGGCTGCCCACTTGCTCCCGTTTGAGAGCGCGGGTATTCACGCCCTCGACCATTATCTGTCCTCCTCGGCCATCGGCGAGCCACATCTTCCTCTCTGGGAAGCTAACGTACCGGCTATGCTCCCTTAGGAAGTCATCGCCGAGGATCACATCGTAGCCGGCGATATCTATCGCCCAAACTTTCTTTGCTCCGCTCCACTTGCCAATATGGAGGTCCACAAACATGCTCCCGTTTGTGTACAGTCGCTCTCCATTTGGCAGGGCCACGGGCAGGGATTTATCTCTATCCCATCGGCCACCGATTCTCTTAGCTACGGCGAGTGATACAAAGGTGTGGCTTGCTCCACAATCCAGGAGCATCCTCACTGCCGCGCTACTCTTCGACGCCGCTCGTTGAACCTTTCCGTCGTAGAAGTTCAACTCATTCCCAAGGGCATTTAGCCTCATAGAAGCTTGCGCTTCAGTCCCTAGGGACTGTAACTCTGTTTCGTCGTCTGGCTCTAGTGGCCTTCCCACTTGCCAGGCATCAGCCATCGGCTGGATCTCCTTTCTGTCATCTGGCTTCAGTGGCCTTCCCACTTGCCAGGCATCAGCCATCGGCTGGATCTCTGCCTCGACCACAGCGAATCGAGGTTCCTCATCACGTTCGGCTTTGTCAGGCCGACGTGGCTTTCCTAATGGGTCAGCAAGCTTGCCAGGGCTTACTGACCCTCCGCTTTTCCCTCCTTCTTCAACAACCGGCAGTCACGCTTCAGGTGGCCGGGTTTGTTACAATTATAGCATGTGAAGGATCGGGTGCTACTATCCATCGCGGATAGGTCCATGGCATCGTCGTTTCGGGGCTGGCTTGCTTGCTGGCCACGCCCCCTGTTAAAGAAACGGTTGCCTCTCGTATTGGCTGCTTCCTTGCAACCTCTTTCCAGCTCGAGCAGACGGTTATGCACTTCCGTAACCTCTGTCGGCGGGTCCTGGAGTTTATACCATTCAGCCCTAAGCTCATGGTTCAACCCCGACACCAATTGAAGGATAAAGCTGTAGGAATCAGCAGGTCGCTGTAGGTTCAGCGAGGCTTCCTGCAGCTTGCGGAAGTATTCCGAGAAGTTATCGGACTTCTGCAAGCGGGTGATGTATGCGCGGTAGCGATCTGCTTCCGCCGTCTTGGCCTCGAAATTCTCGAGGATCCAGGCTCTGAAACCATCCCATGTAGTGATTTGCTGCATGTGGCCGCTCTCTACGGCCACTTCCAAGCCTCGCCAGGCGATCAGGGCGGTCTCCGCTAGGTGGGTGCGGCCAATGATCACCTTGTATCCTTCTTCCTCCTCCTCGCCAGCAAGTTCAGCTCTCGTCTCGAAGTATCGCTCGCAGTCCCTCAGCCAGTGACGGGCTGCATTCCCTTGTTGGGAGCCGCGATACATTTCAGGCTTCGGCACGTCTTTCAGCTTTGCTGCCAACGCCGGTGTGGACTCGCTGGGCGCCATTAGGTGGTGGCGCTCCCAGGGCCATTGTCATCAGCGCCTCGTGCTGGGTTGCCCGGTGCATATCGTCCGTTGGTATCATTGCGAACAGCTGCATGTTCTGCATAGCTACCGGCAACCTGTCAAAAGCCATTTGCTCGACTTGATTCAGCGAGTGCCTGAATGGGACCGCATGCTGGTTTTGGCCTTCGTTTGCATCTTGGCGAGGGGTCTTCTGGTGTTTTCCTTGGGAGTTCCGATGAGGGTATGCTTTACTTAGCAAATGCAAGTAGGCTTTCTATCCTCTTCTTGTTAACTAAGGGTCTCCACTTTTCCCTTAGTGATCGATATCCTTCGGTACCTAGGGATTCCCTTCATGTGTGCCCTCGTTTGTTAGCAAGCGAGCGTCAGTACCACGGCTGCTCGCCGCACACATAGTGGGTCACCCTTTGGGTCCCGGATCGGATTCTAGCAGGCGAGGGCAGGATGGCGATGTCGCTGGCCATCCTGATCGCTCGCTGCTTCAGCCCCTGGAGAAATGATTTCTTCCAGGTCTCAGGGGGGCGCAAGTGGCCCTTTCAGCATGTTACTTGCCCCTCTGAGCTCACCATAGGAGGTGAGGCTTTGCATGACATGCTACCAGATGTGATACTTTAAGGATCAGATGGTTTTCATTGGATGCCCGAGGCACCGGGTAACGTGAAGTCCGGTTGCGCGGGCGACCCGGTTGCGCGAGCGACCCCACCAAACCTTGAAAAACCTTCAATTTATAACCACTATTAAAACCACAAAAAAAGATAAGTTTGGCTATTGAACACGTGTAGGGCATTTAGAATATGTATGACCTTTTATTCCACAGCCAGAACATGTCACCTGCCGCCGAACCAAGGGCATAGAAGGTAGGATAGGTTCCGTAACCGGTTTTGCAGGCACCGCTGGTAAAGATATATCTTTGCTTCTATCTTCATCCACAACAACCACATCATCCTCACCACCCTCTAGACCCCCAAAGATGCCTTTCTGGGTACTAAACTTATGTTTGATCCCTCGCTTTTTGGTCTGTTTCTTGTTAGTAGCCTCCAATTGAGTACAGCGATTCTGGAGAAAAATGTGGTGGTGGACCACTTTTATAGTCATCTCGTAAGTCTTATTAATCTCCCTTTTTGTTGGTGAAGAAAGAATTAAAGAAGAAGATTGTAGACCTTTTTTGATCAGAGATTGCGATTTTGTAAACTTTGAAAGGGTCCAAAGAGTATTTGGATCGCTATCGCTACCGGAAGAGACTGGTCGCTGAGAAAGGATCTCCAGAGGAGGAAGGGAATCCAGGTGCACATTTAGCTTTTCCATGACTTTATTAGCATTAAATGGTGCTAATCCAGTAGCCAAAAAGCTATTCTGTACAGTGATAGTCTTAAAAGCACCCATTCTCGCATCTGCGATCAGTTCAAGGAAATCTTCCTTGTCAATAGAGTTAACTCCGTTTCGCATTAAAGTTGAGACCGCTCCTCCGTAAAGCCTCTTCAAAACCGAGAAACAACCCACGTCCAAAGGCTGTAAAAGATAAGAAGCATGCGGAGGCATACAGATTGCGATGATTTGGTTTTCTTCACAGACTTGGTCAAATTCAGGGGTTAAATGACTTCTATGACCATCAAGGACTAGTAAGCAATATTTTCCCACTCTTGTCCCAATATTTGGGATAAAATGATGTTTTAACCACTATAAACCAATTGTATTAGTAGTCCAACCATTTAAGCTCATGGTTAGACGAGCTCCTTTTTGATTTGAAAGAAGATACGGTCGTAAATGCTCTGGGAACTGTTTTCCTTTGAAGACAAAGAGCGGCGGGAGAACACTTCCAGAAGCTCTAATGCACTCAATCGAAGTCACCCACTCACGATTGCCGGCTTGTAAAAGAGCTCTTTTTCCATGGTATTCCGCTGAAGTAATAATCTTTTGTGTTGCGCTAATACCCATGGCAAAACCAGACTTATCAAAGTTGAAGATATCGTCTAAAGCGATACCCCACTTTTCAATCGTCCTTTGAACCAAATCAAACCATGGTTCAATAATTCGAGGGTCTTCTGAAAGAGCTCTCTGATAATCGTATTTGCGAGAGAGGCGAGTAGAGAGATTTGGGCGTCGTTTGATAAATTCAGCAGGCCAATGATTACCCACAGTAGAGGGTGTAGTTTTTCGGGCATAAAGCAGAAGATTGGCCATATCTCGCAACATAGGCAAAGTAAGGGCTGCCCCTTTGGAATCCATATCTAGTAGCCATTTTTCAATCGAGCCCTCCTCAATTTCGGTAAAAATAAAGCGATTGTGTCGCTTTTCAGTAGCAGATTCGCGCCCATTGATCCGGGCCTTCAAAGTTGAGACAGGTATCTCAAAAGATCGTGCAGCAGCGGCAGCAGAGGAATACTTGCCATTTTTAATAGCTTGTATAGCTAATAAAAGGCGACCCTCCTGCTCTATTAGCTTTCTTTTCTTATTAGAGCGTTGGGGGGGCATTGTTTTCGTGGTCAAAGAGGATGCATCGTTATTGAAGTGTATTTTTGGTGGGGTCGCTCGCGCAACCGGGTCGCCCGCGCAACCGGACTTCACGTTATATAATAGTAAATTACATAATAATGCCAAGGCATCGCTTAGTGAGAAATGTCGGTATGCTCACTCGCCCTGGCCAATAAGAATGTATGAATGCTCTGTCTTTTATTACCCCTGGTTCTGGCAATTTATAGTTAGGGGGATCTAACATGACTAAGTAATTACAAATAATAGTGGATACTTGCTGGCAATTCACCGACAAGAAACCCAGTTTTACTTGTAGCAAGTTGTGCCTAAGGCATCAGAATGCCTTAGGCCCACTTCCGCTCCCAGATTCTGCTGACACAGCAGAACCTGGAAACCTTAGGGGATCACAGATCTGTGATACTTTAAGGATCAGATGGTTCTATTGGATGCCCAAGGCACCGAGTACATAACGTGGATCCCTGTTAGGCATACAGAGACAGATTATCTTATTCTCCTTACACAATTTATCAAATTGTGGAGTAAGATGAGAGGAATGACCATCAGGAATCAACAATATATAGGCCCCTTTTCGCGCAGAATTAGGTATAAAGTGCTTCTGTAGCCAATCGAGACCAATATGGTCAGTAGTCCAACCATTTGGACTAAGATTGATAGCCCAATTTGGAGGTAAAGGGAACCAGCGTTCTAAAAAAACCTTGCCCTTAAAGATTAGGCACGGCGGGAGAATACCACCTTCAGCGTTAATAGTCTCAACCACAGTAACCCATTCACGATTTCCTGCTTGTAGAACCTTTCGTTTACCATGGTATTCCGCAGAACATATGATATATTGTGAAGAGGTAACACCCATCGCGAATCCCGTCTCATCAAAGTTCCAGATATCAGCCGGAATGATACCATTATTTTTGGATAGTATTTCGGACGAGATCAAACCACCCTTTTATAAGTTTAGGGTCTTCAGATAGAGCTCTCTCATAATCATATCGACGAGAGAGATAGGAGGCAAGTGAATCATGGCGTTTGATAAAGTCTGTGACCCAATTTTTACCAACTCTTGGAGGGGTCTCGGAGGGGGTTAATTCACGGGCACGAGGTAGTAAATTAGCCATATCCCGACAAATAGCATATGTAATGGCAAGCCCTCTAGAGTCCATAGAGAGCAGCCACTCTTCCATCGATTTCTCTTCAGGTTCAGAGAATTTGTGGCGATGATGGCGGCGTACAACCCGACTTACATGGCCCTTCATCCGATCTTGTAACGTTGATCGCGGCACAGTGAAAGCTTCGGCAGCAGCTCTAATAGAGGTGTATTTCCCATTTTCTATAGCTTTGATAGCTAACAGAAGGCGTCCCTCCTGTTCAACCAATTTTTGAGCTTTTTGAGATCGAATTGGGGGCATTGTTGATGTTCAAAAACATACGTTGCTACGGGATCCATTTTATTTTGCGGGTGGCCGGAGTAACAGGGATCCACGTTAACGTGGATCCTGGTCGTTCCGGCATCCTGGTCGTTCCGGCATCCTGGCCGTTCCGGCACCCCACCAAAATTTCATATTTTCTACACTTTTTAAACTCCAATTAAACAACCAAAACACCATTAAATTGACTAATTAAACCTTTTCGGGCATGTAGTATACCTATGCCCTTTCCCCATGCATAATGAACATGTAGTTTGCTGGCGTACAGGGGCCAAAACAGGAAGTATAGGTTCAACCTGGGGTTCTGGAGCAGGTGTAGGGTTAGATATATATCTCACACTAACATCTTCCTCACCACCCATATTGGCAGTAGGGTCTGGAAGCTCTGTTAAACTACCTATGTTAGGTATCTGCTTCTTTGATTTCTCCCTTTTTTTTATCTGTTTTCTATTTCCCTCCCGTAAACGCTTAATCTCATCCCGCATTAAGATGTGCTCGTGAACTAGCTTAACCGACATATTGTAAAACCGTTAAAGATCACGTTTTGTAGGCGAAGAGATCTTATCAGCAGCTAAGCTTAGACCAGAATTGAGCCTAGATTTGCGTTTTTCTAGCTGCTTAGTCGTCCGAGGGATGCCGGTAGAGATATTACTACCTGATGTTGAACCTTATGAAACTGGTCGATCTGGTAGAGGCGGAGATTGAAGGCGAATATTGAGTTTTGATAGTACCCGATCAGGATCTAATGGCACTAAACCAGTAGCTGCGAAGGCACTTTGAACGATAGACTCTTTGAATGAATCGTTACGAGCCGCTGGAAAGATATTAAGGAAGTCATCTTTCTCGATAGAATCGATGCCTAATCGGGTATATTCTGCAACCCGCCTTCCGTAAGAGCGCTTTAACACAGCAAAACAACCAACATCAAGAGGCTGTAAAAGATGAGAGGCATACGGAGGCATACATATTGGTATAATGTTGTTTTCCTGGCAAATCTTATCGAATGTCGCTGTAAGATGACTGTCGTGGCCATCAAGGACCAAAAGACAATGTTTCCCTTTTATCTGACTT